GAGCAGGGCGCCCGACCCCGTATGGAGCCCCCCTTCTACACTGCGGGCTCCGAGGTGTGGCTGTACACTCCCCGCGTCGGTGCCGGACAGGTGGGGAAGCTGACCACCTACTGGCGAGGACCCTGGATTGTGAGACGGCAGATCTCACCATGGACGGTGCTGATTCAGGGAGGAGAGAGGGGCCGGGAGATGGTGGTCAACATCCGCCGACTGAAGCCGTGGCGAGCAGCCCCCGAGGGGGGGAGCCCCGCCGTCCAAGTACCCCGAAACCCCGGGGTCCCCCCACCCCCCGTGCCCGGGGGCCTCGCGCAGTACATGGGCCCCACGGAGCCCCGGGCTCCGAGGGGCCCCGGGCGGGGCCGGGGGCGACGAGGACGGCGACCCTTAAACCCCACCGCCTCTGAGTTTGTTCCCCAGCCCGCAGGTGCCAGAGGCCGAGGGGAGCCGTTGGAATGGAGGAGGAGACCACCGCCGGAGCCCCAGGAGACGGAGCCGCCACCCCCGAGGCCAGCCACAAGGGCCGGGCGAATCCCGCGGACCCCGCGGCGATACCTCGTGGGGGCAACCCAGGCGAGGTGCTCCAGTCAACCCGGGACGGGGACTGGCACCCCGGGGGGCTATGTGGTGCCACAACGACGGGGCCGCTCTGCCGAACCAGGGAGCCGCCCGGCTTCCCCCACCGCACTGCCCCCCATCACCCGCCCCACATAAGCACACACCCGCACGCATTCCCCCCCCCCCATAGAGCTGGAAGGGAAGGTCACCTGATCGACCGGTTTTTATCCGAGAGACCCTTATCGGGATTAATTCTCACGGTTTCCGGCGATCAGGGAATTGGATGACCTCCCCGTGCTACGTGGCACCGCGGCGCTGCGGCCGGCCTTAATATGGTAGGTCGTGGCGTGGGGCATTCGGCCACCGCGGTTGAGGCGCATTTCCCCCCACACACACTCCCACGGGTCGACGGGGCGAGCAGGGGAGGCACGGGACAGCATGAATAGCGGGGTCACAGGGGCTGTTGCGCATAGTCATGGAGGGTTGGGATAATTGCGCTTGAGCGCGCAGGCCCCATTGTTAGGGAGGGTAAGGGATTAAGTAGGATTTACGCCTTGCACGCGGCACACTGATTAGCATATCAACAGCACCCAGAACCGCCGTGCGCGTGCCAGAGGATCGCGAGCCCATTGTTTAGCGCAGCATCCCCTTGAAGGTAGGGAGGATAAATAGAGGGGCGCAGAGGGAAAATAGCTCTCTTACTCCAGCGCCAGGCGACCAGACGCAGCTCGAGCCAGCGACCCGGACGTCCGTGCGACGCACCGAGGCACGCGGTTAACACAAGGATCAGCGGACCGCCGTGGACACTTAACAGTGAGTAAGAAGGGGAATTAGAATCATAGCCGATAAATAGGGAATAGGTGCCGGTTTAGTGGAATAGGCCAGCCTCGTCGACTCACTAATTCAACATTAGTTATCAGGTAATAAATCATTAATAGCGAAGCGTGGTCTCGCGTGATCTTGTCGTGCAGTGTGAGCGTGTGGGAACGCGTGTGGTACTGTGTGTGCGTAAGCTCGCAGCGTGCGTAATCGGCGTCCCCCAGGTGCGCGATCATAGCGTAATCGGCTGCGCATTGTTGTACGGTTTATCTCGCGCGCACGGCGGCGGCGACTTTAGTCGTTGTGTCGGCGTGTGCCCCGCTTGCGTGTGCTCGTTACGTGTTATAAGTGTGAATGCGTGTAGTACGGTGTAGGCGTAAGCTCTCGTCGTGCGAAATCGGCGTACCCCAGGTGCGCGATTGTAACGTGAGCGGCCAGCGCGGCGCAGAGAAGCGCAAGAGTGAGTGCCGTACGGAGCTGTGTGTGTGGGTGTGCGCGTACGTAATTAACCATGCCTGCTACGCGGACCCGCGGTGGAGTGGAATCCTCGGGCGACGGCTCCCACCCCATGGGTGAGGAACTTAGCAGCGGTTCGCTTAGCAGCGGGGGGGCGATTGATGATGCTAGCCCGGCCGTTAACATTATCGAGGGAGGGATCTCGGGGGCTAGCGACCCCCACAAGACACACAAACACCGAGAAACACACACACACACAGAGACACTGACGCACACACGTGAAGAGAGAGAGACCCTGAGAGACAGAGAGGGACTACGAGAGAGAGAGGGCACCGGGACCGTTCTCTGCTCGCGAGCGCGTCGAGCCGGAGTCGTGGCTCGCGACTCCCCCATTCCTCCTCCCCCGACGACTCTGCGGACAGCAGCGGGCTTCGCTCCGCGTGTCTCGGCCTCACCACCTGGCGACCGCCTTGCCCTTCCCTCCTCCCCGCGAGAGACGATTACTCATCGCGTGGAGTCATCGCGGTCGATGGGAGCGAGGGTGCGTCGCGCAGTGCCGACGCCGCTCCGTCGATCGTTTTCCGCCCAAGAGACCCGCGGCGGGGATGGGGGGCGGAGTAGAATGTGAGAGGGTTGGTGAGGTGAGGAGAGACATTGAGTCAGGTGAGAGAGAGGAGAGAGACTGAGTCAGGTGAGAGAGAGACTGAGTCAGGTGAGAGAGAGACTGAGTCAGGTGAGAGAGAGACTGAGTCAGGTGAGAGAGAGGAGAGAGACTGAGTGGGGTGAGAGAGACATTGAGTGAGCTGAGAGACTGAGTGAGGTGAGAGAGACTGAGTGAGGTGAGAGAGACATTGAGTGAGGTGAGAGACACTGAGTAAGGTGAGAGAGAGAGAGGAGAGAGACATTGAGTGAGGTGAGACAGAGGAGAGAGACTGAGTGATTGAGCTGAGAGACTGAGTGAGGTGAGAGACAGAGGAGAGAGACTGAGTGAGGTGAGGTGAGAGACTGAGTGAGGTGAGAGACTGAGTGAGGTGAGAGAGAGAGAAGAGAGACCGGCAACCCTTGGCTTTCCCACCGCTTCCGCGCTGCTTCCCACCGACAGGAACAACTCCCTCGCCGACTCTCCAACCTCGCGTCTCCCGCGGGGGCTGAGACGGGAGACGTCTGGCTGGCCTCGAGAGAGAGGGGGAGGGAGAAGAGGGGAACCCCCAGGACGTGTGGGGGTGTTGGGCTGGAGAGAGAGAGAGGAAAAGGTCGTCTGTGAGACGGCTTCAGTCGCGCCGTGCGTAGGACGGGTGGCTCCAGGACTTGAGCCGCAGATCGCGTGGCTCATGGCTTGTGGGAACCCTCGCAATGGCCAGGACGTGTAGGGTGTGATATGGAATGTGGCAATACAGCGCTGTCGATGTCGTCGGGCATGGGATGAGGGCGTCATGGGTCGAGACGCCGTGGGTGTCGCAGAGTGGGTGGAGGAGGGCAGGCGACCGAGACGGGCACTGGGGTGGAACCCAGCTGTCGGCGAGCGAGGGGAAGACATTTAAACAAAACTCTGCAGCCGGACGGACGGCGGCGGCGGCGGCGATGAAGCTGAATGAGCGGAACTTTGAGATCGGAAAAACGACTTTGGTAACCGCTGCGGAAGCGAGCCGCAGGGGAGGGGGAAGGAAGCGCTCGGCAATGTGTTGTTCATGCCACCGCCGATTAGCACGGGCGGCTGCGTACGGTGCGAACGAAGTTCAACGTACATACGCACCTACATTTGCCGCGATAACCTCTTGACATTTAGTTTATAGGAGCTGGCTATGGCTTACACGTGATTCCCTGCTCGTGAACATACACATGGGACTTCGGATGCTCTGAGAGTCGCGAAGTGGGTATGGCTCACCGATGAGCCATGATAATTGAGGAGCCGTATGACGCTCTCGTCCTGTCCCTGCCAGCATGTATCTGGACACGGCTCACCGATGGGCCCTTTCGACGGCAAACCTTGTGTCCACGTCTCTCTCACACTGCCGCTCGTCTTGCGGCTCTCTTCGGACTCAACATGCTGAACAATTCTCTCGACCGAGAACGGATTCGTTGAGAAGGGGCCGAGTGGTTGACGCACCCCGTGATCTCCAAGCGCCTTGGGGGCAAGGGGATTGGTGGATCACGTATCGAGATTTGCGAAGCTTCCAGAACCGCGAGGATTTCGAGGTGGCCAGGCGAATGCAACGTGGCGCCACGGTGCCAAGATGTTAACTGCCTCGCCTGGTATACTAGAGGTCGTGGGTTCGATCACGACCCTGACGCCTGTATATTTGGAGTTTGCATGTCTCTCCGTGGTCGCGTGGTTTTGTCTCCGGGTCCTCCGGGTTTTCCCTCCAAATTTAGAATCAACATCACGCGTCTTAAGAGTATGTGGCTGCTATAAATTTCCACATAAGCCACTTCGGTTGAGCTATCATGTGTGGCCAGGTCGCTGCTGAAAAAGAGCTACGTCGTTCAGCGAGGGCCTTACCTGGTAAAATAAAAACACGTGTATAGTTTCGTTGAGAACTGCAAGTGGGTTCGTGAACTCGTTCCAATCTGCACACAATACCAGCGGGGATTTACATCGCGGCGGGTAAACGCAACGCCATCGCAAGATCTCAGAGAGGTTTCCCCCCTCGCATGTTTCCTGCCACACGCACGGCAAAACCAAAACTCTGCATTCTCCGAGACGCCTACCACCAAACGTCTGCACGCAGTCGGCCCCTTCTGAAATTTGGCGAGGCTTTCACGGAATTGCACACATCTTATAAGCCTATATCGCAAATTGCGTGAACAATTTCCCGTGAGCCAGTCATCCGGAATGCGACCGATTATTTGCGAGAAATCTCGCAAGCTAAGACGGCGTTCAGCCTGGCCGGCGCTTAGATGGTGAACCACCGTGCACGACAGGTTGCTGCGAAGCTGAGAGGTGGGCGGCTGGGAAATCAATTCGTCTGCGCTTCCCACCCTCACCGACCCGTACTGACCAGCGTGGCGAAGTATGGACAAAATAAGACCGTAAGACGCGTCGCACGGCGTTGGGATGCTTGTGGTCGCCGTTCCACCATTGGGGGAATGGTAACAGCGCGCCACGCCGTGGACTGAACCGTGCATTGCATGTACAAACGCGTCACGACACGAACTCTCAAGCGCTATGCCACATTTCAACGGGACTTTATTGAAACACGCACACACGCGCAAGTCCAGAGTTCTTGAGGAAGATGCCCATCTGAAGAGAGAGGCATGCAGTCAAACGAGGCAAACACAAATTTAGTGGTTTTAAAACGCCACGACACGAACAGTGGCGTAGCTATCCAGTGCGCAGGTGCTGGCGTGTACCTAAAACGGGCCCCACGAACCAGTGAGGGCTAGGCGCCGGGCAATGAAGAGGGAGTTTTACAGGGAGCTCCTATAAATTCAGCCCTTGGAACGAGGGCCCATGGCAACCACACGCAATCGCTAATGCTCAAGGCATTTGAATGTTCCTCTGCGGCTGATTTTTGGTGAAGACGCACCAACGGCCTCCATCGCCAACAACGGGGAGGGGGGGGACGTTCTGTCAATTCAACACAACCAGTTTTTGGTCGTTCCGCCAAGATGTGAAGGTGGCCCAAAGTTGAGTCCTCCTGGTTTAATCGGGCGTTGAGCAGAGTTGTCCTGGGTGCTGGTGTTGGCAGCCCTGAGCCAATGGTGAAAATTCCACATTCCAATGCCACGGGCCAGTCTTAGTACAGAACCACCACTGTTATTATTGACCGCGGAGGGATTAATGGCCGAGGTTACCAGAGTCTCGATGGAATGCTATAGTTTTTAATCCAATGTGACTTTGTAAACGTTTTGTATTAACTTCTTTTTGTTAAAAACAAAACAGATTTTTTTTTTAAATAAACACAATCGGCTAACAGTCGTTAAATAAAATTAATCGGCTAATTACTGAAAATCAGGTAAACGTCGCAAGACTCTTAAGCGAGCGTCTCCCCTGCTCACACGTGAGACATCCAACACAACTTCACATCACGAAAATTGGACTTCGCGCCAAAGTGTTTCACCAAACACAAGAGCCCCCCCCCCCCCTCCACTGGCTCTAGCCAGAGAGGGAGCCGTATCGACGAGCGTCTTGATAATAGCCCACGCTCTGAACACCGGCACCAAACCCCATCCCCCATCCGCACGCAACGTTCATCAGAGTTGAGTGCAGGCTGAAGAAACCGGGAGACCAGTGTGGTGGTGATATAGAGTGTAAAAAAATATACTGCATCATTTGGAAAAGGAATCTCGACAGTGTTTGACAAAGCTTGCGGAAAGAGTGGATCTATTTTTTGTGACGTGGATGAATTGATGACGAAATGATGATGTGGTTTCATGGTTGTTGACGACAGAGATCGACTTGTGACGACGATAAGTGACATTATTAAATACGTGCCGATGACGTGGTTGAATGGTGGTTGGCGATAGCGGTAAAATGGTAACGACGTGGATGAGATGATGTGTGGTTGAGAGAATCCGCAACACAAAGCTCAAGGCAGGCGGGAACAATGGAGTCTGAGACTCGGGAGCGAAACTGCCTGGAGGAGCTCAACGCCGGGAGATTATTTCACGAAAACGATCTCGGTGAGCAATGTACGACTTTACGCGCATGCACTGCGGCGCACTACACATTCACTTTTGATTATCTCAATATTCCCCAGTGTTATCGCCACCCTCGATAAACATTCCCCGATGCCTCCCCCCCCCCCCTACGATCGATCGGACACCCCGCCTCTCACCCAATCGAGGTGAAGGTTTTAACCGGGTCGCGGTTCGTTCGGTGTCGGTCACCCGCAGAGCGCAGCGTTCGCGCTGCGAGGGATCGGTGCGGGTACGATCTCTCTGCGTTTCTTCACGTTGAACTCTGATCCGGCTGCCAGAAGGGGACCATGTCAAGACTTTGGCTTCTGAAGTTTTCTTGAGGCTGCTTCCAGTAGTAGTAACCAAAAAAAACTAAAATCGTATGGGTTCAGTGTTGAAGCAGGCTCAGGGCCTATGTTGACAGTGACCTCTCCTCCTCTTGTCTGGAATCGCCTCGTTTGACGGATTTCCTTACTCGCTTGAAAATTACAAGCGTGCTGGAACGTCAAGGGGGGACCTGGATGGAAAAGTATTAATTGTAAAAAAAGTCGAAGATCCTTCCTGCTCTTATAAGCGTGGGACAGTGACCAACGCCGTTGTTGGTCCCTAACAAGGTTGTGGGAATTCCACATTGCTATGGCGGGGGGTTCAGTTAAATCCACAGGGCAACCACTGGGATTTTCCCCACAAGCGGCCGTCATTTTATGAAATAGTGACGGAGGGGGAGGGTCAGGGGAGGTTGAAATAGCAACTTTCAGATTACGAGTCGGAGCAACGCTCGGTTCGCAATCTCCGCTCAAACGAGCTGCAGGGGCAGAGCAGCCCACCCTTGATGGCGCTGCTGAGACAACTGTGGAAATTCCACGTTCCCCACAGTGAGTGACAATCTCATCCATCGATTGGACAACCAACACTGAACTTCCCACAAAGTGGTAATTATTTCATAACCCCCCCCCCCCCACCTAGCCAAATGTTCTCTAAGGGCTTTGTAAACAGACGAGTTATATCAACCAACGGTATCTCGCTCTACAGTTTGCGCCTTTCAGACGCCCGCTACATTCGGTTAAATAGCGCCTATGTTACAACAACAACAGTGCCTTGACCCGGATGGGTGGGTGTCAGGTGGGTGTTGGGGAGCGGAAGGGCCTGGGTGGGTGGGTAAGGACAGATGGATTGGTGGGTCGGTGACGGGAGGGAGGCTGTGGGGCTGGATGGCGGGGGGCGCCGCGGTTCAGTAGAAGCGCTTGCGGCTGTGCTCCTGGCGGCGCTGGTAGATGAGGAGGCCCACGACGGCGCACACGACCACGGCGAGCAGCGCGCACAGCAGCAGCAGGAAGAGGCGCCAGCCGGACATTGGGGCGGTGCGGGCCGAGCCTGTCGAGTCGTCCGTGCTCGCTGCAGGGGAAACATTTGCGTCAGCGACGGCACCGTCACTGCCGACGAAAATTACTTTGCGATTTTCTCCCTGTGACGCAGCGCGCACGGGAGATTCGCTCTCTCGAGGCGCGAGGGACCACGGACAAGCAGGAAGAAAGCCACGACAATGAGCCAGCAACAACAGTTGCCCAAGCTCCGCGGTCCTATCTATATATGTGTTCAGGTGTTATTGGTTAGCGAAGTGTTTACATGCGGGAGGAAACCAGAGGATCTGGAGAAAACTCACAAGTGCGAGGGAGTCCAAATTTTTGCTGTACTGCCTGCTCCTGGTGAGCCAGTGCATGGCTCCTCAACACCCGTGCGGGAGGGAGCTCGGCAATATTTGTGCGATCCACAAACCCGCAGGGGGTTGGCCAAAAGCCACCACTGCCCAGCTATCACCACTACTCTCACTCCCGCTAACACCACCGTCACCAACACCATCACTCCCGCTCACACACAAGTCACCGACACCATCACTATCGCTAACACCACCGTCACCGAATCCATCACTCCCGCTCACGCCAGTCACCAACACTATCACTACCGCTGTTACGACTACTGCTGCCATAACCAACCAACCACCCTCACTCTCGTGAATATTACCGTTTTCCCATTTTTTGTTTACACACCACCGATTTCTACCCCCCATCTTTGTAGCCCGGCACCCGGGCTCCCTCGCACGAGGCCGACTCACCGCGCTGGACGAGCAAGAGGTCGACCGCCGGGAGGACGCGGCTCCGGTCGACCTCGGCGTCCTCCGCTGGGCGCTCCACGCTCAGCTCGTAGAGCTTCAGCGAGACGATGTCGTGGTTGTCTGGGGAGGGATCAGGAGTTCAGGAGCAAGGGGTGGGGGGGGGGGCTAACGTGTCAATAGCCTAAGTCGGTTTTCCTCCCATATATTATTTCAGGGGTTTTTTGCAGGGTCACCGTGGTGGACAAGAGCAGGCTATGTTGAAAATTCTGAACTGCCAAATGCTGGAGGATGATGGAGATGGCGAGTGATGATTGATGATGAGATGAAGGAACCCTTAATCGGGATATGAAACCATAACGATGGATGAAGGCTGGATGGCAGATGAACAATGATGTTCAATGATGAATGATCGATGATGATAATAATGTTGAATGGATGAATAGATGATGATGAAGCATCGATGGGTGATGCATGAGTAATGCTGCTGCCGATATAAATAATTATGAAGTCCGACGACTTAAATGATGAATCAACAATGGGAGAGATAATAACGACCGATGACCATGACGGGCGACCTGGAAAGTGACACGCCATGTGGCACCGACGACATATCCGCGCAACACGTACGCACCGGAAAGGTCCCCCGTGACGGCAGACGCGCCAAAGTGGTATCCTGTGGGCAGCGAGACCCCCGCCACGTCCAGGCACTCCCTCCACTCATCACGGTTATCCACATCGAGCATCACCTGGCAGGGACGAACGCACAAATGCACGCACATGCGCACACACACATCGACATACGAACAACAACAGCAGCCGCCATTTCGCCACTAACTGATGGTGACATCATCGTGACGCTTGTGCCAGGCTGGGTGCGCTTCAAGGCTGCGTGAAATGCCGAAGGACCACGTGAAGTGGGTGGGGATTCACGAAACAAGTCCCTGGCGTTATCGGTTAAATGACCGACACGCCTGGCAGGTGCTGCATCGCCGTGCCACCACCTTGCCGTGTTTCCGAACACACCGACACATACCGTACGGCTCGTCTCTATGCCGCTAACAATCAAACCACCCCCCCCTCCCCCTATCAACACCCCCCCTCCGCAGCGATGAGATGAATTGCCGCAATTTTGGGGTTGCGATTCTATCCAGGAATCTATTATTTTTTACATCCTTTTTGATTGCTTCGTTTGTGCCGTTTCTCAATCACTCCGTCCTTTGGTACAAGTTCGTCTGCTGCGACCGCGCCAAGATGTACCGTAGAAAATATCACAACTTTTACAGCGCGCAGTGAGAAAATGGAACCTCACGCGCGCACGAATCCATGCGTGTATAGTGAAGCGAGACAACATATTTGTGATCCACGTATCGTCGATACAAGGTACGGAACATGTATCGTTACATGGTAGGCGACACTTGATACGTATGTATACCGTGGGGGTGGAGCGGTGGTGGCACCGTGGTTCGTGCACTGCGCTGTGAACCTGGCGAATTTGATTCCCAGCCGCAGCTATCATCAGTGCCAAGCGATAGATCTCAACCAATCCTGGGTAGCATCTCCTGCCACAACCCCCCCCCCCCCCACCAACAGCTTCACCTACCCACACTGAGCATAGTGAAGCATGGTCAAACAGCTCCCAAGACCAACAAGGAACTGGGAGGCTTGTATTCAGCAGTGGATCGACCAAGAACTCTCACATATTATGAGTATTGTAAACTGTATACCGAGCGAGCGTGACTTAGTGTGTTGTGGTGCAGCGTGTCGTATTCAATGGGGTTTAGGGAGACAGGGTGCATTGTGATGCATTCATTGTGGGTCACCGAGTCATGGTCCAGGGTATATTGTGTTGCGGTATGTGGAGTTGAGAGTGCCGGTATTGTGTAATGTCTTGTATTGTATTGTGCGGTAGGCTATAATAGTGTAATCATCACACGGCACTGTGCGATGTAATGATTCGGACTGTAATGGGCGTCACTGTTGCGGATGGTATTGTCTCACCCGGCTTTTGTAAACCCACGGCCACGTTAAACTACATCTGCCCTTCCGGATGTAAACACAACAAATAATAAAAATTAAACTGCTGATCCTAATCCTATCCCAGGTCAGCTTAACCCACAAATCTATTGTTGCATTAAATATAATGCTGTGCCAAGTATTTAAAGGCTTCTAGATTTTAAGCTTTCGTGACTGCAAGGATTCATATTCTCAGTTCTTTCGGTAAAGTCACGTAGGTAAAAAATGAAATAAAAATTTATAAAAATAAAATAAAAATTTTTATTTCATTTTTTACCTACGTGACTTTACCGAAAGAACTAAGAATATGAATATTTATAGGCTATTTTGCCTCTTTTTCTGAACGTATCCCAATTGTGCTATTGGCGTCAGGTCAGGAAACCAAGCCATGCACTCCTCCGGAGCAGCACCACTCTGTGTACGAGAGAACGGCCCACGGAATCAGACATCGCAGGACTACCTCCGAGATCTCAGGGTGAGCTCCGTCTTGACTGGCGCCTGGACTGCTCTCCAACACAGAGCATTGGTTGGCGTCGGCTTACAGAATTGGAACATTCATTTATATGAGGAATCCGATGAGCTGTAAAGTTATTTTTCACAGATGTCCCGTAGTTATCGGCAAGGCGAGGCCTACCAACAGGTAGGGCCCTGTGCCTTGCCTAGTTTTCCTACAGGGTCCACTGCCCCCCTGGCACAGCTGCAGGTATGCCGGTGGCCGTCGGCGCTGGGCATCGTATATATCACAACGCAAACCGTACGACGTGACGCGACGTCCTTCACAGTCGTTGTACACAAACGACCCGGACGCGGGTAACCGACGTCGCATGGTCGCACCACGTTGCCGCCACCGCCGCCGCAGCGCTGACCGTCAGCCGCTGGCGGGAGTACCGCACGGCCATGTAGGTGTCGTAGTCCTTGTTGCGCAGGTCGGCGTAGCAGCCGCCGATCTCCGTCGTCTTGCCGTCCTTGCTGTGGTCGTAGCGCAGGGAGCCGTTGTTCACCATGGCCGTCACAAACGGGAACAAGCGCTGGCGGTGGGCGGAGGGTGAAGGTCGTGAGAGGTCAGAGCTGGGCGACGTACAACCTGTGAACCCCATCGCCTCGTGGCCTCCTCCCAGCACGAGCGTTTGACATTTTAACGATGCAGAGATGAATCGGCATGTGTGGTTTGTTCAGTGTGCTGTTAAAAACCCGGTGCCGGTAACTGTGGCTGGGAATCAGACTCGGGTCAACGGGTTCATAGCACCACACAATGCATTAGTAGTCATTGTGCCAGCATTCCAACACATTTGTCCTTTAGAAAGCAGTCTTAATGACAAATCATGTGATTTTTTTAAATGTATTATTATCGGTTACGGTTGGGGGGGGGGGGGGAGATTGGGATGTGGGGCTCACATCGTGATCGTCAAAGTCGTTGCGGTAGGTGTCCACAAAGATAGCAAGCCCGTGGAACGGGTCCCTGCTGCCAAACACCGACCCTGAAACACAAGCACAGTGCAGTCATTGGTGACTGGGCTGAGAGCGCACCAACCCACTCCACTCAATAACCCAGCAGGGGCTGGGTGGGGGTGGGGCTGGGTGGGGGTGGGGCTGGGTGGGGAGGGGCTGGTCACCCCGTGGTGCTCTTATAAAACTCAACGTTTAACCTACTCACGCCGGCTTGTGCCCGCCCTCACAGTCGGCCATATTTTCGGAATACACCACGCCGCCGTTGACCCTGGCCATTGACCGAGCAACCCAACGTTCCTACCAGCTCCCTCCGCAGGAATGTGTTACTGGAGGAATCTGATGAGCTATAAAGCTGTTTTCACAGATGTCCTGTCGGGGTGGGTCAAACAATACAATAGGAGTGTAAAGTATAGGAAAGGTAAATAAATCACTTAAAAATATACAAATGAAATGACACTATTTTTTATCTTACCAGGTAAAGCCCACTGAGGTATTAACTTGTTTTTCAGAAGCCACCTGGCCATTAATGATAGCGCAACAAAGTGGCTCATCATGTGGAAATGTATAGCGAGCCAATGGACCTCCGTGCGAGTCTATAGACCTCGATGTAAGTAACTGGCGAGTCACTACACTTGAGAACCGACTTTGATCACAGGCGCCCGACACCAGGATTCAATCCGAGGATTCGAACCGCGGCTCTCCAAGGTGCCTGCTCAACGCTCTGACCTCCGAGCCATCCAGGCCACACCAAACGTGCGTTTTCTTATCCTTTCCGCTGCTCACAGCAGGGCCGGCTGTACCGGGTGGACAGCTGGCCATTTTGTTTTTGGCCTGAACAAATAAGACTTGCCTGTATCGGTCACGCACGCATAAAACGCGACGACTGAGGCTACTCACAATGATAGCAGACACCAGCAGCTCCTTGAACAATACCGGAACGGTTTGTCAGGACCACAACAGTGCTACTTTTTACGATGAATACATCGTTAAAAATTGTATAAAAATGTAATAATTTGCAGCCCTGTGTCAACACTACTCTAAATTAAGGTGAGTGTGAGGGAGGGGTATGAGCAGGGGAAGGCAGCATGGGTTCAAACATTATTCGCCTCCGACGTCAGCCGTGGTAGGGAATGGAACTTGAGCCGCCGGGTTCGTGGTGTAGTTGCGCTAATCGCGGTGCCACCGTTCACTTGCGGCTCACCCAGCTGCATCTTGTCCTTGGTGTACCACACGGCGAAGCCGTCCCCGTGCAGGTTCTTCTTGCCCTGACCGTGCACCTTGAAGTGCACGTGCATCTCCCAGTCCGTCACGTGGCACGGCTGCAGAGAAGTACATCGGCTCGTTTTTTTAAAAGACCCATTTTTTGTTGTTGTAAATGTTCCCCAATTTTATCCCAATTCTGCTCCCGGCGTGACGCCACTAGACAAATAACCCGTTTGGAACGCTCACTGAGCAGTGCAACCCTTTGCGTTGGAGAACGGCCCAAGGAAGCAGACATGGAAGAGCTACCTCTGATATCCATACAAGCGACGACGTCCGGTCCTCACACTAGAGGGCAGCACTCAACCACCCTCTGTATTTTACAGCAATGATCGTCGCTTGGACATTGCTGAATGTATACAAATCAAGTGAAAAACTAATTTTATATGGTGATGTTGGTGATTGGATGGAAGCCACAAACTCACTACACTATGGGTCACTATGCAAGTCTATGGGTCTGTACATACGTCTATGGGTCTCTGTGTGAGAAAGCGCGATGAGGAAGTCACTAACGTCGCTATCCCAGTTTCTCAACGAATCCACCTGCGTATGACTCCTGAGATTGCATACACATCGAGGCTGAGGTTGTACCCTCCACAACTGGAAGCAATGAGAACCAGCACTAGCAAAGGCAAATTGTTTTTTCTTTTACTACTGATCGTTTTGTTTAAATAACTTTTCCATCAGTTTAACACGGAGGCTTTCGCGATCAATATCATCCATAAGAGGTTTTTGGGTTAGATCGTGTAAATATATAAATGTGTTGTTAAAACCTGCCACCACCCGACACAGCCAACTAGTGAGGGTTGTCACGTAAATAGAATGTGGCCAATTCGTCACTAGTACAGCACAAGTGTGTAGTGTAGTGTATAGTGTAGTGTATAGTGTAGTGTACTAGTACAGCACTAGTGTGTTGGAGAGCCAAGCCACATCATTTACAAACTGAGTACGACGTTTCGCCAGTAATGACAACTAGCTTCATCAAGCAACAGCCAGATTTGTGGAGAAGTCTTACTGTTTCGTTCTTTATATAGAGGCGTAGATGTGTTGATCACGCTTCTGCGCTCTTGCGCAATGTGGGGCGGGGGGGGGGGGTTAACTGAGGCAACGTACATTATGCATTATAGAGCCCTTTGAACGTGTTCTTCCTGTCTATTGTTTATTAAAATAGCCCTACCAACGGTAATCCCGATTGAAGTACGGCATACATTTAAATAACGTATTATTTGAAGATTCGCTTCCGTGCAGCACTGAGGCGTTAATGCGCTGTTCACCGTCATGTGGTACAACTCTGGTCGTACTTGTAAAACAGATGCTAGGCTCAATGGGCCTTACCAGATGTAATAATAAAGTTTGAATCTGAACTCTGGGTAAGGCGAATAAAATGATTGATTTTGTAAAAATGGGAGCTCCCACTTAGCATTGTTTCCGCAAGTACAAAAAAAATGACAAAGAGTTTTCCGCAGTATAAATGTGGTTTGACCAGGACGCCCTAAGCAAAAGATAATTGAATCCCCGATTCGTATCGATAACATCAAGACCAAAAACATCCCAAGGAATTGCGCCACCACTTTCTGCACTGCACGAAAACCGTCAAAGAATCCTCGGACAGATCGGAACACGGGTGACATCTGCTTGCGGTGAACGCCATCGTTTCCCCACCGAGATTCGGCCACGAACGCCGGATGACCTCCACCCACCGCACTTGGTTAATTTCAATTCACAATGAGCCAAACATCATACATGTCGCGACTTGCGGTGGGGGGGGGGGGGGCAACGACTTCAGGGCCGTATCAGGCCGATCACTCTCCCAGGTCTGGCCGCATGCGAGGCCAGGTTGATGCAACCTCGCACAGTGTCACAGAGCGAGGCCGAGTTGATGCGACCTCGTACGGTGTCACGGAACTCTTATTTACACAGCCGCGTGTCGCCACGCGGGTGCTCCAACTGTACGGAAGGAAGATATTGGGCGGAAGTGGAAGCCGATCTGTGTCTGTCTGGTGGGAAAGTGAAAGGGATGTGGTGGTGGGGAGTGTGTGCCAATCATCTTATTCAGGGTCCGTTCCGTGACCGGCCTACCAACGTGCCTTCGACACTTCACGTGACCCCAAAGTGCACCTAGCCTGGCACAAGCGCCGTGGTGATGTTGTTGTGTGAAGACTAGTTTTGAAAACACACTCGTGTTTAAGACGAGTTTAGAAGTGTATAGTGTGCATCCCTATTGCTGGATGAATGCCTCTCCACACTGTCGTTGATGGGGGTTGTTGACCATACCTCACCACGTCGGTCAGAGAGGGTTGGTGAACAGGGCTGGCCAACAACGGGTTAAGAAGATATCACCTAGCACTGATTTGAGCCATCACCGGGAATCAAACCCAGGAGACCAGGTTCGTAGTGTAGCGAAAGAACCAGTGCGCCTGCCGGCCAGCGTGTACCGACATAAGAAGAGCCAAAAATGCGATATCCGCAAACTCGCTGCCCACTGTCAATTGGGACAAACTGGTGCGGAAATATGACTAGTTAAAACTGTCGGATGATAGCTACAAATTCAGAATTTACTTACTGCTGGTAGGCTTCGTAATGTTTTATTGGAATATTTAACCTTGATAATGCCTTGAGATGTAACACCTCGTTTGCAAGGATGTCCAGAGTCATTGGTGACTTCAATGACTCACTGTCCGAAGAACGAGTTCAAGGAGGGCAGCTCATTGTCATGCAGGAGCAGTGCCCTGGGGTTTAAAGATGAGGAGGGGGTGGAGGGGTGGGGTGTGGGGAGGGAGGGACCCCCATGCTTTTTTTTGGCTCACCGTCGGACAAAGACGGTCACCGCATCGCGCGCTTTCAGACGCGCCACTGCGGCCGTCTGGAACGCTCTTCCTTCCGATATTAGGAAACCACTGAAGCTATGCACTTTTAAATCTAGACTGAAAACTAATTTCTTTAGAACAGCTTTTCGTGTTTAGTTTGTTGACCTTTCCCCGCATCTACGATTAGCGCGGTTGCCTAGGTATGGTGCGAAAGAAGTTCAACATACATACATGCTTGGGACTCAAGTTCCTCCTCCTGCACTGTCGATGGTGTAGGTTGTGATGGGCACAGCGAGGGGGTCTATGTGCGTGCGTGTGCCTGAATGGGGGTAGGTGCAAGTGTTTGAACAGTGCTGTTTGCACTCCCGTGTACAGTAGCTGCGCTCTCTGTCAACACTATTATATCTATAAGCACTCTAGGCATTGGCCACTAGAACAATGAAAACGAATTCACATTAGACTGCCAGGTGGTCGACTAACACAATTTATGAATTAAACGATCGAATTTCAGAACTAGAACGAAGAGTGTTCAACTGTGACTTTGGGTCTCAGCATCATCAGCAGTGGAACGTCGACGAATGCCGCTGTGTCGGATTGGATTGATTCGTATTCAAATGAGTAGCTGGCGCAATGTGTAAACATCGCCACGAGGGAGATGAAGACGACCAGGCGTGGTACTGGCCACCCACACTCTTGTGTGCCGTACCGGCCTTCATAGGAGGTGCTCACAGACGGCACTTGACCCAACAGTATGTTAAGGCTACACAGGGGACCTTTGTCGTGTGCTGTACGTGCGCTGGCCACGTACCACAGTGTTCCACATGGCACCGAGCTTGCTCTGCTGATCGGCCGTGAGTCGCACGGCGTGGCCAATCACCACCGTGTTGCCCGTGATGTCCCACTGCGCACCTGGCGACGAGCCAACGCCTGTTGGAGGGCACACAAAGACAAAGATCCCCCCAAGTGCTGTTAGCGAGTACCTATTAAGGCCAGCACGTCACACGAGGAGGTACAGGTCGTTGAAGCTTATGTATGTGTAGTGACATAGATTTGAAGTTTTCGTGACTGCAGGAATCCATACTCTTTGGTTCTTTCGGTAAAGTCACGTAGGTAGAAAAATAAAATATAAAGTAATTATTTTTTTATTCAAAATTGTATTTTTTTTTCTACCTACGTGACTTTACTGAAAGAACCAAAGAGTATAGTGACATAGAATCGGTCACGTAGCAGCATAGCGCTGGCTGCTGGCAGGGAAGAGGATCTGTAGCTTTCAGCAGCCCTGACTGACAGTAGGCCACATGATAGCCCAGAGAGGGATGTAGTGGAAAGGTCACGGAAGGGGCACATCGAGAACCCGCTAGTACAGCGGTCGGGAACCTATGGCTCGCGAGCCATATATGGCTCTTTCGGTGACAGCATATGGCTCCCAGACAATTTTGAGTTGAAAAAAATCAAATAAAAAAATTCAGTTTGGAACTGATTTTAAAATACTTGTGATATTGCTTAATAATACTGTGTCATTTTTAAGTAAACAGAAATTAGTTTTGAAGATAAATTCCACGGGTCACGGGGCCTTAACGCCTGCATGAAGCTCAACCTCACCACGTATGAACCAGACTACAAGGCCATCAGCAAAACCATGCAGCACCAGAAGTTGCATTAAAAGTAAGACATATTTAATTTATTATACGTTAAAAATACTATATGGCTCTCAATGCAATATATTTAGAAATATTTGGCTTTTATGGCTCTCCCAGTCAAAAAGGTTCCCGACCCCTGTGCTAGTAGGTTCCAGAAGGGGGCGTGGGCGTGGGCGGGGCCAGCAGGCCACGCTGGCAGTATAAGAGGGGCCCCGGGAGGGGACCTCGGGGCTGTCGTGTGGAGTGGGATCCCGTAGTGCTGCTGCTGGAGTCTTCACCGTTCTTCTCGTCGTCTGCACCATCTCGGGGTCGCCAGTCAGGCAGTCTACCAGCTGTCCTGACTGAGAACCGTAGTTACTAAGTGTTACTGTCAGGCCGTGTTAATAAACAGAGTACCTCCTACTCTTAGTGTCTCTGAGTCAGTCACTACATATGTATGTTGAACTTCCTTCGCATCATACGTAGCCAACTGTGCTAATCAAAAGCATAGACGTGGGAGCACAGAAGTACAGTAGAACAATGGATTTACCTGCATTATCCTTTGATGTGCACAATGGAGCCATGAAAGCCTATAACACCTGTTATACATGGTGATCACCCAACTAAGTACTGTCCAGCATCGTCCCCGCTTGGCTTCCAATGTTCGTTGACATCGGGTGGACGCACTGTGGGGTGATCTGATCACAGTAGCTGCCGCCTTGTGTAACAGGAAAATCCCACGTGCCAATTAGTTGTTTTTTTCCCTGAGCTATCTCCATATATATAAAAGGCAAAGTTGTGATTGTGTGTGTCTGTTGAAAATGTTTAGCATACTTCCCGACATGCAACAAACTTGAAATTTGCCATGTGAGTACTTACCAGACTGTACACCATGCAAAAATTATAAAAATACACTTTTTTGGGGAGGGGGGGGGGGGAGAGCTCAATAAATCTGTCATGTGACCCGCGCATGTGGAAGCGTCACGCATTGTAGTGTAGCGGTTAGCGTGCTGCGCTACGAACCCGGTGACCCGGGTTCCCCTAGGTCGACTCAGCCTCAAACGAGTAACTGGTGTGGTGTGTGAACATCGCCACTGGGGAGACAAAGGCGGCCGGGCGTGGTGATCCAAGTCCCGGGCGAAGCCGGGTAGGAAAGCTAGTGTTTCAGTGTTTCACGTGGTGAAGTGTTGCGTGAAGCAATTCAGGGGAAGTTTAAGGCCGAGTCGGCGGCCTAGGTGGATAGAGAGCCCACAGATATGGAGGAAACGCAAGGGGAAGGAAGCTTGCGGGATGCAAAAGACCTTGGAAGCGTTCTATTTGAATCAGTCTTCCTAAATAATTACTGCAACCTTGTGCAAAGTTTGCATATTAGTGCTGCTTTTATTGTGTCTGTATACATTTGTATCCCCATGTATCTACTCCAGCAATCTGTTTTCTAAGTCTCAATAAGCTCTATTCTGGCTTAAAGAAAATGTAAAAAGGTATTGTTGTACTTAAAACAATGTGGATTTAAGTAGTGTCTAAATATGACGTATTAATTTGCTCTACAGAGACAGCATGTTTATTTTATAGTGTGTGAGTCTATGGGTCTCTGTGTGAGCTAATGGGTCTGTACATTTCACAAACGCAGAGCGGGTAACACAAGCGAGGTTACAACTCATACACATGCAGGTGTGGGGCTGGAGCGGGGTTTATGGGGAGCATTGAACAATCCATTTTTATTTCTGGGCCAGAACAGCAACATGTAACACATTCAACGATACCAGTCTGTGCACATGGCTAATAAAGGTGAATGATGTGGTAACATACCGATGAAGTACGTATAAAAACTCAACGCATTTGTCAATAACAATGTGGCCTTAAAAGAAAAAAAGATATATAATCGGTGACGTTTCAGGAAATAGTCTTTCTGAATAGCACATAAAACTTCATAGCATGCATCACTTATGGCACATCATGTATGTGCTGTGAAGAGGGGCCATTGCCTGACACGTCTCCTATTATACGTTTCCTTTTAAGGCCACAGTCTTCTTAGTTGAATGCATTGAGTTTTTTTGTTAATTGAACTTGCGCCCCACTGCGAACAAGACATCACCAAATAATGTACTATTAAATAAGGTGAGTGCAGGATGTTGATGCAATTCCGGTGACGCCAGCTGAGGCGTTAGCAACAAGTCAGACTTTTCATCTGATACCATGGGACTGACCTATTTGGGCATGCTCGTCCCCACAATCACACATCAAACAAAAGCTGAACACATTTTCAATCAATAAACGACCCTTGCTTATTCTGGCCCAGGAGTCAATTCCTGTAAGCGTGAGCTTATCGTCAAAGTTAGACCCCTGTCACAGTGCTAAGGTCAATCCCACTACAAAGGAACGTGGTTGTTAGCAATGTTACTATTGGGATCTTTCTGCAGCAGACCCTGTCCGGGGTTTGGCGACCCAGAAAAAAAGTGACCACATCCGGCACACCACCTCCAGTAGACCTCTCCCTATAGCTGTGGCAACTATTTTTTATTTTATTTTACCAGGTAAGCTATATACATAATTTTCAGAAGTGACCTGGCCACAAATGACAGCTCAATGAAATGGCTTACCACGTGGAAATGTTTTGCAGCCAAACACTCCAAATGCATGTTTTTAAATGTGGAGGGAAAAACCGGAGGACCTGGAGAAAAATCCACGCGACCACGGGGAGGATATGAAACTCCAAATATACAGCAGGTGTCAGGGTCGAACCCACGACATCCTGCACACCAGGCGAGGTAGTTCGCATCTTGCCACCACGGCGCTTATTGGTCAAGTGCCTAACCCAGCTGACAAAGTCGATCCGGGAAATAATTGGTTACAATTGAAGCCATGATTAAAATGCTCACTGCACAAGTCTAAGGCCCACCGCCTTATAAAGATGTACATTAAATATACGGTGACAATTAAGTGATAAATGTTCGTCATCATGTGCCACTCCAGCTAAACGAGATGCACTGGTCGTGGTGGTGGAGAGTGGAAATGGGACAATCACCGTCAATACCCCCAATGTAAGCGCATGTCCGGTACGTCAACTGTACGTCCAGCAATACCGGCCTCAAAACAAATAACATGCTGACTTAGCCTATAAGCAAATCACCCGCAATGCACCCGATCTCGTCAGATCTGGGGAGCTAAACAGGTTTTTGACTCTGCACAGTGCTTGGAGATAGGTGACCACCATGAATTAAACACATTCCTGCAAAGGAAGCTGGTAGGAACGTTGGGTTGCTCGGTCAATGGCCAGGGTCAACGGCGGCGTAGTGTATTCCGCAAATATGTCCGACTGTGAGGGCGGGCACAAGCCGGCGTGAGTAGGTTAAACGTTGAGTTTTATAAGGGCACCACGGGGTGACCAGCCCCTCCCCACCCAGCCCCTCCCCACCCAGCCCCTCCCCACCCAGCCCCTCCCCACCCAGCCCCTCCCCACCCAGCTCCTCCCCACCCAGCCCCACCCCTCCCACCCCCCACCCAGCTCCACCCTCCCCAGCCAGCTCCTCCCCTCCCTCCCCTCTCCACCCAGCCCCACCCCTCCCATTTTTGGATGCACGACGGACGGACACAATAATCCCCTGTGGGCTGGTGGAACCAGGTGGTTCCTACCAGTATAATAATAATAGGTGTGATAGGCTGCTGTGGCGCTACGTTGTCAACAGAGGGCAGTGCACGAAAATCAGCGGTTGCATGGTCTCTACTGTGCACCCACGTCTCTGTTCCTCGCCTTGAATCCAACCCGCACACGCACCAGCGTGGTGAAGTATGGCCAAGTAAACAGGCGTGGGGAGGCTCTCATCCAGGTAGTGAACTGACAAGAGGGTCTGCCACACGTGCCTTGTTAAGTCGGTGCGTCACCTGCATGCTAAGCCAAACCCACACCTGTCAACCCCTTATCAGTGCCTACCTTACTAAAGACCAATGCAGACCTTATTGGTATCCCTTATAAATCCCAACGTTCAGCCTACAAAGTCCCATCGCAAGGGAGAAACACAAACAAAGACACAATTTTTGCCCGTATTGAAACGGCTGTACGCCGTATGGACCTGAAAACTCAATTTCCCAGCACAAGATTGCGTTTGTATGGGCTGACAGGTATGCATATCGGTTAAAATACAAGTAGGAATAACTATTAATATACAGATGCAATATACTGGCTTTACGTACAGACAACAACTCAGTCGTTTGATACGCAAGTAATAGCTAGCCTACCATATAAAGTTGGATACTTGTTTCACGCACAACAAATACAAGGCTTCATATGCAACTATGCAGTTCACATCCTGGCTTAATTGGGCACAATGGAAATTCACATGTGCAACTTGCTGCCTTTAAGTAAATTTGCTTTTCCATACATTTGTCTTACACACGCAGGTAGTGGCGGATTAAGTTGGCATACACGTAAACATACCGTGTTGAACAATAAGATTAGGTTTGACGCCCCATGACATACTCCATTGACTTAACACACGCACTGCCTATAAACTACACGTGCCACGAGACGAAACGTTACAGGTGCTGTACTCCAGTGGCTGAAGATGCAGTACAATCCATGTCTCCTATATCTCTAACTCTCACCCCTGACCCAGCCACCAGGCTCTGCTCACCAACCTTATTATCCCAAACCGCTCACCCGATCTGACCTCTGACCCTACGCCTAACGTGACCCCGAACGCTGCTCGAGACGACCACCGAACCGAAGCCCGACTCGCCCCCCCCGACCCCAGAGCCCCGTGGCCTCACCCTGATAAGGCTTCATGAGGCTGTGCTCCCTCTTGATGAAGTCCCCGTGGTCTCCGTCATCGCCGCGACACGGGGCGAGCAGCAGCAGCAGCAGCCCCAGCGTCATCGCCAGCGGCTCCATCGCCTGTCCGGCTGATGATGGTGACCGCAAAGCGACCGGCTGGGCAGCGAGTTGAGTGGTTGACCGATTGGCAATGAATTTAGTGACTGGGCAGTTTATTCGAGTTGCTGGCTGGGTAAGAGGAGTGCCTTACAGAATGTCTGGGAACCAGAGTTACTTAACAGACCGCAGATCTTTGTGTCTGCCCCAGGGATTGTCTGGCCGACTAATAAGGTAATTGAATATCAGCCTTAGCAACCCGCAGTTTGGCTGCTATGTGCCTGTCTGATACAGTGACGGCGGCTGATTGTAACTGGCCTTGTGTCTGCCAGACTGAGTGCTTGACTGACTAGCCCGAGTACCTGACACAGGCTGACTGGGTACCTGACAAACTACCTGTAAGACTGCTTGTCCTGAGTGCCCGACGGACTGCCTGCCCTAAGGCACAGCAGTTTGCTTCTAAGACTGCCTGCCCTAGTGACTGACTGAATGAGTAACCCGACCACTGTCACGCTGCCTGACTGCCTAAGTGACTGACTGAATGGTGACTTGATACTATCATCACAGACTGACGGATTTCCCTGGCGACTGGCTACGCTGGTGGCCGACTACCCTGGTAGCTACCTGCCCCGGTGAATGACTGCCCCAGTGACTGCCTGCCCCAGTGAATGACTACCCCAGTAATCGACTGACTACCCCAGTGATCGACTGACTACCCCAGTGATCGACTGCCCCGGTGACTGCCTGCCCCAGTGACTGACTACCCTGGTAGCTGCCTGCCCTGGTGACTGACTGCCCCGGTGACTGACTGCCCCGGTGACTGACTGCCCCGGTGACTGACTGCCCCAGTGACTGACTACCCCAGTGACTGACTGCCCCAGTGACTGACTACCCCAGTGATCGGCTGCCCCGGTGCCTGCCACACTGCCGAGTCCTGTGGGTCGCTCTTATTGCTGCTGACATCTCCAGCCTGGGTCCCCGACCACGTGGTGCTGAAGCACGGCTTCACATTTCCCAGAGCGCATGCGCGACCGATCCCAACTCGGCGCTCTCCCAGTGGTCCGCTCGTTTAAAGAATTGGCCAATCGGATACGAGGCCGTACGCATGAGCGGTGGGGAATCTAGAAGCACGCCTCAGCCAATCGGCGAGCCGTGATGCTAATCGGACGGAAAGAGCGCGGGTTTTTTTGTTTGTTTATTAAACCGCGTTTCGTTACTTGATTGGCCACGTGGGTGAGGTATGATGAGTTGGCTTCCGAGCGCCTGTGAAGTTGGGCGTGGTGGTTTTGCACGCCTGTCACCCGTCGATTTGGGGATAGCGGTTGGTCAATAACGTAGACGTTTGGGAAGCTAAAAAAAGCTGAGCCACACGTCCAGGAGATGGCAGTACAGCAAGTGGGTTCGCGAACCCATCTGTGTGGGCACTTAGGTGCTGTCCAGGATAATTCTTGTTGTTATTTTTTTCCTCCGGATAGTCCAGTTTTTCTCCACACGAAGCAAACCACTTGCATGGTATTGAAATTGGCCAAACATCCCAATGCATGCCCCTCCTATTAAACTAGTCTTGAGACTCAGTGAGGCGTTTCTGGAAGAACAAAAAGGCAATATTGTATCTAAAACCATTGTCACATCCCAGCATTGTGAGAGATGGCGGTGGCTTGGGGAGGCCTTCGTCCAGCAGTGGATTGACCATGGCTGATTAATTTTAATTAACGACTTACACAAAGTATTTGCCACAGATGAACCACAATGCCTTGCTGATCTCGTCAAAGACTATACACTGTCCCGCAAACTCCGGTCATCCTAGATGCGGCTTTTGGCTAACCATCGAACAAAGACGGTGACCTCATCGTGCTTTCAGATGCACTTCTGCGGCCGTCTGGAACGCTCTTCCTTCCGATATCAGGAAGCCACTGGAGCTATGCACTTTTAAATCTAGATTGAAATACTAATTTCGTGTTCAGTTTGTCCTTCCTCCGCACCTCTGATTAGTGCGGTTTTGGCCACGTATAGCGCGAAATAAGTTCAACATACAGTACATTAATACTGTGTTTTAGAAAAGGCTTGCACGGACGGCCAGCTAGCAAAACTCGTGTTTCATATAGTATATGACAAATACATATCAACATCCCACTTACCCGGCAGGATGACGCAGTGGTAATCCGAGTGCCTCACAGTAAGAAAGAAGGTCCAGGATTCGATTCCAGACTTGGGTGCCTTTTTATGTGGCGTTTGTTTGTTCTCCCTCGCTTCTGCTTTGTTTTCCTCCGGGTTCTCCGGTTTCTTCCCAGAGCTAAACAAAACGCAACGTAACTGGTAGTATGGCAGGATTGGCAAAACATCCCATTGTTATGTTAAGTCACTCCTGTTGTTCTCTGCCCCCTGTACCGTTCCCGTTCTGTTGTAATGTGCACCGATGCCTACTTTATTGAGGGCTATATTTGGCACGTAAAATAAAGATTGGTTGATTCTAAAAGAAATACCCGCAAATTACGCATGAAGGATTACGCACAGCAGCACCCAGGACGGTCCTAGGCAGGAGAGGGAAGTACAGCAAGTGGCCTGGACAGGACCCCCCTGGACCAGAGTTAATCCTCAGTGAGTAACACAAAACAAGCGTAAAAACAACAACCGTGATACTCATGAAGCCTGATCTTCCAATTTAGCACGAACCAAGGGCTTGCTTAATTAACGATATAAACCAGTTATGGAAACCATTGATGAAGATGGCACCAGCTGCACTGAGACTGCACGTATACAAAGTCACGTAGCAAAATTTAAGCGTGCGACTGTGGTCATCCAGAACAGACCGTACAACATATAACGACGAAATGCCTGATCCACAAATACGAAGGAGACATCACAGCGATCCACTCTGCTGCTCCTGATGCGGTTGTCTGGCTTGACCGTCTGAATGTGAAATAGTAGTCGTCGCTCTGCATCCACATCAGCCATGAGAAAGGAGAAGTGAGAAGGTGAGTCAGGCACAGAGGCAGGCTCTCAGCGACGTATTTATCAACACAGTAACGTGAGAAGTTTCTTCAGATAGGACGAACACGTCGCCTGATTCTGATAAACATTGCCCAGGCAGTCCAATGAACCACATCGCGGATGGTTTCATAACGGTCAACAGGTATTTCAAGTTGAGCCAATGGGTCAAAAACATGTTACAATAAAAAAACTCAAATGCAGGACCCTCCTGAAAAAAAGAATTAGTGTGCTATCCTGAATAAATAATGCACTTGTTGTATTATGTTACAGCTAAGGATACATTGTATACGAGTCGTTGGGGTCCTCCATTTAATTACAAACATGCCTTTAAATAATTTACGTTATTTTGCTGCTGTAAATGTCCATAAATAAGCCACTTCGTTGAGCTATCATTTGTGGTCAGGTCTCTTCTGAAAAATAAGCTACTAGCTAAGTGGGCTTTACCTGGTAAGATAAAAAAAAGTGTTTTATGCGTGTATGTTTAAGTGATTTTCTTACCTTTCCTATGCTTTGCATTTGTATCGTGTTGTTGTAATGTTTGTTGTTGTAACGTTCTAACCCGCCCCTACCGGACATCAGTGAAAAATATAGCTCATCGGATTCCTCCGTTATTAATACAGATTTTGAATTATGCGTATTTATGATGTGTTCCATGACTGGGTAAGGTATTTAGTCTAAAAATGCACGCTGTATTAATTATAGATGTAAAATACCAATACATGTGTCATTACGTGTGCTATGCACGTGTCACTGGGCACTCTGGACACAATTACAAACGAGATCAATGGTATTAGATACAATATTGTCGGTTCCCCCCCGAAATGCCCCACTTAGTCTCAAGACTAGTTAATTTCAATTTCCTGAAAGTGTTTTACTTCGTGTCGAGGAAAACTGGACTATCCGGAGGAAAAAAATAACCAATAATTATCCTGGACAACACTCAAATGCCCACACAGATGGGTTCGCGAACCCACTTGCTGTCCTTACATCTCCCGGTCTTGTGGCTCAACGCTTTTTTTTTTTGGAGTTCCCAAGGTTATTTTTCAGTTGAAATAGTTCAGTAAAACTACAACGCTTATACATCAGTTAGACCAGAAGGAAACCGGGCTGATGTATCATCACAGCCGGTAGAAACACTTCCTCAATTACATTGCCAATTTGTGAAGACGAGGAGCATAGACGTGGGAGTACGGTATAGAAGAAATACAATCCCAGTAACGAATCCCAGAACGTTGGGCCAACGTTGCATGTTTACTGGCATACGACGTCTGATTTTGCTGCACTGCCCTATGTTGCTCACAACGTAACCCCCTGCTCTGCCCCCATCCTCGTTAAAAAAAGTGTGGTAACGATGATAATGATGCCTGGTGCTACGAAGATAACCACTCAAGGACCCGCCGGTCACACGAGTTCACGGCGGACTTTGCTGATGGAAAATGCGATTGCGTGTGAGAAAACAGGAAGTCAGAGTTAGATTCCCCGCCAAGGCTAGCATCAGTGTTGGGTTTATACCAGGACTAGGTGGATCGCATTGAAAACGGTACCGTACTCGGTGTGGTGTGTAAACATATTGGGGGAGACAAATGCGGTCGGACGTGATCCTGGCTTCACCACCCCCTCGTGTGCCGTTCTGGCCTTCATAGGTGCTCGCTATCAGAACTTGCCCCAGTCCGTTAAGAAGATCTTTGTCTTTAAATTTCGATTTAAAGCTTTCGTGACTGCAGGGATTCATATTCTTGGTTCTTTCGGTAAAGTCACGTCGATGGAAATAATAAAATAAAACATCATACAATTCTCATGACGTTTCGGCTGCTTGCGTTGTGGCTGAAACGTCGTGAGAATTTTATGACGTTTTATTTTCATTATTTTATTATTTCCCTTCTACGTGACTTTACCGAAAGAACCAAGAATGTCTTTGTGTGTGCAGTGGCACAGTGGAGAGCATAGGTTGCTGCATCTATCAGTCATTAACCGGTCAACCCATGGCACTTGGGTCTGTCCCGTGATCTCCTGCCTGCAGCGAATCTTCAACACTTCACGTGAACCGTCTCAAAGTGCACCTAGGCTGGCACGATGTCACCGCCGCTTAGTGACGAATCTCGGCTGCCGTTCGAGTTTCTGGATTGTGAATGAGCGTGCCAGTGCGTAGGTGCGAGAAGCCAGCGTGTGGCGGTGTGGGTGCGTGACAACAACAGTGTCAATACAGGTGAGTTGCTCTGCGTGGGGAGCGGTAGTGTCGTGGTTAGCGCTACGCTGCGCTACGAACCTGGCGACCCCGAGTTCGATTCCCTCTCACGGCCAACACCCAGTGACGTATTGGCTGAACCGGTCCTGGGCCTCCCCCTAGGTCGACTCAGCCTCAAATGAGTACTTAGTGCTATTTGTAAAAATAATTGCCACGAGGAAGACAAAGGCGGCCGGGCGTGGTGTTGGCAAGCCCACCCCCTTCGTGTGCCGTGCCGGCCTTCATAGGTGCTCGCTAACAGCACTTGCCCCTACAGTCTGTTACAGGCTATAGGGGGATCTTTGTCTTTGTTGTTGCGTTTGTGTGAGTGGTGGCGCAGTAGTTAGCGCACCGCGCTACGAGCTCTGTGGCGAGTATTTGAACCGGTGCTGGGCTTCCCCTAGGTCAGCTCAGCCTTAAATGGGCACCTGGCGAAGTGCGTGTATAAAAGGAGACCGAGCGTGGTGTTCGCCGTCCGATCTTAATGGATATAGAACAGCACTTGCCCCTCCAGGCTGCGTTAGGCTACACGGGGGATCTTTGTGTTGACTTCGTGAGTGAATGCAGGTGTGTGGGTTTTTCTTGTTTTCGGCCGTGCCGGGTCTTTTTTTTCTTACCGACTCAAACACGATTCCGCATTTTTTCCCAAAGACCTCACGGCTCCACAATTGCCACAAACCTACCCCCCCCCCCCCCCCCGGCTTACTCAGTTTCAGTTTCATTTATTTGGTATATGGCCCTGTGAGCCATTCGGCTCAAGCAGTAAAGCAAAACCATATGGTGGTGACGGTGATGCATCAGCCAGTCATCTCAGTCGGCCAACCCATGGCACCTGGGTCTGTCCCGTGACCTCCTGCCAGCGGGCGTTCCGACACTGTACCTGGCCTCAAAGTGCACCTAGCCTGGCACAAGCGCCACGGTGTCGTCACCGCCACTTAGTGACGAATGGCAGGTTTGTTGTTGTTGCGAGGTGGCGCTGCTGCTGATGTTACGCACCCAAAATTTGTTTTCCCACTGAATTTTGTTTTCTTTCGTGGTCGCTGGCATAGACGGGAGCAGTTCAGGTTGGCACTCGACTGTAACAGCCACTGGCATAGCGTGAGAGAGAGAAGTACACTCGATGCGGTGTGCCGCCGACGACGGAAGTATGTTTTTCCGGTTTGCCAACGCCCACAGACTCGGCTGGAACTAAACCCCGACCGGTCTTTGTGCAATCATCAAACCGAGCCGAGACCGCCTCACCCACTGGCAATAAAGCCACGACCCACAGCTCACGCCGTGAGTCCTCGGAGCCGACCGCGTGCCCTCTCGTCATCGGCACTCGATCCTCATCCGCTCGCCACCGCTCCGCTGCTGCTGCTGTCGGTAGGGAGGCTGGCGTTAGGAGGGAGGTTGGCTTGCAGATTGTCCTTTGCCGTGGGGAGTTGGAGGCGAGTGAGAGACCCTGGCCATTGGTGGTGCCCCGCCAATTGTTGTCACAGCGGAGCTGGGCTCGAGGGGTCTGGGAGGAGGAGGAAGGGGAGGAGGCGATCGCCGAGATTGGGTTGTTCTGCGCAAGGAGCGGGATGTGCGTGCGTACTTTTCGTCGTCGTCGGAGTTGATTAACTCATCGTCGTCGTCACCGCCATCGGAATCATCATTCTACTGATCAACCTCCATCATCATCGTCAATAGCCATCACCGCACCATCGTCAAGTAACAATTGTCATCACAATTTTACTTACCTTGTTTGTCTTGGTGTGTGTCTCGCTCGGTGTGTCTTTGTGTGTGCCTCTCTCTCTCTCTGCATGTGCGTGTGCCTGTGTTGTTTCCGTGTCTGTGTTTCATCATTCATTCTTACCTGATGATGGTTGCTTGAGTTGCAACCGAAACGTCGTATTCTATTGTTATTTGATTTTCTACGTGACTTTACCCAAAGAACCAAAGAGTAATTCCAATTTATCATCACCGCAGTTATAACGAATAACCATCACTATCACCACCATCATCAATTACCACCACCGGCACAACCATCACCATCATCACTCACCCATTGCCTCTTCCCCACCCCAGAGTGATGGAGGGAGCGACGCTCCGCGCTTTCGTCTTCTGTTTGTGCGCATCGGCGGTGGCGGCGGCGCGGCGAGACGGGGAGAGCCGCGGCGCTCCCGTGGAAGTCGCTCTCAGCGTGGACACGAGCGAGGCGTTGCACGCCCTCAGCACCGAGTTCCTCTCGTTCGCCATCGACACCTCGGTGGTGGAGAACGGATGGATCGACTTCCTGAGGTGAGGGTGAGCGAGGGGAGATCTACACGCGTCAACCCGGTGGAACGACGTCGGCCGCTCCGTGTAAGGGGGCTTCGTCGGTTCCAACACCCAGCCACGGATGGGCCCCCTGGTCGACACTTTGGCTGTGCGTCTGTGTGTGCGCTACTTGTGGAGGAGGCTCGTGAAGGACGCTGCTGCTACTGGGCAGTTGGGGGCAGTCGCCCTCCAACAACAACGGAGGGCGGAGGAGCGACGCTCACAACAACGAGCGGAGTGCCGGGTGGCTAAAGCACAGAAAGTTGCCACAGTAGGGGGCACAGGTGGTGCATCAGCCAGTCATCTCGGTCATCTCAGTCAGTCGACCTGTGGCACCTGGGTCTGCCCCGTGACCTCCTGCCAGCGGGCGTTCGACACTTCACGTGGCCCCAAGGTGCACCTAGCCTGGCACGAGCGTCGTGGTGACGTCACTGCCACTTAGTGGCGAATGGCGGTTGTTGTTGTAGCGCTACTTGCCCGTGTGAAGACAGCGCGCGTCGTCCAGCAGCACGGTGGACGTTAAAGATCCCGCGAAACTTAGCGGGGGGCCCTTCCCGATATCGAGTCGTGGAACGAGGTCAGGATTTTATGGATAAATTAGAATAATAAGTAATCATACACATTGGGTTTCTCGACCACACGCACAGACGCACCGGCATGTAAACAAGTTGCGCGGACTGTACTGTGCGCACACGCACATGCCCATATATAGTATAGACACACAGACTTAATTGACTTTTGGGGCAAGCGCTGTTAGCGAGCACTTTTGAAGGCGGACACGGCACGTGACAGGGTGGGTGGCCAGCACCACGCCCGGCCGTCTTTGTCTCCCCAGTGGCAAAGTTTACACACCGCACCAGGTACCAATTTTAGGCTGGGTCTACCTAGGGGAGGACCGGTTTCAAATATTCGATGTTGGCCGTGAGCGCAGCACGGCATGGGTAGGGCCTCATCCCTCATCCAGCAGTGGATTGACAAATGGGCTGTACGTGATGGTGGTGACGGTGATGCATCTGCTAGTCATCTCAGGCTGCACCTCGCCCTGCCTCTGCTCCACCAGACACGTTCGCCTCGTCACCCTGGCCAAGGCCCTGACCCCAGCGTTCCTGCGCTTTGGGGGCACGAGGCAGGACTTCCTGATCTTCCAGCCGGAATCTGGGAGCCCCTCGTGGGTTTCCGGCTTGACCCCCTCGTGGGAGAACAATGGTAATTATTGCCTCTTTATTGTTCCCCAGGAAATAAAGCCTCGCCCGAGTCTCAACGCTTCTGTTTCAGGAGGATCCTGCTACAGTGGGATGTTTGGTCCATTCTACATGCGAGCTTTTTGGCATCGTGCGTGCGGGAGGAAAGTGGAGTCCCCGGAGAAAACCCACCAGCAATTGAGGGGATAACACGTACATTTTCACCGGTCTGTCGCTGTGCTCTCATCTTGTGGCCCCCTCGTTGCCCAAGCTAACGACGCTCGTTATTCAACCGCAGTTCGCTTGGGCAGCGCCACTGCCGGGCGTGGTTTCTCCGTGGCAGCCCCAGCCATATGGATTGCGGCCATCATCATCGTTGTCGTCCCGCTGCACAATCACAGCAGCAACGTTCAATCTACACTGGCTTAAAGATACGCTTAAAGAGACACTTAAAGGCCCCACCATTTTCTCGCGCGGCATTCGAGCGATACTCAGCTTGGCTCCGTGCCTCAGTCACAGCCGTTTATGTCCGTGAAATATTCTGTGTGCATTACAAATTGATTTATAGTAATTATTGTGATTATTGCCAGGCAATTTTCCATCAAACTATGAACTGGGATTCCAACGAGATCGGGTGCATTGAGGGTGGATGATTTGGATTGCTGGAGGCGAGGAGACGAGGTTGAGGATGAGAAGGAGAAACGCCAGAGTCTTGCATTGGGAAGTTTGGCCAAATCCTCTACTGAATGAAAATAATAGTGTGTGTGTTCATTTACTTGACAAAGATCATTGGCCAACATACTTTTTATTAAAAATAAAGGCACCAACGCTTTATTCGATGGCAGTGGCTCCGTGGAGTGATCAGTGACTGTCGCCAGCCACAGAAGGAGACCGAGAGCCTCTGAACGCAGCTCAGGGTTAAGTTTCCTGGCTCTATTCCGGACCTCAATCCCGTCGTCCCGAGCTCCCGCTTCTTCGCCGTTCAATGTCTCTCCGCGTTTCAGGAAAATGTTTTGAAAGGAGATCCTACTTTCAACAATTGACCAATTCCTTTACCCAAGGACTATAACATATTTATTTATCTATAAAGCGTTTGTGAATCTCAAGGCCATTCTTTTTTTATCCAATAATTTATTTCGGAATGTCTTTCTGAGTCTCAAGGCTTCTATGTCAGGAGGATCCTGCTCTGGGATGTTTGGCCAGTACCTTATTGAGCGTATTTGTTCCTGTTATTTTTTGTTTGGTGTGGATAGAAGCTGCAGTAGCCGGAGAAAAACCCACACATACGAGGGGACACCACTAAAACACGTCTGCACATAGTAGAGAATAAACGCAGCAGATCAGCACCCCTTTGGGGAGATGAAAGCTTGGATTGACAAGCATGGAATGACACTACTGAGGAAGAGGAACATAGGGCATAGGGAGACGTTCGCAAGTTGGAGACATCACAGTGACCGTAAAAGAAAGTGAGCGGGCTTGGGGCAGAACAGGTCGTCGCTTGCAGACTCGTCACGGAGACGAATACGTCCACAACGAGAGAGCGGAGCGATGAAGTCCGCTTAAGCGTGCGGGAGCTCGGTCCACCGTCACATCGCGCATCCCTCAAGGATGGCAGCGGCTTGGGGGAGGTCTCCATCCAAAAGTGGATATATATCGTGGCTGATGACGATGACGTTGATGACCGGCAACCCTGCTCGCTGCACCACCTCGCTGCCTCTGTGGCTGCAGAGTGATTTCTGCACCGTGATCTGTACACGTGGCTCATCGTGCCTGGCTCGTCTGACCACCGAATTGGTTGGCGCTGTGCGGTGTCAGGTGTCTGTATGTGTCAGTGATGCACCGGTGCGCTAAGTCTGTCTGTCGCGCTCCTAGCAGGCGGCTTGGGTGGGGGGGGGACGAGGGTTTAATGAGGACGCTACGTCAAGCCGCGGGTCGTCACAGCCAGAGCCGCGAAAAGGGAGCACGCCTGGGCAAAGAGCAAAGAAAAGGGGTTGCGTCTCCGTGGCCGAACCATGAGCGTGATGATGCATGTTTACACGTGTGTGTGTGTCCAGGGAGCGAGAGTATATCGGTGAGTGCGCTGCATTGCAACCCCGGTGACCTGAGTTCGTGAGCATCTCCTAGGTCGACTCGGCCTCAAATGAAAGCTGGTGCAGTGGGTAACCATCGCCGCTGGGGAGACAAAGGTGGCTGGGCATGGTGTTGGCCACCCACCCCTTTGTGCGCCGTGCCAGCATTCCATAGGTGCTACTCGCTAACAGCACTTGCCCCAACAGTCTGTTAAGGCTACACGGAGGACCTTTGTCTCTCTGTATGCGTGGGTGTGTGCAGAGGTGCGGATGGAGCCCCGAGTCTCGTGTCGCCCCCCGCTCTTCTCGGAGGCGAAGATCCGGAGGCAGAGGCAGAGGGCAGAGGAACTCCTGCCAGGGATGCTCCGAGATGAACGGAGAAAAACCTTGAAGAACATCACCATGACAGGTCCCAGCAGCATCACGCACTGCCACAACAATGAGCAGCATCACATACAGCACCATCTCATTCAGCGTCGAGCATTGGATTGATAAAGCTTGGCACATTTTGTTTTTCATCACATCGTAGAGCACTTGAGCATCACACGGCTGCATCACCATCATCTCCGTATATCCTAGAGCACTATCGCTCAGCTCCATCATAATCATCATTTCCATCACACATTGCAGCCACATCACACGGCTCAAAAGCAACGGTTGCACACCACCACCGCCACCATCACACGGCAACATCACATGTCAAAAAACATCACATCGGTCCTCATTAGGACTTAAAACTGAACAGTGTCCGGGCCGTCGGTGAACTGGTGGAACTTGACCAGTAGCCGTAGCCAGAGTGAGAGAGGTATCCTGGATGTGGTGTACTGGGTGTGGACCTGGTTGAAACTAAGCCCTGGTCCTGATCCTTTTCTTAATTTTTCCTCCTTCTCCTGCCCCTCGTCCTCTCCTTCTTTTCGACCGTAATTCTCCTCTTGCTTTCTTAATCCTGATTCTCCTGCTGATCCGGCTCCCGCTCTCGATCCTGATCTTGTCCCTGCTCCGGCCTGCGGGCGTCACAGGCGCCGCGCTGGACGAGCTGCTGGGCTTCTCGGCGTGCTCGGGCCTGCGCCTCGTCTTCGGCCTCAACGCGCTGCTGCGCGGCCCGAGCGGCGCGTGGGACGACGGCAATGCGCGGCTCATCCTGCGCCACGTCCACGCGCGCGGCCAGGACCACGTCTCCTGGGAGCTCGGCAACGGTGAGGGACGCGCCGCACCTCACCACGCCGCACCGCACACCGCGTGGCGTAGCCGCTGTCGAGTTGCCGCAGGCGGCGCAACTGCACCGGGGCCCTGGGACCTCCGGTGGGAGGGGTGGGGGGGAGGCGGTGACGTGGCCCGGCGGTGGCGTGTTCGACTCTTGCTATGGGGAGGTTCGCGGTTCGAGTCGCGCCTAAATCCGCCGCACGCAGCAGCTTCCGTCTCACCTCGCCGAGCAGCAATGCCCGCGGGGGGGAGGGGGCCTCAAGGGACGCTCCCGGTAAAGTGCGGTGCGCACGTTGTAACCCAGCGGGCGAGCGTTCGTCGACGGCGTCCGCATGATCGCCGCGCGCACGGTGTTTGCTTACTGCGCTCAGAACCCAACAGCTACCCTCACGTGGCGGGGAGGCAGGTGAGCGGAGCGCAGCTCGGGGCAGACTTCTTGGCGCTGCGGACGCTGCTCAGGTCGAGCCACCCCGCGTTCCAGGATGCGAAGCTCTACGGCCCCGACATCACCCGGCCGCGGCGCAGCGCCCTCACCCTGCTCACGGGGTAGGAGGGGCCCCGCGGGTGGCCGCATCCACATCCCTGGGTCTCTGCGGTAGGTCATGTCTATTTGTCAAATGACCCGAGGTCACAATCCTCCAGTGACATGACTCTGGGTTACATGACCCTGCCTCCTGAGTGTTTGTAACACATGGCACTGGGTCAACAGTTTTTTTTATCACACACCTGGGTTACGTTTATGTGCCACGTGACCTTGGGTCACATCTCTTGGTGACCTCTCCCCTCTGTTTCCCCCCCCCTCCCCCTTCCCGGCACAGGTTTCTGGACTCGGCCAAGGATGCCATTGAGGCTGTGACGTGGCACCAGTGAGTGAATGGCCATTAGAGCTGCTCCCAATATCCTGCAACTCCTCCGTTTGTTCTGGTTCTTCCTCCTTAATCGCCACCATTTGATGGGGGGGGGGGGGGGCGATTGTGCCAGGGGGCTATTGTGCACTGGGGTTACTCCACATTCCAGCTATTGAGTCGATCAATACAGTAGAGACACTGACATTTCATTATAAACGGTTTGCATGGCTACGTCCAATGCCATCTTTTGCCACTGTGACCTTTGACCTGTGCCCTCGCAGGTATTACATGAACGGACGCACAGCCACGCTTGACAACTTCATGGACCCCCAGATGCTGGACTCTCTGGCAGCAGAGATCAGCGCCGTGCAGGAGGTGAGACCCCCGTGCGCCTACTACCCCCTGCCCCGTATTCCAAACCCCATGCCCCCTACAGTACTCCTCTGTCTCATGCCCCTATCCCATATTCCTCTGCCACTTGTTTTATACCCCAAATCATATATCAGAGGTCCCCAACCCCCGGGCCGCGGACCGGTACCGGTCCGTGGCCTGTTAGGAACTGGGCCGCACAGCAGGAGGTGAGCGGTGAGTCCGCGCGTGGCCCGCCCATGATTTTATTTACCACTTCCATCTTTCCCGCACTACGCACTTGTCTCAGTCACGGTTTTGGTAAGCCCACAAGCTGCTAACCCCTAGCCACAATGAGTAGAAAACAAACGTCGCTGGAGAGCTTCTTTGAAAAGGGGGAAAGACCCAATGATGAACCCCCCCCCCCCCCCCCCCCGGTCTGTGAAAAAATTGTCTTCCACAAAACCGGACCTTGGTGCCAAAAAGGTTGGGGACCGCTGTCTTATATCACTGTGCACTACGCCTCTTGTCTGTGCATGCCTACCTGTCTGTTCACCTGTTTGTACTCGCCTGTATGTACTCACCTGTGCTAACGTGTGTGCGGTCACCTGTATGTACTCACCTCTATATACTTACCTGTGCTCAACTGTCCATTCTCACCTGTCCACACTCACCTGTTCGTGCTCACGTGCCCGTAGGTGGTTAACAAGGAGGCCCCGGGAAAGGCCATCTGGCTCGGCGAGACGAGCTCGGCATGGGGGGGCGGAGCGCCGGGGCTATCGGACACCTTCGTGGCAGGGTTCATGTGCGTGACCCCGACCCTGACCCCAGGCGTGACCATCACCCCACGCCAGACTCTGACCTGAACAGTCATGGCCCTAACCTTGACTATCACCCTAACCCGGGCTTTCACCCTGACCATAATGCCGATGACCTCAATACACTTAATTCTTGTATCCCAGGCCCAAAACGGCTTCACAGCCTCCACACCACCTCTTACCATTACTACCACCAGAATCCCCACCACTTCCACCATCATCACCACCACCACCTTGAAAATTCACCACCACCATCATCACCTACTCACCACCACCACCTTGATAATCTGACATTGACTTTGAGGTGCTTAAGTCGGGTGACAATGAGTGCCATTGTAACCCCCGATCCCCCCACACGCTGCCCCCCCACCTCCACCCCCCCACCCCCTCCCGAACCCCCCGCAGGTGGCTGGACAAGCTGGGCATGGCGGCACGCATGGGAGTGGACGTGGTCGTGCGTCAGGCGTTCTTCGGACACGGATCCTATAATCTCGTGGACGACCACCTCAACCCTCTGCCGGTTAGAGAGCGGGGAAAGGGTGGGGATGCGGGGGGGGGGGGGGTGGATTGCGGTGGACTTGGGGGTGGGGGGGATGTGCGGGAATGGAGACTGGGGGTTACACCTTTACAAGGCGAAGTCAGTGTTCGCAGATCAGGCTCGTCCTTGTTTGGGTTCATCAGTTGGCAGTGCCAAGACAAGCATCACAGGCTAGTGATCGTTTAACAGGTCCTGGACTTAGACTTCAGCAACCCACACTGACCAGTGTGAAGTATGGTCAAACATTCGACATGACATGGAGGAAGCCGCCATCCTGCAGTGGACTGAAATACAGCAACAACTCTAAGTCATAAAATGATCGCTTAATTATCGCAGCAGGAGAAGAGGAATGTTGGTGGCGTAGGTGGGAGAAGTGGAGTGTTACAAACAGTGACAAAGATGCCCCCCCTCACCCCGGTATGGCTTTGTAGACCGTTAGACAGTGGAGTCTCGTGACATCCCCACTAGGTGGGGCTGTTGTGAGTGACCTCAGAAACGACGGTGTTATGATTAAGAAAAACCTCGTCATGGTTGTTGGCCGCCTCGTGAAAACGAATGCCTACCAACGGTAGGCATTCGTAAACAACACGAAACAAGACAACAAAGCACTCAAATGCTGTCCCCGTGACCCTCAAGTCCATGCTACACAACCCATTTGACACCGCTAAAAGCCTAAAGAACAATTAAAGATCAGCTGCCACTACTCAACAGATTAGCCAAGGCAACCAAGACACCGCGCACTGTGCAATAACAGTCGCGTGTCGTCGTGAAGGCCGTGAGCTGCTACAGGTCACGGTGCGACCTCGCCTCGTGACATCGTCTCTCGTCACAGCCATGGCCGCCGTTGTCACCGCCCTGAATGGGTCTCAAGCGGCGTGGCTACAATGCGAGAAGCTCGTCGCAATGAAGGGAAATCTCTCACTCGGATGCCTTCACAGCCGCCCCGAGACCTCCCCGAGGCAAAAATCAGACTGCTTAAAATGTTATCTTCACTAGGCGATTCACGTTGAAAGAAGCATTATATTGTAAAAAAACGTAAACACAACAAAACAAATTCTAGAAAAAATATTTATCATCTCCAGCTGCTTGGTGGAGCGGTGCCCAAACGCCCCTAGTGAACGAACCGCGGCTGCCGTTCGTGCGAGAACCAATTGGGGCCTCACGAGGGCGGCGATGTGGCCCACACTGCCGCCGGCCGTCTTCGTCTCCCCAGTGCTGATGTTTACACACCTCACCAGGTGCTCATTTGAGGCCGAGCGGACCCAAGGGAGGCCCAGGTCGTGCACACGTTGACCGCGTCCTCCCCCCCACAGGACTACTGGCTCTCCCTCCTGCACAAGCGACTCGTGGGGGGGCGCGTGCTGCGCGTGGAGGCGGAGGGGGGGGGCACGCCCTCGGTGCGAGTTTACGGGCACTGCTCCAGGTGAGGGGAGGGGCACACCCACCCCCCTTCTACACCCCTCCCCTTCACCACCACCCTCCCCTCCCCTCCGCCCCCCACCCCTGCGCTCCACGAACCCCCTCTTCCTCTTCTACCCCTCCCCTCCATCACCATCCTCCACCCACACCCCTCCCCTACACCACCCCTCCCCTCTGCCCCCCACCCCTTTCCTCCGCCCCCCACCCCTCTCCTCCGCCCCTCCCCTCCACCCCTGCGCTCCACGAACCCCCTCTTCCTCTTCTACCATTCCCCTCCATCACCATCCTCCCCTCCACCCCCACCCATCCCCTCTACAACCTCCCCTCCACCACCCCACCCCTCCCCTCCACCACCCCTCCCCTCCACCACCACTCCCCTCCACCCCCACCCCTCCTCTCCACCACCACCACCACTCCCCTCCACCCCACCCCTTCATCACCCCCTCCACCATATTATAATGACCCTCCTTCATGGCATATAAATAGAGAGACCAGTAGAGAGAGTGGACAATAAGAGTTGTGGAGACTGCACTGGTTTACACCATGGGGCACGATGAGCATGCATCGTAAAAACATTTCCTGACGAATAGCTTTTTTAAATTGGAATGTGAACAGTTACACTTTTAACAGCAGATCTTGCGATCAAATTCGTAACACACTTTGTGCACTGATGATGTTGACGGTGGTGGTGGTGGTGATGCCCTTCACACAGGACAGCCTCATCGATTCTCAAAACTTTCAGTTGGGCCCTGCATTGCGATCGTTGACGATCTCCACGAATGCTGGTTTAAAAAAATAGTGGCAGCAGTGGTCAAGTTGATGATGACATCGACGATGATGACGGTGGACTCTAAACCCAACCCCCACCCTCCCCCCCCCCCCCCCCCCCCCCAGTACGTCCTTCCCCGCGGGCTCCGTGACGCTGTTCGCACTGAACCTGGGGTCGAACCCGGCGTCTCTCTCCCTGCCGGCCCCGCTCAGCGAGGGCCCTGCCCAGGGCTTCCTGCTGCTCCCCGGTGACCCCGACGTGGGCCTGCGCTCCAGGTAGGTGCACACGATCCTATTAACTGCACTCGCGATCCTATTAACCGCAATCATGATCATTTTAACCAACATCAAGATCCTATTACTTGTTCCCACAAACCAATTCATTGCACTCGTGATCCTATTAACGATAACGATGGGTTAAACCACCTAGCAACATTGCCTTACTCCCCCCCCCCCCCCCCTATGGACAGACCATTACCCGTCCGTGAAGCGTTGAACCTTCTCGATAACCTAGTGCTATGAAAATGGCGCGAATATTACGAAAGCACCAAGCCGCTTTAAAACCATCACTATCATCCCCGCACATCCCCATCCCACCCGCCCCCCACAGGACCGTGATGCTGAACGGGACCCCCCTGCGGACGCAGGCTCACGGCTCGGTCCCCGAGACCCCGGGGGTCCCCCTCCCGCCGGGGTCCCCCCTGGCGCTGCCCCCCCGAGCTCTGGCGTTCTTCGTGCTGCCGGAGGCGCGGGCCCCAGCATGCCTCCAGCGCGGGCGGAACGCGTAGGCGCCGTGATGTGGCGGTCACGCGAGATCGGTGACAATCACCGCAATGATAATAATTGTGAATTATAATTCTAATAATATGATAATAAATTATCACAATTATTCATGATAATTATTATTGGTCAAATAGTGGAACAGAGGTCATCGTCTCAAGATCGGCAGGGTCCCGCTACATTGGGATGTTTTGACCAATTCCAATAATGAGCATGTGGGAGGTAACTGAAGTGCCTGGAGAAAAACCAACCGTGCACATACAAGGGGCAGCTTTTTTTTAAAGCACCGCACAGATAGATTCAGTAATCCCTGACTTTATTGCCATATCCTGATCCCCTCGTAGCCCAAGCCTATGACACATTGTATTTCTAGGCAGTCTCCCATCCAGGTACTATCTAGGCTCAAACCTGCTTAGCTTCCGAGATCCAACGAAATCGGGAGAACGCAGAGCCATTTGGCCACTGGAATGTGCATTTCGCGTTACGGTACCGCGATTGCTGTCGTGACGGCACGGACGCCCGCGGTAATGGGAAGGGGTTGTGCTGAAGCAAAGCACGCTTACTTGAGCCACATTTTCGTTTTAAGGTCTATCATGTTTCTTAGCGATGAATTTATTCAATTTCTTTTTTGATTCCTTAAATAAAAAAAACTCGTGTAAATGTAAACATTTTTGGGGAATCTGGATCAAGCAAATTACGTGGATTTCCAGGGAAATCTGGAAGAAATTCCGTGGGAAGCCTTGAGAAATTTGGAGGAAAGTCTGAGAAATTTGGAGAAACCCCAAATTTCACCAGTCAGCTTCCCCGTGCCTTCCGCACATCTTCCAGCAGGAGACTCCAGAGGAGAGGAGAGCGATGTGAACCGTGAGGTTCGAGAGGCAAGACTTGGAGATCGTTGAGGTGGAGATTAAAGCCGTAGGACATCGATGACGACGATGATGGCCCAAGTGCCCTGCCCGACAAAGGGAACCTTCTAAGGACACAATGCCACTTTGTCAAAGTCACCCACTGCCCACTGTGGGTGACATAATTTCCCGTCGCCGAATATTTACCTTTCTTTTGAGGTCTCAAGTCTTACAAATCTGTTGCCAGAAACATCGTGTTATTGACACAGAATGTGTCTAGATTGTTTTGTTTGTTAATTGTGCTTGTGCACCACTGCCAACGCAGCAGCAGCGGCATCGGCAGTATCGCTAAATAATGCGTTATTCTGAACGTGATCCACGAGTTGGCGGATAACCCGCTTGTCCGACGGCTGAGCGATCCCTGTCAGAGTTTCATCCGGCCAGACGAGCACCAACCTTCCGCTAACACGTGCGTCGCACAACTCTTTCTGGTTATCCACCACTGGGGCAGTATGTATATATGTTGAACTTCTTTCGAACCGTACATAAACAACCATGCTAATCGAAGGCGCGGAGGAAGGACAACCAACTAAAAACAAAAAGCAGTTCTTAATAAATGAGTTTTCAATCTAGATGATTTGACGAAAGGAAGGGCGTTCCAGACGGCCGCAGAAGCGCATTTGAGAGCGCGGTGACCCCTCTGTTCAACGGTTAGCCATAAGTCACTGCAAGGATGACCGGAGCTCACTCGATGGTTTATGCTCCTTGACGAGATGTGTGGCAAGCACTTTGTGTAATGAGTGCCCCTTTACGTTTTACTATAAACATTAAACACAGACAGATTAAACGACATTGTGCCGTCATGCTGTGTAGTTTACGTGCAACATACAGTACTGAGCCACATTCATTTGCTTGACGTGCTTTCTCACGCTGTTCCACTGCTCGGAGCGGGCAGCAGTCACGGAATGGAACTCAACCAAGAGGCAGTCTGCCGTGGAGATGGAGTGATGCAAATTTGCTCGTGTGTATGTGCCAGGTGATTACGTGGCAATATCGATGAGCACGGTGTGGTACGTACGATGCGAAAGAAGTTCAACATACATCCGTGAGAGATGGCGGTGGCTTGGGGAGGCCTTCATCCAGCAGTGGATTTGACATGGCCGATGGTGATGATTGCACAGTATCATTTATCGTCATCATGCCCCTTGCAAGGGAGAGCTGGAAAAGATATATGGTGGATGTGAATTTGGATGGTGCTTTATGTACAGGATATAACAGTGCACACAGTAGAGTCAATCAAGCTGCCCCTACTTAAAGAGATATGAAGCGGCACTGAATATTTGTCGATGGCCCAGAGCCAATGGCATAAATTCCACATTTCTATGGCAGGGTCAGTTTTTGCATAGGACAACTACTGTTGGCTTCCCTTAAGATGATGGTCATACAGTCAGTGCATCAACACAGTGGGGGCGATGACGAATCACACAGATGGACGCTGATTCACAGATGGGTTGGTGACGAGTCACATGCTGATGATGGCGATGATCGTCGATTGGTTCAACTCGCGGTTTGCCAATCGTGAGCCGAGGGCGCTGACCGCAGCGCGCAGCGGCGTGACGCCGGACGCACCACGACGTCTGCTCCAAATGCGTGGGAAGGGATGTGCAGGGGGGGGGGGGGGTGAATGATGGAAGCCACGCAAGGGAAATGCCAAAAAGGCATGTTTTTTCCGTAAAAATAAAAATGCCAAGGGCCGCAATGCACGTGGTGAATACGAGACGGTGGTGCTTGATAAACAATGTTACGAGGCGGCCCTTAAAGAGCCGCATGCCAAACCTGGAGCCGCAGGTTTTGCCAACCCTTGGTCTGTACCTAATCGCATATCAAGTGCGCGTAATTATTTATTTTCTACCGACAGAAAGAGGCAGAGAGGGAAAGGGAATGTTTGAGGCTGACATTTAAAGAGGGACAGGGAGTCTCGACAGCACACGTGGCTGGGAGAAGGGAGGGGAGTAGAGTGAGATGAGAGGGGAGAGGTAGGAGAGTGCGTGGAGGGGGGTAGAGTGAGATGAGAGGGGAGAGGTAGGAGAGTGCAGGGATGGGGAGTAGAGTGAGATGAGAGGGGAGAGGTAGGAGAGTGCGTGGAGGGGAGTAGAGTGAGATGAGAGGGGAGAGGTAGGAGAGTGCAGGGATGGGGAGTAGAGTGAGATGAGAGGGGAGAGGTAGGAGAGTGCGTGGAGGGGGGTAGAGTGAGATGAGAGGGGAGAGGTAGGAGAGCGCGTGGAGGGGAGTCGAGTGAGATGAGAGGGGAGAGGTAGGAGAGTGCGTGGAGGGGAGTAGAGTGAGATGAGAGGGGAGAGGTAGGAGAGTGCAGGGATGGGGAGTAGAGTGATATGAGAGGGGAGAGGTAGGAGAGTGCGTGGAGGGGGGTAGAGTGAGATGAGAGGGGAGAGGTAGGAGAGTGCGTGGAGGGGGGTAGAGTGAGTTGAGAGGGAAGAGGGGGAGGATGGACAATGGGGTGACGTGGGGGGCACACGTGGAGAGACGATGATTGAGCGGCGGGTGTGGGGCGGTGCTGTAGGAAACCGCTGTTGTTACCCCCCGCGGGCCGGAGTCACGCGTTCCGCATTTGTGAGTGGTCACGCCTGGATAGTCACGCCTGGAGAGTCATGTGACGGAGCTCTGCGTCCCCAGCGAAGAGCGCAGAGCGAGCGCGCAGTCGATCGGAGCAGAGCTGTTGGAGTCGTGCTCCGGGCAGGAGCGTGGGGGCGTCCCAGGTGCGTGCGTGAGGGTGTGTGGGGAGCGGTGGTGCAGTGGTTAGCGAAGCCGGCGACGCGAGTTCGATTCCCGTTCAAGGCTAACACCGGTGACGATTATCTGAATCGGTCCTGGGCCTCCCCTAGGTCGACTCGGCCTCAAATGAGTACCTGGTTCAGTGTGTAAAACATCGCCACTAGGGAGACAAAGGCGGTCGGCGTGGTGCTGGTCACTCACCCCCTCGTGTACGGTACCGGCCTTCATAGATGCTCGCTAGCAGCACTTGCCCCTACAGTCTGTTCAGCCTATACGGGGGGGTCTTTGTTTTGTATGCGTGCAGGCAGTCAAACCCCATGGCACCTTGGTATAGCCCTGTGAGCCATTCGGCTCAGGCAGTAAAGCGAAACCATATGGTGGTGGTGGTGGTGATGCATCAGCCAGTCATCTCAGTCGGTTAACCCATGGCACCTGGGTCTGTCCCGTGACCTCCTGCCAGCGGACGTTCGATACTTCATGTGGCCTTAAAGTGCACATAGCCTGGCACAAGCGCCGTGGTGACGTCACCGCCACTTAGTGGCTAATGACGGTTGTTGTTATAGGTTGTTGCACGTGTGTGTGTGTCACACACGTGTGTGTCACATGTGTGTGTGTCACATGTGCTTGCTAACAGCACTTGCCCCCAAAAGCTTTCAATAGGTCAATGGAGCGGCAGCGTAGTAGTTCTGGGCACTGCGCGCTCCTAACCCGGCCCCTTGAGTTCGAGTCCTGGCCACGGGTAACATCACATCAGAGTCGGTCCTGGGACTCTAACTCAGCCCTAAGAAATGAGTGCCTGTCTTTAATATTGTGTGTGTGCGTGCGTGTGAGATATATGCTTGTTAACAGCACGGTGACCCAACAGTCTATGTAGGCTATCCGAGGGAGGGCGGGTAGGGGGTTTATGTTTGTGTTCATCGTCATCATGATTGGCGGTCATCTATCTACTGCTGGATGAACGCCTCCCCCTCGTTGCTGCTGAAGAGTCGATGTCACCGCTCCGTATCTGCGGTGGTCGCAACCCTTAGGCGCGTTTCCTCGCAAGACGCCACGGTGGCTAGGAGATGTTAACTACCTCGCCTCGTATACAGGAGGATGTGGGTTTTATCCCGACCTTGACGCCTGATGTGTATTTGAAGTTTGCGTGTTGTGTCTCTCTCCCCGTGGTCGCGTGGATTTGTTTTCTCCCGAGTCCTCCGGGTTTCCCCTCCACATTTAGAAACACGCGTTTCGAGTCTTTAGCTGCTGCTAGACATTTCCACGTGATAAGCCAATTCGTTGAGCGATTTGTGGCGAGGTCGCGTCTGATAAAAGGCTAAATATCTCAGTGGGCCTTATCTGATAAAAACAAAAAAAGTTTTATTTTTAAAAAACTTGTTTTAAAACACGCTTTAATTAAATGTACCGTACTAGTAATGACAGAACTCCACGACTCTAGGAAGTGGCCCCGAAGCTTGCCATAACGTAAGGAACCATGGTGATTTACAGCCAACGTCAGTTCAGCGTAGACAATTAGACCCAAGCCGAAACATAACATGTAAAAAATGTTTTAAATATATATTTTATATTTTTATGATAGAATATAGTATTGTCATCAGTATGACATAAGTATACCCAGTTTGCAGTCGATTCGAAATTGGGAAGTGAGTAAAAATTCAGTTACAAGATTTGAGGATACGACAACAACAGCAACAACAGTGAGTTAATTAAAAGCGTGTAATAATAAAATAGCAAACAGTTTAAAATGGCTGCCATGTCATCACCACCAGTCTCCTCCATCAGTCACCATGCCTTCCCGCTCTTGCCCACTTAACCTTCCCAAACAGTCAACATCATATTGTTTGGTTCTTTCGGTGAAGTCACGTAGATTACGATCTACGTACTATCTACGTGACTTTACCGAAATAACCAAAGGATATGAATTCCTGCAGCCACGAAAGTTTTCAGTCAAAAGTCAACGTGATGTCTGTGATTTGACGATTGCTCTCGAACCCACGCGTGTCCCTCTCTCAGCGCAATTCGCAGCATCGCTCCCTCGACGAATCTTCACTTATCAACGTTTTAGCTCCGCGTCCCTTTCAGTGTCCGTCTTTGCGATCCGTATGTGGTGGAAAGCGCTCATTCAATGGCACGCTGCGTTTCCATTATCAAATGTAATCCCCCAAGAACACTTCCTTCCACCCTGCTCTGGAGCATCTCTTGATGTCGGCGTTCTTCACAAACCTCCAGAGTTGGGGGGGGGGGAGGCACACTTTCGCCCGATAAGACAGCGGTGTGAGGGCCGCCACACATTTGAAACCATTGGGGTTTGACAGCAGCACGATGATGATGATGGTGGTGGTGGTGGGAGTTGGCGGCACGTCAGGGACCGCCAGTGGCCCGAGGGCATTGCAATGAAGAGCGCCATTCTTTGTCATCATTTTGATCCAAGTCTGCCTTCTATAATTGTTTAAGGTGGACCCGCGTGTCGCTCAAATCGTCATTTCCTCGTGTTCAGCGAACCTGCGGTGTGGTTTGACACGAAAGCTTGCGCGACCAATATGATGTTTGGCTCCCATTTATCTCGAGCCCCGCATTGCAGCACTTCATTTTTTGGAATTCATTAGTTTATTCCTCGAGTTTGTTTTACGTGGGCGATTGTGATGACTTACACCGCCGACGAATCTGAGGCGTAATTTTCTTTTTTCGACTACGACAGTAGTTTATTTTAGCAGGTAAAGCCCTGCTCAGATATATGAACCTTATGGCGGTACCCCGGGGTACCATAGAACCCCGGCTCTCGCACAATGTCCGTGATGCAGTCACTTTGAGTCTGTTGATGGTCGGCGATGCGGCAATCGACTCATCTCGACGAGCTGTACTCACGATGCACCACCACTACGGTGCATTACGAGCGTTCAGGGTTTCAGCACAATCGTCCTGGCTGCGTTTCGACATCGCGGAGTGACACCAATTTCGGATTGATTGGTACCCCAGTCGCGGAGTTAAGTACACCCCTGGAAAAAATAGTGTCCCAGAAATAAAACATTTAGTTGCCTAGGCTATTTTGTATTATTTGGTATTTTGGGGTACCGCCATAAGGATCATATAGCTCTTTTTCAAAAGCGACCTGACCACTAATGATAGCTAGTTCGACGAAGTGACTCGTAGTATGTGGGAATGTGTGGTAGCAGCCAAGGAATCTCAACGCGTGTTTCGAAATGTGGAGGGAAAAAGCGGAGGACCCGCAGAAAAGTCCACGCGATCACGGCGAGAGAGACACGCAAACTCCAAATATACAGCAGGCGTCAGGTTCGGGATCGAGCCGACGACCTCCTGTATACCAGGCGAGGGAGATAACTTCTCGCCCCATGTGTTTGTGTTAGGAATCACACAACAGAAGGGGGTTCACAATTCCGGTTTTGCTGATAAATCAACTCAACTGGCATTTTTGATGGCCTACGAACCGTCATGATTTGACTGGCTCTGTCGCGTGGTCGGGTGTTGTACAGTAGTTACAAGCTTGGCATTATACCCATACGACGCAAGCCAAAAGAAACGCATTATTATTCAGAAGCTCGAAGCTTTTATTTCTCAAATTCAATGAGAGAGACAATGTGCTCACGGTGTGGCTGTGAATGGCCTTGTTGAGAGTTCTTCTGACTTGATTTGTCACTCACTTTTAAATTTTTATTTCGTTCCTTTCTACAGTCCCTGTTCAGCCGTGCCTTCCCTTTCAGTGGTGTTGCAAGGCCGTAATTATTTTAAAGTTATAATTGCGATGCTGTGTAAATAAAAATAACAATTTGCGAAACCTTGGCCACAATATCTGGACTTGTCTTCATATAACAATGCATAGATTTCTGTTTATATGATTGTGGTTATGGTTGTACTTTATTAATCCCTAATCTCTGCCATTACATACAATTAAACAAGAAAAGGTAAAAAAAAGAAAAAAACAGCAATGTAATACAATACACTATTAGACATTATTGTAAAAATTAAATAAAAAGTCAATCCCATGTGTTAATGCATTTTTTTATATTTTAGGCAGGAAATTAGTTTTCAAATTGAGATTTTTTTCTAGGGGGACCCCCAGACCGCCTGGAACATTTGATCCCCCCCAATGTTGACTCCATAGCTACGGCCTTGGTATGTTGGGAGCATCGCGTCATTCATTGTTAACGCCTTCCATTTGTGAGAAATTGGGAGGCTCCATAAAGTCTCCACTGCGTACAATGTCTCTTCACGACGTGCAAAAGCGCGAGTAAAACGTGCCACCGCTTGGGCAAGGCTTCACTTGAGATGACATGCGTTTGTCTTTTTATCCAGATGACCAGGACATGTGATTGTCTTTTTTCACAGGACATGACCAGGACACGTGATTGTATTTTTTCACAGGACATGGCCAGAGACATGCGTAGTCAATGGCATAATTTTTTTCCCCTAAAACTCAACTCGCTGTAGTAATTTGTTGGCTTCTAAACCGGCTGTGTAAAGTTTATAGGCACGCGCCAAGGGGCGAATGGGGTATGTAATTACTCAAATCAGGTCGGTTCCGCTTTCATATATAGAAGAGTTATCGAGCCCATCATTACACAAACGAGCCGTTTCATTCCTGCGTAAACAAAGGCCTTAATTATAATATATATTGGGGGGACACATCCCCCCCAATATTCAAATATGCTCAAAATGCCCCCCCCCCAATATATTGCTTTAAAAGATATAAAGATAATTGCATAGATTTATGTTTATATGATTGTGGTTATGGTTGTACTTTATTAATCCCTAATCTCAAACATTACATACAATGAAGCAAGAAATGGTAAAAAAAAGTAAAAACAGAGCAATGTAATATAATACACTATTAGACATTATTGTAAAAATTTAATAAAAAGGCCATCCCATGTGTTGGTGAATGTTTTAATATTTTAGACAGGACATTCGTTTTCAAAATGGGGGGGGGGGGGGGGGTGGGGACCCCCTGGAAGGTCTGGTCCCCCCAATGTTGACTCCATGGCTACGGCCTTGGCGTAAACGTTGAGTTGAGTTTGATCCAATCGCTGGTGTCCCCTTGCACTCTGGCGATGTCCCTACAGTTGTGCGACCGGTCGAGGTGTTTTTGCGTTGTTCAATAACACCGTGATGTCCACGGAAATGTTGGCCCAACTAGCCATGGCAGTATCAGTGGGGGTCGACAGAGAAGCAGATGCCGCCCAGAGTCGCTGGGTATGGATGAATAAGACTGTGGCTTTGGCCAGAGCTACGTACAACAAGCAGACTGGCCGGAGAGAGAGGGGGAGGCTTAACGGGTGCGGCATAGGCTGCATAAGAGAGGTGCTGATGCAGTACAGGAGGATTTGGAGCTGAGTGTATGTGCCGTCGACTGATACCGGCGGTGTTAAGATCGGCCTCTGTATAAGAGACTTGTGAAGGACGCTACTGGGCAGCAGTTTGAGGCAGTCGCCCTCCAGCGATGGGGGGGAGCAGAGGAGTGACACAACAACGAGTGGAGCGCCGTGCGGCTATAACGCAGTCGGCAAGCTGGCGCAAAGGAGAGCACAGGCGGTGCATCTGCCAGTCATCTCAGACTGTCAACCCATAGCACCTGGACTTGCCCCGTGACCTCCTGACAGCAGCGAGCCTTCCACACTTCACGTGACAGCCTTAAAATCCCCCTCGCCTGCGTGCGTTACTGTGGGAGTGGAGCGGTCAGCGCACTGCACGACAAACCGGCGAACCTTATTCGATTCCCTCTCATGGCCATTGGTGACGAAAATATGAACCGGTCCTGGACCGGTGTGGTGTGCATAGATCAGCACTCGGGAGACAAAGGCAATCGGACGTGGTGCTGGCCACCCACCACTTCGCGATTGGTATCAGCCTTAATAAGTGTTTGCGAAGAGTACTTGCCCTTGTGCTGATATTGCGGCTATACAGGGGATCTTTGTTTAATGTTTGAGGTAGTGGTGGTGATTAGCGGATTCCACCACGAACCCGATGACCCGAGTTGACTTACCAGGCACGGCCAATCAGTTCTGGGCCTTCCCCTGTATCGATTCAGCTATAAAATAGCGGCCCTGTGAACGATTGTTTAAGGGCGCTTCGTAAATGTAAATGCTTATTTAAAAACAACGAGTATCTATTGCGGTTTTTAAACATTAGCTCTGGGAAGATAAAGGCGACTGGGCATGGTCGTGAACACACCACCCCTCCTGCCATGTTCCAGCCTTAATAGGTGCTCGCTAATAGCACGTGCGGCAACGCCTTTGGGGGAGGTCTTTGTGATTATTTGTGTCGATTCCCACACAGCCAACACCAGTGACGATTATCTGAATCGGTCCTGGGCCTCCCCTAGGTCGACTCAGCCTCAAAAGCGTACCTGGTGCGGTGTGTGAACATCGCCACTAGGGAGACAAAGGCGGCCGAGCGAGGTGTTGGCCACCCACCCACTCGTGTGCCGCGCCGGCCTTCATAGGTGCTCGCTAACGGCACTTGCCCCTACAGTCTTTTAAAGGCTATATGGGGGAACTTTGTCTATACGCGTGTCTAATTTTTTCTGTAACTCAATCTAATTGTGCGATGATGAGTCAGATATGACAGTTGTTTTTGGCCGATTCCTATTTGGTTATTTATGGTGAACTTCTTTCGCACCGTACGTAGCCAGCCGTGCTAATCGAAGTTAATTCATTGCTGTGCATTACTTTGTTTTTTTTTTATCACGTTTGTGACAGCTCGGGGTCACTCTTGCAAACTAAACGCTATCCTGATCTCTTGAGTTCTCATCCGGTTCAACAACAAAAAAATGTTGAATATGAAACTCGTGACAGCGTGTGCGTGCAGGTAAGAGCTGAGGGGGGGGGGGCAATGCGTGGTGCCGAACCATGAGGGTCTTGTGCAGCGTCCCCGCTCCTCTCCCGGCTCGTTGCTGCCTCCTCCACCGCCTCCTTCTCAGCCCCCTCCTCCTCCTCCTCGTGCTACTGTTGCTCCGTTGCTCCGCGCCACGTGAGTAACACCTTTTTTTTTACCCAGGGGCACCTCAGCTTCACAGATTCTTACTCGGCAAGCTGATCGCCTGGGCAGCTGATAATCTGGGTAGCAGATCACTCAGCTGGTCACTTGGGCTCGTCATGCAGGCAGCTGGTCACCTGGACACTGATTACTCGGGCAGCTGATCACCGTGGCAGTCGATGTTTGAATGAATTGTCCATCAACGTAATTGCTTGGCATGACCCCGTGTTGGGCATCAGGGGTCAGGGCGCCGTCGTATCAGCAACGCGCGCGGCTTTAGCGACCACACGTAGCCCCGAGAACAAACTCACTGAGAACACGTCCTGGATAGATCACCTGGACACTGATGATATGGTTGATGGTGATAATAATAATATGGATGTATTCTGTGTGTGTGTACGGACAGGTGTGGTTTTGGCTCAGGCCTTGAGCGAGGAGGGGGGCCGCCCCTTGGAAGCCCTCGTCCTAAGCCTCGTCCCCGTGAACTGCACCGGTCACGACAACTCCACGTGCGCGCCCTGCCCCCCAGGGTCATTCTCCAACGCCAGTGCGTCCCCCCCCACCCTCCCCCACACTGTGTGCACACCTGCGAGCACAGGTGTACTTGTGTGTCACATCACATAGGTGTGTGTGTCGCACACAGGTATGTCTCTGTGTGTGTCTGTATCACACAGATGTATGTACCTGTACTCTTAGGTTTTTTCGGTAAAGTCACGTAGGTAAAAATAAAAAATAATAATAATAAAAATGATAATAGAAATAAAATAATAAATCACGACGTCATGACGGAGACTTGTGTTGCCTCCGAAACGTCGTGGTTTATTATTTTATTTCTATTACCATTTTTATTATTTATTTTTATTTTTACCTACGTGCCTTTACCGAAAAAACCTAAGAGTATGAATCCTTGCAGTCACAAAAGCTTCAAATCTGCAAGTAATGTACCTGTGCCACGCAGGTGTAGATACCTAGGTGGGTACCTGTGTATGCACCTATGTCACACAGGTGTGTGTACCTAGGTGTGTGTACCTGTGTGTGCACCCGTGTCACACATAGGTGTGCCCACGTGCGCGTGTTGCTCCGTGGGGGGCTGCCAGTCATCCCTGAGTTGCCGCCCGTGCAGCCCGGGGTCTCACCAGCCCGCGGGGGGCCAGGCCCAGTGTCTCCCGTGCGCGCCGGGCTCCTACTCACAGTGGGTTTTCTCGACTCTCACTTCACGTAGCGCGTAGGAAACACGCACAACTGAAAACGATTTGTTACACGTAGAGGACCACCAGAGCTCGGGTAATTGTTGTTAGAGCTGGCTCACCACCCAGCTGCCACCTGCCAGCTCCGTCTGTGGTTCCTCTGCGATTGTGTGAGATGCAATTTGCATGAACAACCACGACCCTGTATATGAAACTAAACATGATTGTGTATATATATACTTGCGGTAGATGTAAAAGGCATAGCAAAGATCGTAAATGACACAAAAATACAATCGTGTTGTGACAGGCTCGTCACTTGTTATGACAATGGTTACGATGATTGTAATCGTCGATCATATTAGGAGTGTCATTGTTGCCATCGTTAATCTGTCGCTTTTAACGCTTTCCTGTTCCGAGACGTCTGCAAGTTGCAGGGTCGGTGTCCCGTTCACTGCTGAATCTAGGAACTGCGGAAGTGGCTCAGCGTTCATTTTATTTAGAGAGGCAGAGAGCCGTTGTTTTTAAAGACATTGCACTCACCGCAGAGAACCATAGCAACACGACTGCACTCTATGATAGCTGGCGCCAAACTTTGCCACTTTATCGGTACGTCTTCAGGCTGGAAGACGTACCGATAAAGGAATTTTATTTGAGTTTTTCTTCAGATTCCGTTCCCATGATAAACATTTACGCACACGTACGTCACTGGAACGGAATCAGAAGAATCATTAGAAAGGGGAATGCTTACTAAAGGTAATGCGTTACGACAGGACACATTCATCGTTCTGTCGTCAGAACGATTAAAGTGAGCGGCTGGCAGGCGCAAGGTTGCGAGTTCTAATCCTGGTTGGGGTGGGAGAGGGGGTTGACTGGGCCTGGCATCCCTTCAGGGTTGATGACATGAGTAGCAACATCGCGGGGAAGTCAAGTGGTTTGTCCTATTTGTAAACTCGTCCTCGCCGTAGGAATACGGAATTAACAACACTGCCTCCTGTGCATAGGAGATGAACACCAACGCTTAAACGCTCATCTGAGCAAGAAATTTATTTGACTTTTGAGCATTATAAAAGCAAAACCCTCTTACAATACGTTTGACTCAATCAGTAAATCAATCATGAATCGATAAATGAGTGAAATTAAAACTATGACAATTATCATCACCATCATCACTCACTCTAAAGGTCGCTAAAATAATCACTGCTTCGCGCACCGACTGCCACGGCGAGCCATCAAAACCCTTGAACCCGACGCGTTTAAACCACTGCGGCAAAACCCAAAAATCCCATGGAGTTCCCGCCACAAGAACGTGGAATGACACCTGGACCGGCTCATGATGTGCGTGGCAGGGAGCCGGCTCAGCGGCTCTGCTCGGCGTGCGCCCCCGGGAGCTTCGCGCCGCGGCCCGGGGACTCGAGCTGCCTCCCGTGTCCCACAGGCGAGTCCCGCGGGGACAGCGCCGAGACAACTCCCGTGTCGTCATCTCCTCGCCCTCGTCTCCATCCACCCACCCGCTCGTTACCCGTTACCTGTTACCCGTTACCCATTACCCGTTACCCGTGTTTCGGGTTCGTTGTCGGACTATTTGGCGCCGTCCGTCTTTGTTTTTTTTCATGTGTCTCTCTTTAGCTTGAAGCAGAGCAGTTGCCTCTTAACGTGCGTGGGGGGTGCATAGAATTGTAGAGGAACAATTATTCATTAAGGGGGGTTGGGGGGGTGCAGCCCTAAAAAGTCTTGAAACTCAGTGAGGTTTTAATGGAAAAATAAATGGAATGAGGAGTGGCTCCGGTGAAGCCGTGGGCGATGACACTTTGGGGGGGGCTCATTTCACAGGAAGCTTCATGCCGGGATCGAACTCATCCACGTGTCTCCCCTGCGCACCGGGGTCGTACAGCTCGGAGCCCGGCTGGTCTGTGTGCCTGCCGTGCGAGACGGGATTCAACTGCAGGTGTCTGAGTGCCGAGTGTATGGTGTCTGAGTGAGCCTCTGTGTATGTCCGAGTGCGTACCTGTCCGTCTGTCCTGCTTGGTGGGATTGAATTGCAAGCACCCGTCTGTCCGTCTTTAAGTGTGTCCGTGTTTCTCTGGTTGTATCTGAATATGCGTCCATCTGCCTGTGTGTGTCCGAATGTCTGTCTTGGTGGTTTCAGCCCAGTCACCAATGAGTGCTGCTCCCTACTGTGTGGATTCGAGATAACCTGACAATTATTTCAGAAGTAGCTCTGTGACATCCGTTTAATGGACCGTTCTTTAACAACGGAGATTTTAGACTGCCGTGAGATTTCCCAAAATATTTCCATGACCATGTAACCCAGATAGAGCATGCTTTTGGCTAGAAATTGGAGAGAATTTTTTTAAAAAGTTAAATATTTTATAATTTTTTCAAATGTGATTCAACGAGCGTGTGTTGTGGTGCACAGTCGAGAGCGCTGCACGGAGTGTGAGCTGTGTCCAGGCGGGTGGCAAACGGCAGGGCGCGGTGCCCAGCAGTGCCAACCCTGCCCTGCAGGTAACACTCACCTACACGCAGAGGACACTCACCCCCTCGCCTGCATGGATTGAGGCAAACGAATTGACGAATGTTCACCTGTAATGTGAGAAGAAGAAAAAAAACGTCCTAAATTAACTCCAAAACAGAATCCATGCATGTGTAGTGGGTCAATAACTAGTGGAGAGTCTCTCTGAGGCAACACTTATTTTTATTAACAATAAATCATTAACACAAAGGGGTAACGGCCCCTTACACCCTCACTGGCTAATCTAAGCCTTCTTGAGTGAAGCTTGTTGGTCTTCACTGGTATAAGCTTGAGCCGACCCTTGCCAGGGGCACGGCTCTGCCCATTGGGCTCTTCGCTTCAGGAGGCTCTTAGATCGTCGGGTGGACGACGACTGCCGGGACCGTTGAGAGGTCCGATTTTCATACAGAGTCCGTGGCTCGCTCCGCCCCGGCCACGCCTTCCTTCCAGAACCTTCCAGCAGGTCCTGGAGGGTGACGTCATCCCCCAGCCCCCCTCCTGGGGTCTGTATCTCTGGGTCTGCTGTCCCATAGGGGTTACCGTTGGCCCTTTGGGCCATGGTCCCTTGACACTGGGCTCAGTCCCTCTTCCGCCCCCTATTGACACGTGTGGGATACTACCGGCTGACAGCATGGGGAGTGCACAATAATACCTCGACACATGCATTGGTGTCAAGGGCAGTCAGTTTGAACCATTTGGTCAACTAAATACAATAACCCTATCTCTCCAAATGTTATTGTATATCAATATGGAGAGACAAGGGGGAGGAGGCCTACCTGTCCTACCTACGATACAACCTCTGCCCTGGGGCCGTGTGGCTCAGGGGCTAGAGGGTTGAGTCTGCGCTGCAAGCTGGACTCTCTCGAGTTCAAACGCGGGTCAACGACCGCCGGTGATGAACTGGGCAAAATAAAAGTGGAATTTTGCAGCCTCCTCAAGCTGGAGCCACGAGGCTGCCACCGACTGCGATATAAACGGGTGGTGGGGGGGGGGACGAGAAGCGACCGATGAATAAACCAAACGCCATTCTGCCTTGTGACTGACCAAGTTCGATCCCTGGTCCGTGATCAGGGCAGCAGAAGTGGGAGGGCGTCGTGTACTGCACTCCGTGCCCCGGTGGCTACTACCAGCCCCAAGAGGGACAGCAGGGATGCCTGCTGTGTCCTGAAGACTACTACTGCCCGGTGCGACCGCCCGTCCTCTGCTGTGCCCGCTGTCGCCGCCTCATGCTATGTCCGTGCGCTGTACCTGCCACCGAGTTGACAGATTTGGGTTTGCCTGTCGGTGTGCCGCGTCTCACACTCATGGAGCTCTTGCATTGCGCTGTAGCCTTCAACGTGCTATCTCAGCCTTGACTTACATCGGCATGTGCTGTGCTGGCGATGCGGTCTCACCCAGTTCAATTGTGTACAATGTGCGCCAGTTGCTCAGCGAATGGAATGTATTGTAAGTTAAATTTCGATTTAAAGCTTTCGTGACTGCAGGGATTCATCTTCTTGGTTCTTTCGGTAAAGTCACGTAGAAGGGAAGTAATAAAATAATAAAAATAAAACATAATAAAACAATTCTCACGACGTTTCGGCCACAACGCAAGCAGCCGTCCTCAGGTGAAAACCAGGTCCGTCGAGGCGACAGAGTCTGAATGAAACAGCACACGGGCTTGGAGCATATATATAAGCTGGGCGCATTGACAAAGGAATTTGCATATCAACAGGAATTTAGCATATTTATGGGAAATGCAGGAATGTAATTAGTACTGCATATGCATGTGCATTATGCAGGATTAACAGCATCAAAGGGAGCTGTAGTTACTGCTGCTGCAGTAGTTGCTGCTGCTGCTGCAGTTGCTGCTGCTGCTGCAGTTTCTGCTGCTGCTGCAGTAGTTGCTGCTGCTGCTGCAGTTTCTGCTGCTGCTGCAGTTTCTGCTGCTGCTGCAGTTGCTGCTGCTGCTGCACTTGCTGCTGCTGCTGCACTTGCTGCTGCTGCACTTGCTGCTGCTGCTGCAGTTGCTGCCTTATCCATTTTAATATAACACTATGTATTATTCTACCCACCCTAATGTGTATCATACTGCTATATGTTTACTGTACAATTGTACAGTAAACATATAGCAGTATGATACACATTAGGGTGGGTAGAATAATACATAGTGTTATATTAAAATGGATAAGGCAGCAACTGCAGCAGCAGCAGCAAGTGCAGCAGCAGCAAGTGCAGCAGCAGCAGCAAGTGCAGCAGCAGCAGCAACTGCAGCAGCAGCAGAAACTGCAGCAGCAGCAGAAACTGCAGCAGCAGCAGCAACTGCAGCAGCAGCAGAAACTGCAGCAGCAGCAGCAACTGCTGCAGCAGCAGTAACTGCAGCTTCCTTTGATGCTGTTAATCCTGCATAATGCACATGCATATGCAGTACTAATCACATTCCTGCATTTCCCATAAATATGCTAAATTCCTTTTGATATGCAAATTCCTTTGTCAATGCGCCCAGCTTATATATATGCTCCAAGCTCGTGTGCTGTTTCATTCAGACTCTGTCGCCTCGACGGACCTGGTTTTCACCTGAGGACGGCTGCTTGCGTTGTGGCCGAAACGTCGTGAGAATTGTTTTATTATGTTTTATTTTTATTATTTTATTACTTCCCTTCTACGTGACTTTACCGAAAGAACCAAGAAGATGTATTGTAAGTTGCTGTACGATCACTGCATCGCCCGCTTCGAGATGCGTTTCTTCGGCCGTCTGGAACGCTCTTCCGATATTAAGAATATTAAGAAGCCACTGGAGTAATGCACTGTTAAATTATATAGGTTGAAAAAAAACTAACTTCTTTATAACAGCTTTGTGTTCTTCGTTCTTTCGGTAAAGTCGCGTAGAAGGGAAAAAAAGTAGAATATATTTTTATTATTTTGTTATTTCCCTTCTACGTGAATAATAAAATAATTTTATTTTATTATTTCCCTTCTACGTGACTTTACCGAAAGAACCAAAAATATGAATCCCTGCAGTCACGAAAGCTTTAAATCGAAATTTAACAGCTTTGTGGTTTTATTTTTGTAATTTCCCATCGACGGCGATGTTCGTTTCAGTGAACCTATTCTAGGGACTTGCGATTTACGAAGTCAAACATCACTGCGGCATCTTATTAAGACACCCCAAGTGCCTACTCGCCAAGAGAAAACAATACAATATAACAAAAGACTGTCGGATTTCGACTGTAATTATGCCTCGGGTACATGGCTCATGTGGGGCCAAGACAAAAGTGACATTTTCCCGACAGGGCGTCCGTGTGTGTGTGTGGCCACATGGGGGGTGGATGACCGCAGAACTGAGGAGAGGTGCCTGCTCCATCACTTCTCCGCTCCGATTCTCTAACTCATGGGAGCCTGTTCTGGGGAGAATGCAATCCTTATTATGGATTAAAATACATCGCATATTTAGAGTTTTGCACCTCCGATTAGCATGGTTGGCTACGTACGGTGCAAAAGAGGTTCAACATACACACATACGTTCTATCAGTTTGTGGGTTCCCTTGTCTGTATAACGGCATTGCTATTGTTCACGTGTTTTGTTCGATTGTCTAACAACGCTATAACACAGCGTGGCCACGCCAGGCTTTTCTCATTCTCTCGCTTTCACACCATCGCCATCTCCCACCCAACTTAGCACCAATAATGCTGTAACACCGGCACGTTCCCATCTTACTACGTCGTTTCCACGTTTTGGTTCCCGTTTTGGTTCCCGTTTTATCCCCACGTGGTCCCCCGAGTGATCCCAATTCGTCCCATTTTTTTTGGTTCCCCAGAGTCCCGAAAAGGCGCCGCTCCCGTGCCCCGACGGCGCCTTCTGCCCCGCGGGGAGCCAAGAGCCGTCGCCGTGCGTGCCGCCGTTCCTGCGCCGGGGGGGAGACCACTGCTCGCCGAGTCCCCTGCTCATCGGCCTCGTGTCGGGCAGCGCGCTGGGTGGGAACACGCAGGCACAGAGACAAAGACCCCCCCCCCCCCCATAGTCTAAAGAGACCGATGGGGCAAGGACTGTTTGTGAGCACCTATCAAGGCTGGCACAGCACACGATGGTGTGGGTGACCAACAACACCACGCCCGGCCACCTTTGTCTCCCCAGCAGTGATGTTTACCCACCGTCCCAGGTATTTATTTCAGGCCGAGTTAGCCTAGGGGAGGCCCAAGACGGGTTCGGACTTAACCGTGACTGGTGTTGTACCGCGAGCGAGGATCGAACTCGGGTCACCAGGTTCTTAGCGCAGCATGCTAACCGCTAGGCTACCACTCCGCATTCAGTAGAGGGAAGACACACACAGAACACGCAGACACAGGAGACACAACACACACAAAGGATAGGTAACACACACAGCTAACCTTGACAATTCGCCCCATTGTGGCACATTTCCACCAGAAACTCAGAATTCGCAAAGCAGAATCCTTCACTTAATGCTGGAAATAATTTGAGCCACGGATTGTCTAGAATGGTGCCCAACAATGGTTGTGCAACAATGTGGGCACGTGACCATCCTGTTACCGCCATCCCCTGCAGTTGTCGTTGCAGCTACTGTTGTTTACTTCTGCTGCTGACTTGCTGCTGCCTTTTGTTATGCTGCCTGCTGCTTGGCCCAGCTCTGCTGCTGTTGCTGTTCCTCGCTCTCATCCACTGCAATCGGCGACTCCGCGCCGAGCCCGGCGCCCGCACGCCACTGCTGTGGCACTCGAGGCAAAGACGCGGCGACAGGGTCCAGGACCAGGAGCCCATGTACACAGGGTGGTGACCGAGGACCCGGCAGCCCTCGTCGACAAACCCACCAGGCCAGCCGCCCAGTGGTCAATACCCAGCATTCATCGAGCCACAGGGCGGTGAAGCAGCATCCGGGGCTTGACGATGGAGCACCTAGAACCTGAGCGTCCAGCACTCATCGCCCGGCACCATCGACAACACGCGCTGGCGACACAGCACCAATCGGCACCCAGCGTCATCGGTACGCCGTTCACGCAGTGTTGGTGATGGGAGCATCAGGCATCGGCAACACGCAAGCTGGCGTAGGGACATTGAGCAGCCAGCATCATCGGCGGATTTTCTGCACCACGGGCAAATGAATCTCCCCGTATCAAGGCACTTGGGTTTGCAGTCGAGCAGCCAATGCCACCAGAACTCGGCACAACCAACACGGAGCTTAGCGTCTCCATTCAATGACGCACTTTGCGTCGATGTAACGAGGTGGCAAAAACTGAAGGCGTCAGCTTCTGACCTGCACGACCCAGGGGGAGACCCTGCGACTGTCTGGTAACAAGGTCAAATACGCGCTTTGCTTCCTGAAGTGTTAGCGTAATGGCTTATAACGTTCGAAGATTGTGTTGTGTTGTTCATGCCACTGATGAAGTATGTGCTGCTTCGGCCAGAGACCCAGGCATTCCAGTCTACCAATTATGACGACCTGTAATGGGGCCCTCCCGGCAATGCCTTTGTCCATAAAACAGAAGACAAAGTCATAGTGCTTCAGGCTACTTTGTGTAAATACATGCAGCTGTATATGCAACGACTCTATACACCTGTCAGGCATTTAACTCAGGTGGTGGGGAGGGGGGAGATAGCCGAGTCTCAAGGGACAGCAGAGCGGTCGGATCGAGAAAGCCGAGGTTGCACGCTGCTTCCAGTCGGTGCCCATGTTTGGACCGCGTTATACTTTTGCTACTGTACAATAAAGTTTAATCACAAATGATGCCTTCACGCTTTTCTCGGAATAGGTTGGTCGATGACAAAACATTCTTCTCGAGGCACACACTGGCTTTGTTTCTTTCCATTAAGTTATCAAGTTGTTTATTATTACGTTTTTAAATACTCCAAAACCTGCTCCTGCATTGCCTCAATTTCATCATTTTAATCTCAAACTGGCTTCAACAGTTGCACACAAACACTCGTGTGATTTTCAGTTGTGTTCCTCCGACGGTTATGTCCTTGTCAGTGAACCTATTCCAGGGACCTACGAAGCCACGCATCGCTGTGGCGTCTCATTAAAGACACCAAGTGCCTACACGCCGAGAAAAAACAATACAATATAACAAAGGACTGTAGGACATAGACTGGAATTAGGTCTCGCGTACATGGCTCATGTGGTGCCGAGACACAAGTGACATCTTGCCGACTGGGGGTTCTGCTATTTGTGGCCGCAGGGGGTGGATGACCCAAGAACTGAGAGGTGCCTGTTCCAAATACTTCTCCAATCCGATTCTCTAACTGGGGAGAATACAATCATTATTATGGATAATGATTGCATATTTTGAGTTTTGCACCTCCGCTTAGGACGGTTGGCTACGTACAGTGTGAAGAAGTTCAATATACTGTACATACAATATATTGACCCTGAAAATCAACAGAGTCCAAAGGCTCTTTTTTCCACAAGGGTCTTGCATTGGGATGTTTGGCCAACACAAATGACATCGTATGCTTTAAGCCAGGGGTCGGGAACCTTTTTGACTGGGAGAGCCATAAAAGCCAAATATTTCTAAATATATTTCATTGAGAGCCATATAGTATTTTTAACGTATAATACATTAAATGTCTTACTTTTAATGCAACTTCTGGTGCTGCATGGTTTTGCTGATGGCCTTGTAGTCTGGTTCATACGTGGTGAGGTTGAGCTTCATGCAGGCGTGACCCGTGAAATTTATCTTCAAAACTAATTTCTGTTTACTTTCAAATGACACAGTATTATTAATCAATATCACAAGAATTTTAAAATCAGTTCCAAACTGATTTTTTTATTATTTTTTTTTCAACTCAAAATTGTCTGGGAGCCATATGCCGTCACTGGAAGAGCCATATATGGCTCGCGAGCCATAGGTTCCTGACCGCTGCTTTAAGCTATGGGAGGAAACCCATGTAGAAAAGAACAAACTCCACACGAAAGTGTCCAGAATCAGGAATCGAACCCAGGACCTTCTTGCTGCGAGGTGTAAGTGCTACCACTGCACCACCCTGCGACGTGGGCGACGAGATATTTGAAAATATAAGCCCAATGTCGTGCTAGGGGATTGACCCCCACCCATAGCAGACGACGAAAAATCCCTGACCCGGACAAGTCGCATAAAACTGGCTCAACTCCATTCAGGTTACTGCTCCATGCTAGCCGATTACAAAAAAAAAATGCAATCGATTGATCTCAGGCTAAACCCTTCCAAAGTGGTGACGCCACCTATAAACACAGTGCGAGGAAAACAACAGATATTTGAAAATAAACTTATTTATTTACGGGACATCAAGTCAATGGCCCTTATTTATGAAAAAGTGCCACTCACTGCCTGTAAAGTCACCTCTCGTTCACATCTTCCTCGTATCGACGGAAGTGTTCCGTTACTTGTGCTTTATTGGACACGTAGCTTTCAGGTGATTCTGGACGGAGTTGGAACGGCATTGTGAGTTTCATCACACACGTACACACACACTCCCCAAGTGGTGTATTTAACACGAGTCGATTTATTTTGTTACGAAGTTGAATGTGAAGCAAACGAATGTATACAAACAAAACAAAGGGCAGCTTTAGCCTGCCCCAGCCAGTCATGTATTTGCAAATGTACAGCAGTAATACATGAACCTGAGACAACTTGGAGCTAGGAAGTGGAGAGGGATGGGATGGGGGGGTGGAAGGCTATGGGGCAGCATGGCTGAGCAACAGCCCCACGGAGAAGACACATTCACTTGCACATGGGTAGATTTCATAACAGAATCTATTACCGTGTTTCATGCATCTCGCGTGTTGGTCTGGAAAATAATCACTTGAAAAAAAGTGCTACACTTGAATGGAATACAAGCAGTATAAGTTAAGTGGAAGTGTCTCATATTTTTGAGTTAAGAATTTTCAATATATTCAAGAAAATACATTTGTAACACTTGATTCATCGGTGGAGGGGTGGTGGCGGCGGAGGGAAGGGGTGGCACAGCGATCGTGCGGGACGATGGGAATAGCCGAGCACGCCCGTCGTCAAAGCAGAAGTGCCCCTACAATGTAACAATATATTTTTTTAAATCGGCTCAAACAAATGCCATATAAAAAAGGTCAACAGCGAAAAAACCTTGATAAGAATGAGCGCTCCACCGACAAATGTGTCCTCATTATTGCTCAGTTCTATCCGGTTGTTAAAACTGCACGCACCTGCAGATTATGCAAATGTGAGCTTAATCTGGGCAGCACTTTGCACAATTCCAAAAAGCAAGTCCCACCGTTCAGTCATTGCTACTACCTAGAATTAAGACTGCACACAAATCTATTTTCACATTTGAAGAACAAAACAAAAACGCTCAACGGTGTAAAATTTTGAGAATGTGGTTTGTGCCTAATCCACAAGAAGAATGGGCGTTGTTCAGATTTCGGAGATTGCATTGCGGTGCAACAACTGGACCTCGCACCCCACACAGATGTCTGAACTCCCACACGCAGCTCCCTCTGATATTGCAGTTCAACGGAAGAAAAAAACGCCAAATCGAAACTCGCAGCAGTATCATCTCCCCGAGCTGTAAACAACCATCGGCATATGGAGACAAGCCAGGAGCCGGCACCCACCCCCCACTTGGGCAGCATTGCCGAAGCGTCGCAAATTGCGTCCGAAGATTTTTTATGACGCCTGGTAAATCTAGGAATGCGACTACGCATCACTGCTGCGGATGGTCGTCAGTTGAAGGGTTCCACTTTCCAGCCAGTGGCTTGGCCACCAACACTTGCCAGCCAGTCACCAAAACCGGCCAGCTGAACCCTTCAATAAGCGCATTACATTGAAATCAAAGTGAACAAATGGAGCGGCATTACCAATGCTGCTGGCGGGGTTTACAGCGTGCGCAGAGCGCCACCGAGCGGTCTGCGCCTGGCGTTTCATCTCCGAAGCAGCGGTGGACGCAGACGGAAGCGAGGGAACCGAGGGTGGCGTAGCGGAAGTGGCAGGTCACAGCAGCCAGCCGCAAATAAACATCAGCACGACCGTCACTTGACTATCTACAACCATCGTTTTTCAAGGTACGTAATTAAAAAAAGAAGGGTTAGCTTTTATCATTTATATAAAAAAAAGAAAATAATTGAAAGCAATATAACGACAGGCATCTCTCTAATGAACACACCCACTAACAAGCCATCGGAGTCCTCGGCAGCCAGACCCAGTTATTATCACGCTTAGGCTCAAAAGTCCTTTAGAAAATACAATGTCCATCTGTTTCACACAGCCACCACAGCACTGCCCTACAGTTTTCATTAGTGTTTTAAGTTAATGTAAAAAAAATGGAGTAAAAAAAAATTTGTAAGTACATTTTTAGTCTACTATATTCCTTCATGAATCCACAGCCCAACCCTGAAGAGGAAGATACAGCCAAGTGGCATTGTTGGCAAAATTTACACAAGCACTAATCACAAGCCGGGCAAAAAAAACTATTGCTCATATTTGCATTAAGCCGACAAAAACTTCCCTCTGCCGTCCCGTCTCCCGCCCCAACGCCCACCTCTCTCGCCGTAACAATTGTCTCAATCGACTGCCGGTTCCCACAGCTCCCTGCCCCCCCCACCCTGAACGAGGCTGCCTTCTGGGAAGACGAGCAGGTCAGGCAGCGAGTGAAATGCGAACGAACGCTTTTAAATGTGCGCGTGTGGCGAATGGTGGTCAAGGAGTATAAACCGTCACACAAACTTCGGTCATCCTCACAGCAGCGGTTTTTGGCTAACCATCGAACAAAGACGGACATTGCATCGCGTGATTTGATATGCGCGTATCGCGCTTCTGCGGCCGTCTGGAATGCTCTACCTTCAGATATTAGGAAGCCACTGGAGCTATGCACTTTTAAATCTAGATCTAAAACTCAGTTCTTTAGAACTGCTTTCTGTCTTTAGTTGGTTGTCCTTCCCCTGCACCTCTGATTAGCACGGTTGGCTACGTCTGGTGCGAAAAAAGTTCAACATGCATACGTATATACATACACAAAAGCGCTACCTGCAACTCTAACTCTGCTTCAGTGCTCACCCACAGAATGGTCAAGCAATTAGAAGCTTTCCACCATGTGACAACACAAGCCACGCTTCTCAATCCCTGTGTACAGGCAGATCATGCTTTCAAATGGTAATGGCCTTCAAGCATCATACATGGAAGTTGACGAAAGATTCAACAACAAAAAAAGGCCAGATCATCATGAGTGAGTTAACACCTTCCTTGTGTATTTGTTGCCCGTCCCACATGAGTTTGAGGTTTCATAACGAGAAAGAAACATTTTATATGCCCTTCAAGTGTGCTATAGTGACAGCTGCGAGAAAAACAAGTATGGCAGCACTCCCATAGCAACATGATTATAACTCAAGATAGTAATTGAGTTGTATTCAAATGATGTTAATATTTTATTATTTTTTCTCATTTACAAAGCTCAAACGCCTGGGACACAGTCTAAGGTTTGCAGTTGTAAGTAAAAAGCTGATTATTTTCTGGGTTGTACTTTCTTTTCACATGGCGCAGAGTGCTAACCGAGGTCAAGACTGGGAGGTGAACAACTTATTTCCCCCCCCCAGCTTATTTCATTTCCCCTCCCACCACCAAGCCCAACATTCTCAGTGCTCAATACCTGACAGGTCACACCAGTCAGCTTAAAATACACATCAAAATTGCTGGAATCGCTAGAAAAACTCGACATTCCAACAATTGGTAACTTTTTCCCACAGTCACTGTGATTTTGTTAAAACAAATCAATGAATGGGGTTTGATTTTTTTTCAATGCAGGCTGTTGTTGCTGGAAGATGCTGGTTGTAATCACCAGCGGAACGTTATACTCGAATTGTAAATGCTGCGGGTTTACTCTCAAACACACTGGTGTGCTGAACTCTTAACTAATCGGCACGTTTTATTTACGTGATAAATCTTACTAATTGGCGGTGTTGGGTGGTGGTGGGTTTAACGACACATTTATATTTACGCAATCTAACCCAAAAAACCTCTTATTCATATTAGTCGCGAAAGCCTACATGTTAAACTGGAAGATGCTGTCTGGATTTCATAACTTGTTCTATAAAATTCTGGTCCCACGGAGCGAACACCGAGCCATGCGGGTACCTCACCATCAAATCTGCAACTTGTTCACTTTCCCACCGTCATCTCTTAAGGTGCTAAAATTGCTTACGGGATATCAATTAAAAAAATATTCTGAAGCAGACAAACGTACCTCAACCATTATAATACATTCACTGGATTCCTATGTCTGCTCCAATTCGACAGGCAGGAAGGGGGGGAAAAAGAAGGAACACTTGCTCAAAGCTTGAGTGAAAGGGTTCCGGTCCACATTCACGGTTGCGACCCAGGGTCCATTATCTTTATCAACTGCCGTTATCGGCCACTTTTCCCTAACAGTGTTACCCAACCCGAATTACAAAACAAAATGAGCCCGGTGAAGCGCCATTGAGAATAACCCTTCACGCTCGCTATGCGCTCTCTGGCCTTATTATTTCCCCTCACATGGCCTGACTTGAGCTGGGCCCCTGGGACACGTAGGCCGCCACCTTGGGCTGAGAGGTCTTCTCGCCAGCAGATTGGAGTACTGCCCTGCGGGCCAGCTCCCCGATCTCCCGAATCGTTGGCCTCGCCAGGCCCTCCTCCTCGGCGGCGTCGTCACGAGGCACCGCTGCTGCCGCCGCCGCCACCTCCTCCTCTTCCTCCTCCTCTTCAACAATGGTCGCGATATCATCGATCCAGCCATCGTGCTCTTCGCAGCAGATGCGACCGTCCCGGGTGAGGTGGGTGAGTGAGCCGGCCTGGTGCTCCTTGCAGAAGGAGTTGGGGCACAGCTCGCAGGAGCGGACCGATGGGCGGCCACACACGTCGCAGTGGTGCCACGGGCACTCCCATTTACCTGCACGTGCGATGGGGCGGCACACACGCGGCGCACACACCGATGGTTATTGATGGTTGAAGCGATCCAGCGCTCTGAAGGCAAACAACTCCCATGATCAACATGGCACGGCGAGGCCTTCACCTAGCCATGGATTGACAAGGGGCTGTCAAGTACTACAGTAGTCTCCGGATAAAAAAAGGCCAGTAAGACACATACCACACTTGTGCCTGGTGTCAATAAAGTTACACAAATGTAGCCACATGCAAACCTGAAGGATTATAATAGACACTCGTTGGTTATTTCTGTAAAGACACGCGGGTGGAAAAATAATAGATCATGACGTTTTGATCGCAACACAAGCGACCGTCATCAGGTGGAACAGATACAGCAGGACAACTGCTGACATAGGAGAAAGAGTTGTTGTAACAAGAGTTTATATAGGATTTTGGTGGGCTCAACCCAAGGGTAAGTGGGCGGAGCTAGAGAAGGAATTTGTAAGTAAATGTGAGAGATTAGCATGTCAGTGTGAGACGGTCGCTTGTGTTGCAACCGAAATGTCGTGATCTATTATTTTTCCACCTACGTGACTTTACCGAAAGAACCAAAGAGTATGGGGATTCCTGCAGTCACGAAAGCTTCAAATCAAGATTGATTATAATATACCTTCATTTTTTACCTTAATATACAAGGGCGGAAAAAACGGTGTGTCTTACAATCCATGCAATTTTTTGTCATTTATTCTGCTGGGTTGCATGCGTGCATTTGTGCGCGTGTGTGCGAGACGCTCACCAAAGGGAGGCTTGGTGAGGTTGAGGCAGGACAGGTGGTAGGCCTTAGGGCAGGCCTTCTTGTCGCACATGACGAGCTCGCCACCGTCGCCACAGCGGTAGCACTCGTCCTCGTGCTCGGCGCGCGTCGTCTCTGTGCGGGGGCGCCGGCCGCGCGCCTTCCGCTTCGCCTTCTTCGCTTTCTCCTCCGTGGCTGCCGCCGCCGCCGTCTTAGGGTGCGCCAAGGTGGAGTGGAGGGCATGCAATGAAGAGGATGGGAAAGTCACTTTACGCCTATTTTTTACTCGAGAAACCGAGCCTACGATTGGCACGGATGGCTATGCAAGGTGCAAAATAAGTTCAACATACACACATACGAGCCGCGTCGTTCACATATAACATACAATGAAGGGGTGGAGACGTGTGCAGATGATTCTGTGACTCAGTGTACTGACAGCGTACTAACGCCGCAAGCAACGAATGCGTCATTAGCCCAGAGCAAGCTTCACACGTCTTCCCAGGCCCAGCTCAGTTCAGTATACGGCCACCTGGATTGTGAGGGTGCAAGAGAGGGGGGGGGGGCAGTACCTTTGGCCGGACGCCCAGGAAGCCACTGCAGTTGGGGGCCCCACACTTGCAGATAGTTTTTTCATTTCCCAAGCAGTCAAGGTTGTAATTGAACGTCAGCTCCGTGCCTGCTGGGATCCACATATAGAATCACGACAAACCCATGCACGGACACATCCGAAAGACCAAAACGTGTCGTGTGCGTATATGAGGTAATGTAGTAGCTGGTGCACTGGGCTACGAACCCGGTGATCCAAGATCAATACCTGACCAAGGCTAACATCAGGAGCGAATATCTGAATAGCTTCTGGGCATCCCTTAGGTCAACAGGGTGCCATGGTGGCGAGATGCTAGCTACCTCGGCCTGGTATTCAAGAGGTCGTGGGTTTGATCCCGACCCTGACAACTGTATATTTGGAGTTTGCACGTTCTCCCCTGTGGTCGTGTGGATTTTTCTGCGGGTCCTGCGGTTTTACCCTCCACATATAGACACATGCATATAGAGTATTTGGCTGCAATATATTTCCACATAAGCCACTTCGTTGAGCTATCATTTGTGGCCAGATCGCTTCTGAAAAAGAGCTATATAGTTCAGTGGGCCTTACCTGGTAAAATAAAAATAGTTTATAGTTTTAGTTTTAACTGGTGTAATATGTAAACAGCCATTGTGCTAAAAAAACACCCCCTCATGCGATGTGCTAGCCTTCATAGGCGTTCGCTAACAGCACATGCCCCCAACAATCTGTGTAGGTGACACACGGGGATTCTTTGCACGTGCGAGTCAGGCGTTACCTGTAGCGATGTCACACGTGGCAAAGAGCCCCACCCGTGTGTCGCCGTTCACCGTCCACTTCTGGGTCTCGCAGTTGGGCTGGCAGCTGTGGTTCATGAAGCGCGAGAAGTTGCCCTTGGGTCCTGCGTCGATGATGCGATCCTGGTTGTGTGCACGCGAATCAGTTTACGGCTGGGGCTATTGGTCGATTCAGCCGACTTAAATCATCCTAAAACTGTAATTGGTCAGGCCCCTTTAGAAAATGGTAGCAGCCCCCATCGTATACTGCCTCTTAAAAGCTCCCTACGAGCAACACCCAACGTGCCACGACTGATTGATGCTGATCAAGTGTTATTTTAATTGGCCCGAGTGGTTGAACTGATGATCCATGACTTAAATAACCAGATATGCCGGCTAAAAAATGTAGAGCTGTGTTCCACAGAAGCTGCTCTGCAATCATCATATGGGACAGGCTGCCACCTAGTGTTCTGGGTAATGAGCACAGAATGATTAATGAGGAGTAATTCAATACTTCAGGATACATTTCATGAATGCGGAAGCAGTGGGCACAGAGATTTCTAGCTACGGCTAACTTTAGTGTCGGTCCTGGGCACTCACCCCCACACCAGCCCACACCGATGAGTGTGAAGTAAGATTAAACAACCCGAGTGACACTACATAAGGTGGCCTTCATCCAGCAACGAATCAACAAACCGCAGTACATTATTAATTGTTTTATTTACACGATGAATAAAATATTTACTTAAAGCTTTCGTGACTGTAGTAATTCATAGATAGAAAAATATTTAAAATATTATTATTTTCCTATCTACGTGGCTTTACCAAAAGACCCAAAGAATACAGGATGAATAGTCTATTATTCATTTCTATTATTTTCGATTTGTGAGATAAAAACTATTCGGAACGTAACAAACCATACAAACAGGACCATAAATAAACAAAAAAATTCACTCTCGAAAAGAAGCGCAACACCAAATCATCGCATCACGTGGGGAGAGGAGAGCGGTTGAGGTGCGAGTGAAGCCTCACCTTCTCGATAGTGAGCATGTAGAAGTTGCTGAGGTTCTTTTCGTGCGCGTACTTGATGCGCTTGCGACACTCCTCCTCGTCGATCAGCTCCCCCACGTACTCGTTCACAAACTCTCCCTGAAAGGTACATTCAAAACGAAGACGCAACGCAAAAATACAGACAGCTCGTATCTTTGCAAGTCAGGAGCGCCGCCCAACTGCTTTTTCAGCAAGGGCCAAGTGGAAAATCTCTCCGCTCCCAGCGGGCCGAGAGGTTCACGTGGAAACTTTTGAGCTGGGAATTCACGCCAGAAATAAACCACGATTGTGCCCAAGTGACCGAATGAGTGACCGAGTGAGTGAGCGTGTGAGTGAGCGAGTGAGCGTGTGAGTGAGCGTGTGAGTGAGCGTGTGAGTGAGCGTGTGAGTGAGCAAGTGAGTGAGCGTGTGAGTGAGCGAGTGACTCGAGTGAGTAGGCGAACAAGGTGGGGGGGGGGGGGTGGCACCTTACCTTGCGTATGCTGACCAGTGTGAGCAGCCCCCAGCCACGCCCAGCTGTTTTGACGATCTGCGAGGGAGGGTAGGCGCGCTTGGTGAACGCCTGGTTTTGGCAGCGGTCGCCCGCGGGGCACACGGACGGGTGGCACTCGTACTGAAGCATGCGGTTGAGGCACTCCGAGTCGAGGCCGCACGGAGACTCGTCCGTCGGCTTGCAGTTGCAGCGGGGGATTTCCGACACGTCTGCCGTGTACACCTGCACGCGCCCCACCGGCTTGTTGGCCTACGTGGGGGTTAGGGGGCACAGGGTGTGGGGAGTGTGCAATCAGGTTATCGAGAGGCACACGCTCGTTTGAAGTAGTACCGCACGCCTCTGTTTAAATTGCACACCAAGCTAAGTTTCGATTCCCAGAAGCGGTTCCTGCCCTTGTCTGCTTGACAATCCCACACTGACTGGCGTGACGTGCAGTAAAAAAAGAAGCCGCTGTAATGTACATGGCGTTAAGGTCTTCATCCAGCGGTGAATTTCATCAATTACAGAGCTCAGTGGGCCTTACCTGGTAAAATATATATATTTTACATAGTTTAGTTTGAATTATTACTTATTAGGCATGTCACAATTCACACCATAAAAGGTGTGCTAATAGGATATGTAGAGTCCATCGATAACTACTTGCTTCATGCAGATATGAAGAAATTCACTGTGTTTGGTTACATTAACTTAACGCTGCAAATATACATACTTCCAGGAAGCAGCATGAGCAAAAACAACGGAGACGAGCGTAAATATCAATTATGTCTACATTCTTGATTTGAAGCTTTCGTGACTGCAGGAATCCATACTCTTTGGTTCTTTCGGTAAAGTCACGTAGGTAGAAAAATAGATCACGACGTTTCGATCGCAACACAAGCAATCGTCATCAGGTGGAACAACCACAGCAAGAAGCCATCCAGATATATAAACACAGACACAACTTCAACCGAGAAGATGGGTACAAACTGAGCAATCATTGGAAGGACATTATTAACCAGGTAAAGTATTAACTGACTGATGTTTCCATCCTACCTGCCTATGTCAGCTGTTATTTCCGACTCTGTGTGTCTTTCTCTCTCTTTCTGTGCATCTCTCTCCGATCTCCAATCCAGTGACCCGGGTGCTGCCGCGGGGTCCACTTTCTGCCCTGCCTCCTTCCCCCCCCTTCTCTCTCCCCCTTACTGCCGAGGCCTACTATACACTACAATATACACTACACCACACCACACCATACACTACACTATACACTATACTATACACTACACTATATAACCTCGTGCCACGGCAGATCTCTCGCCTACTTCAGCAGTTTTTTCTTGCTGTGGTTGTCCCACCTGATGACGATTGCTTGTATTGCGATCGAAACGTCGTGATCTATTATTTTTCCACCTACGTGACTTTACCGAAAGAGCCCAAGAGTATGTATACATCACTGCAAATTTACAAGCAATACAAGTACTGGCAGACAAAATTGGAATATTCACCATTTTTCCATAAACGGCTGAATTAGGTAACATTTGCAAGCACAGCAGCAGCCACACCCACGTGTGTGGCGAATCAAAGCAAGTTCAAACTGCACTGTGGGTAGACGGAACACCATACAATGTGCTGCTTTGTAGAAGCGGAACCAGGCCTCGTTATAAAACAGGGTTGTGTTAAATAACAACTGGTAAGCCGGTAATCTTTTTCAGAATTGGTTCATCAACATGATCTATGCGCATTTCGTCATTTGTTTCCACTTTCCACTGTCTTGTGCCAATAAGCCTCAAGTAGTGCCACATCTTTCTGGCACCAATCTCTTATTATGTCATCGTCAAATCAGTCTCTGTTAGGTCTTCCCGGTTTCTTACATTTTCCCTGAACAACACATTAAAATTGGTTACTGGCTTTTAAGTGTCAAGACCTGGTTACGATATCCAGCGTAACGTGAGTAACGAATGCACCGTTTGATATGCGCGAATGTACAGAGCACAGGGGCTTGAATGCATTGGTCCTTTGTCTGTCAATAATAAGTTACGTGTGTGCAGCCATGCAAGTACTTGCTCACGCCACTGCCGGCTAAAAGGGCCTCCTGAATTTGATCTACTCTTCTATGCTGACCAATTGTCTTGGAGAGGTGGGTGTGCCCACACTTTACCCCACCACATGTGACTTGCCAATTGGCTAACTGTGCATTACTCATTCTTTGGTTCTTTCGGTAAAGTCACATTACTCATTTATATTGATGGGTGGACTGAGTTAATAAAATATTCCTATCGTGTCAACGTCCATGCAAGTCCAGGTGAGGTGCTAATAACCATGACAACATGGCAGCTCTCTTCCTTTCTCAACTAAAAAGGTAAACATTTTATGTTTAATATCCATTTTTCTACGTGTCAAAGTTGTTTTATACCGTTTTAGCTTCATTCGGTTTCTGATAAAGCAAAAACAACCCGATTTTAACCACCCTATTATAGATAACCCATGTTAATTCTAGATAATAATAAATGAAAGTAACTCAATTAAATCACCAATTTAATTGAGTTATTTTCATTTATTATTATTTTTTTACCTACGTGACTTTACCGAAAAAACCTAAGAGTATAACCCATGTCAGTTATGGTGCAACACCTTGTGTTATTTTGGAGGGGGCACTCAAGTTTTCCACATTGTGAGGCACGTAGCAGTCCAATAATTTATATATTTATAATGCTCACAATACGTCCTTTGAGATTCAATAATTTACTAATTATGCTGAACACTGTGACATTTATTTCATGGAACTAACAAAATTGTACAACAATAACGTGCAATTGCGACCTCCAAATCGTGACCATTATTAAAATCGCTGATGGGGTTGCACAACTCCACCGTGTGTCTGCGTCTAGGTGGGCCCGATGGGGGAAGTGTCGACGGCACCTTGATATGCTTGTAGGTGGGTGGCTTCCGTTCGCTGCGCTCCGTCTCCTGCGCCTCCCGCGTCTCCCTCTGGGCCTTCAGGGCCTGGTACCGAGCGGCCGCCTCCAGTAGTGCTGCAAGCACGCGGCACCTCAAGTTAGCGGTGCAAGACTCGGACGATACCAAGTCAAGAACATCTGGGAAACGGTGACAACGTCTGCCCCTCTGATGGCAGATCTGTCAAGGTGTCAGCACTGCGTTTGGCTGTTCATTGTCAAGCGGTTAAGTCAGCATAAGGTCCTTGAAACACACTTCTGGATTCAAACGCACTGTGCGAGTGCAGGTGTTCCAAGGCCTTTTAGCAGCCGCACCTTCGATTAGCACGGTTGGTTTCGTAAGGTGCAAAGGAAGTTCAACATACACACACAACCCGAACGCTCCTTCCTGGGAGAAATTCCCTATGCGAGCTCCCTTCTCATGCCAGCTCTCGACAGCAGCTGTCAATCTACCACAGCCAGGAGGATCCTCCACCTGGATAGAATCACAACTAGGTAAGGGCCCATCGAGCCCAGGGGTATCTTTTGGCAAGGGAGACTTTGAAAGAAACGAGAGGACAGGGTCAGTCAAAGAGAAAGTGCGCCATATGGCGCTTACGTATCTCTGGTTAGACACCATGTCATCGGTATTGGTATCCGAAGGTACCCCAGGAGAACTTGGTGGCAAAGCAAGAGTTGTGTGCTCATTGAGGATCTCAGTGTCTAAGTATATGTACATATACTTAGTCAAAAACAGATTTTGGGAAACTATAAACTCCGACAGGACCGAAATCATCACAATTTATTATTTACGATTAATACTGCGACACCCACATCGAGGGACTAGGTGATCAAATGACGACAGAGGGATAGGTTTCCTTTGTGGACGAGAGGATACATTTCAGGACACCAATTAAAGATAAAAATAAATGTAATGACGCTTACAATGCAAAACATCTAAACCACTGCACTGACATATATTGAAGTTCATGGGAGTGACTTCACAGGGACGCCATGATAGTGTCGGAGTGTAGATTACATTTTTTTGTCTCAATGAAGCTTCAAATTCGTTTCGTAGGAGCGCTTTACACACTGCTGAGGTGCTATGAGAAAACAAGGTGTTTTTTTTCAATCCATTTTCCTCCAAATTGGATAAAATTACAGGCACAGAAACAATGCTTTATGCGGGTATTCGCACAAAAGTACCACGTTTGAAAGTCTTGTTGAGGCAGTTCGTCTTGTAGTCGGTGGAGCCCTTGTCGCCCTCCATGTACGGAAACACGCGACCCTGCGTCGTCCAGTAGTAGTCGTGCGACCCAAAGAACTGCACGGGAAACTGCCCGACCGTGTGCTTGAGGTTCTGGATGTTCTGCGGGACATTGCGCGGCTGGCAGATCTCAGCTGGCCACCACCTGGCGCCGGCACACACACACGAGGGGAGTAGTCGTACCTTGGAACTCACTCGCCACGCCATGCAAAGCCACCACAAGCGCACATACGGCAACAACAGCTGTAAAAAATCCGGCCCTATTGTGGCAGGCTAAGTGAACTTTGAGGCCATCTGAAATGGCGAAGGCTTGCTACCAGGTCACAGGTGTTGTAGGTTACCCGAGACAACTGGCACATGCACCACCTGTGCTGTCGCCAGTGCCAATAGACACGCACACACATGCACGGTTGCTTGCTCGCACACCCACCTGTAGTTGCCCAACTTGACCCACACAATGTCATGATACTGTGGCTTCTTGCCAGCCCGGCATTCGGCACAGCACCAGGTGCCCTCTGGTGGTTCCATGCCCAGGCACTCGGGGTGGAAGGCGGCCGGGCACGACTCGCAGCACAGGAGACAGCCACCTGGCATCACATGCACGCACCGCACAAGCAACAAACGCCACCACGTCAACTGAATCGCTCCCCTCTCCCACACCGGGAGAGTAATCATTTAGCACGGTTAAATATTATTTTTAACATTTAATCACTGTGCTTGCTAAAAAAACATTCACATGTACAGGCTTCAAAATATGTACTTATACATTGTATGCGCATTTTTATCATTTAGATTTCCAGCAAATGTATATGAAACCTGATGGCATGACACAGACGATGCAGCACAAAGTTATCAGGCCATATCCAGTGATGTAAATGAAGGTGAACATCATTCAGTTTATATCCTTCGGTGGTTGTGCCTCTTGCCTTGTAATAACCAAATAGAATATTACATTTTACCGAATTTATGCGAGATACATTATTTAAAAACATGAAGATGTAAGTTCCACCAGGACCAACTTTTTTAAAGCGTACTCAATGAAGGTACGATGGGGTTGAATTTAAGTTTGTGATGTTTAGGACTAAGAAGGAGCCAATGAACTGAATGAATAAATAAATCACTGGCACGGTTCAACAGCTCTTAGTAAATCGGTTTGAATGCAAGCATGCTTGATGAAAATGGCATTTCAAGGACCACGTTGGGTTTACACCGCAGCGACCGAGATCGCATCGTCGCACTCCAGGGACAAAGGTGAAGAAGCAGCAAAGCACAACATTCGTGAGCCATCGTAACATTTTACCGCACCAGCACACACACACACGACAACTCATCCCCAGCCCCCACCCTGGCCACGACACGACAAACACAGTCGCAGCTTTGGAGCCATTAAGCCATGCACCGCCGCCACGCGATGATCGGTCATGGAGACAGCAATCAAGAGTCAAACTGGGGAAGGGAAGCCACACTGCAGTGCTGGTATACCGTAAAGTTTATTGTGTGGCGACACAAGCGGATGGTGCTCACCCCCCCCCCCCCCCCCCCACACCTTTGAAGGATATATGGGATCTGCATTGCCCAACTTTGACAGTTTCTCCCACCAGTGACAATAAAGTTTTCCGGTTTACATTTTACGTGCCGAATATCATTATTTCCATAAAACCGCAGTGCAGCATTAATACCAGTTCTCGAATTGGGGATTTTGAAAATCCGATGACCTAAGGCCCTGCAACAGTTGTCTTGAAAATCGAATACGCAACAGAATAAAGTCGAAAAACTGGTAGAGTGGTGGCAAAGTGATTAGCGCACTGCACTATGAATCCAGCAATCGTGATCTAGCAGTGCAATGACAAAGGGCTGTAAAATATAAAATCGTATTCTTTGCCAAGAAAAAGTACTGTAAAACCTCGCATCTGGTGCAACTGTCGAGTCCTGCACATATCTGTTCACCTTTAACACCAATGTTACCTGCAACACACAGACCAGAATCTAGGAAATGAACACTGCAATGCTAAACGCGGCTGGGTCGGCCTTGAAGGCGGCCCCGGTCATACTACTTCAGTTGACGTGAAACCTGGAACAACTTTGCGGCACTGGTGCCAACAGAGCAAGATGAGCCTCAGTCCTCAGTGTTGACTTATGGTCAAAACCGCAACAGTTCACTTTCTGGTCAAACTTTTACTCTGATAAAAGACAGGGAACACCAATAAAGTGTGGCATCTTGTCGTGATTTTTTTTAGTTTCGTGACCCCCGGTGATCTGTGTTGCAAACCAACTGCTGGGCAAGGCAGCTACAGTTTTCGGCAAAAACAAAAATCAGTTTAGAAGCCGTTACCCGACATGACGGCGCACGACGATTAGCCAATGGAAACTTTACGGTATGCAAAACAAGGGGAGGGGGGGAGCAGGGGTTATTTCGGCTGCCATGGAATTAGTCAAATTGTGAATGTCTCAGCTCAGAGAACAGCTGGCACGTTTACATTGTCACTGACCTTTTGAGAAAATGGCTAAAGGTGGAAATGTGTCAGCCGCTTTGGGTAGGTTTGGCCGAAATAAATGTTGTGCTGTTTGCGACGACTCGAAATAACCCCCGTGGAGTTAGACCTCGGATAACGAAAAACGATCTTCAACTGAATCAACATCGCTGGCCACGCACAACCTGAAGGGGGAAACTCTTAGTTGTCTTACAACCAATCAAAACACCAAGCTCAATTGTGTCAAGGGGGGTTTTTCAATATTGTCAGGCTTCGTGTTTGATAATCTTAAGGTTGAGAAGCCGATGAACAAGTTTCGCCAATTGGTTGAGGACCGCAGATGGAAGGAATGCCCTTCAGAGACAGCGTGACCAGCAGCCCAGATGTGGATTGACTATGGTAAGGGCATGGAGCAAGCAAGAACATGCCACTGCCATGTAGTAAACGGGGAGCGCGGTGTAGTGAAAAGTGGAGGCAAGAGGGCAAGGCAACAGCCAAAAAGCAATGGCAGTAAACATTTACCTTTCCCACAGGCCTTTGCTGCTGCTGCGGGGACTACGGGAATCATGGGTAACTTCCCAAGTTCACTGGATCTTTTGTATTCGCTCAATAGGTAGTGGGAACTTTGTTCAAAGAGAGCGGGGCCTGCATCGGGCAAAGGCGCTCCTATAACACCCGGAGAGACACAGGGGAAGGGGGAGGGAAGCTTACCCATGATTCCCCAAGACAGACTCACAATATGCAGTGCAACTCCGTTACACAGAGAACAAAAACCATGTGCATGTGAAAATAACGTGAAATAAAATACACAAACATTTAAAACACACAAACTAGAAAACACAAATGTATAAAGAGTGGAAAAACAGTTGTTAGTAAAGAATATTCTAATACTACCAAAATTAGTCAGGTGCATTCTACTCTTCTACTGAAGCATTTCAAAATCTGTGCAACACCTCATCTCCATTAGCAACTATGTTTTCGCGTGGCCACTATTATCACACTGTCGTAGACCAGGGGGTGAGCCCACACACCCACGCGTGGGGCTGTTGAGTGCAAGAAGGGGCTATGGGAAGCATCTGTTCCACAAGCATTCGCCAGGTCTGCAGATATGCTCTGAAGACCCAGCCACAACTGTCTGGAGCGAAACAGCAACGCTCGTAAAAACATAGCAATTGATTAAAAAGTGAATGAGGAAAGGAGTTCAGCAGCAGCACATTTTCTGTTACGTCACACCAGGCAGCTGAGGTGCAATCCGAGAGAACAGAAGAGACGGTGACAATTTCTCATTAGAATACGAAGCAGCTCGATACTCAACATGCTCTCTAACATATGCAGCACAGACATCACTGTACATTTAAACATTTAACCTCAACTGCATATTTCAGCATTAAAAGTATTACACGTACAGAAACTGAAACAAACTCGTGGAAAAAAATCTGAACACTGCCCTTAAAGTTATGTTTTAACAATAAAGCCCATCTCCATACAATTTGGCAACCAAAACAACAAGGGAAGCGTACACACGCCGATTTGCGATTATCAGAAGCGCAAGACAAGTAGCGGCCTCAGAGGCTGTATAGCTAAATTCCAACACACCACAACACAAGTCGAGAATTTCGCAGTTAGGACGGGGGGAGTGGAGGTGGTCATTTGGACGCCTCACCTCGCGAGCACAAGAAGCACCAGTTGACGTTGACATGCCACGTGTTATCCCGTTTGTTTGGCGCGAAGTGGCCGCTGCACACGATGCTGTATGGAGACAGCACCTTGCTCCCCGCCGCCAAACAGCTGTCTGATGTGTGGTACGCCACGGGGCAGCGCACGCACCGCTGCATTCTCCCTGCGGCACGCGCGGGAGAGATGGGAGGAGAGACGTGCAAGCTGTACTCGAACAGGGCGCACGCTGCACGAGACTGGGGTGTGTCAGGGTCGCTCACCGACGAGGGGCTCCCTGTTCAACAAAAAAAAGTAGTTCTCTCCCCCACTTTTATCCCCATAATGCTGCTGGTGTCATGTCCATTTCGACTTCTTTCAGAGACATGACATTGTAACTGCAAGGGAACATCGGTTCTTGTTTGACCCTTACTGCTGCCCGATGGCAAAGAAGATGTCATCGGGCTCCGGTGCTACACGGTGGGCAGCAGAGGGCAGTGGGGCAAAATCCATTGATGTACTGTACTTTTTTTAATGCTCCCACATCTTTGTTACCCCCAACTTCATCAAGCTGCACTGACCATGTATTTATGTACGAAGAACGTATTTCGCACCGTACGCAGCCAACCGTGCTAATCAGTGTGGTAATGTATGGTCAAATAATCCATATGATCCCACACGGTGTGCGGAAATCCTCATCTAACACTGTACACGTGCCTTAACATTGCACACATGTTGCAAGCCCACATCTTTCCACCCTTCATGGTCGCCCTCACTCCCTACCGCGACTGGCCCGGCTGCTGGCAGGGTAGGCCAGGTGGCAGGACAGGCAGACATGCAGCGGGCAGCGGAATCTGCGGCCCTCGAACACGGCGGCCGAGGAGCGCTGCACGCACTCCTCGTGGTAGAAGCGGCCGCAGCTGGAGACGGCGCAGCGCCGCACCTCCGCGCCCGCACATTTACACGCGAAGCAAACGTGCAATCCTGCCAGCGCGCGACAGCACCACCCCCATGTGAGCCACAAGACTCGTACCGACACGGAGCAAAAAAGCTGCACATGTTCTGATCGCATGCAATTCTCTTCCATTTGCACATCAGCTATTTGCAATGAATTAAGAAACTTGTTAAGAGTGTTCGTCTGTCACGTGGCAGGCACCTGTGGAGCATTCGTTGCACATGACTTTGTCGCCAGGCGCTGTTTGAACGCCCAGGCATTCCACGTGAAACGTCCCGCAGCACTGGCCCTCGCAAGAAACCAAGGAGCCACCAGTCTTTTCGCACGCCTGTGGTCAAAGACGATGCCAGAGATGTTAGCCAGCTATTTGATTAATTTGGGCTCTTGGGTTTGTGCTTGCACACCACTGCCAACACAGCCCCTGGAGTATTATTTACATTTAGGGTTTTGTCTTAACCTTGTTTCATTCTCTCATTGTGTTTTTCCCCTCGACTTCTTTGCAAAAGATAAACTATTGGGTTTTACCTACTAATATTGACCCGATATATATACCAGTCAGTTTCTCTTACTGGAATTTATTAGGAAACATTTTTTTGGGTATAGTTTTCTGGTCATGCGAATATATCAGGATCTTCCTGATACCGAGTCTTGAGACTCGGTGCGGCTTTCCTGGGTGAATAAAGAGCATATTTTGCGCTCCACACTATTGTATGCATCTTGAGACGCAGTTGCAATTATATATTTTATAAATAAACCATGTTGGGCATAAAATACGTATGATTAAACTTGTAACCATCTCAAAGGATTCTTACCTTCTAAACAATGTTTTTTTTATTCATGTTCCACGCCTTCTCAAACTCACACTGAATAGCATGAAGTATGTTCAAATAACCCCATGATCCACATGGCATGGTGAGCGCCCTTAGACAGCAGTGGATCAGTATGTATATAAAGCTGTCTCCATACAGCATGAAAAAAACCTAATGTAACGTGATTTAACCTCACCCGGCATGACTGGGTCTGTACAACACCTGAAACACACATGCATGAAATTACCAGGCAAAGGGCATCTCGCTTGCTACTGCCTCGCTTGCCCTCGGACTGCGAGTCTTCGCTTCCTTCTTGGTAGACAGCCTCACCCTGACCCGCCGGTGAAGCCTGTGAGAAACACAAAGATCCCCCCGTGGAGCATTTAACAGACTGGTAGCGAGCGCCTATTAAAGCCAGCACGGTGCACTAGGTGGTGGGTGGTGTGTCCAGAACTATGCCCAGGTGCTTTTGTTTCTCTAGTGCTGGTGTTTTTACACCACACCAGGAAATAATTTAAGGTCTGGTCAGCCAAGGGGAGTCCCACAACCGGTTATATCATTGGCCAATAATGTGAGCTGTCGCAAGCAGCCGAATCCTGGTCGCTGGGTTCATAGCAATGTGTTAACCACTATGCCACTGCTACCCACCGCATGACACATTCACACATGTGCATATACACATGCAACATCAGTCACGCTCATCCAGAACTCAAATATATAGAACGTGAGCTAAAGCTTCAGAACTGTGGGATTCCACTGGTGCCAACTTTGAAAAGTCAAAAACAGAATGCTCAGTCAAATGAAAAAAACCTGGTAGCTGCAGAATGCTGTCCTGGCTATTGCCAAACTGGGTGTAGCGGCACATGCCTGCGATTCTGCACGTTTGAGGTAACGGTTGGTGGATCATGGATATTTGTCAAACTCCAAAAGTCACCAGAAAATGGCAGTACAGCAAGTGAGATAGTGAACCAGTGTTTGCGGACCATTGAATGTTTTTTCCCTCCCATAAGCAAACCACTCATTAAAAGAGGAACTGGTCAAGCATCTCAATGTAGGAACATACTGATGAATGTTCTTCAAATTCAGTAAGATCTTCCTGGATAAATAAGTGGCGGCATTATTAGGCATGCAACCATTTCTCAAAACAAAACAGGAACACGGGGATTAGAGAACATGTACAAGTTGGAGATATATTGCTTGTTAAGAATGGTGAGCTTGGGCAGCACACGTTGCCTAAAGCTATGGATGGCCGGTGGTCGAGATTAATAATAGCCAAGGGAGGGAAACACACCTCAGAGGAGGTCTACTATGGAGATGAGATGACATTAGCTGGTGTGCAGGAGATAGATGGATTGTTATTTCGTGAGATCATGAGAAATGGCGACAGTGGATAGATCATGTCTGATGATGAGTTCGCGGAACACGAATGGGAAATAAGTGAGCGAGTGAGCATTACCTCTGCGTCCGGGGGAAGTGCCCCCTCCTCATCACACTCCGAGGGGCTGGTGGAGTCCGTGGTGGATGCTCGGCTCCTCTTTTTCAGCGGTTTGCACGCGTCTGACAGCTTCGCCACCACTGCAGGCGACAGCGATGCAGGTTTGTCAAGATTTAAAAGCAAGCAGTGGCACCTGCATGCGCACACAGCGAGGTGACTCCTCTTTAACGTGTCTTGTGTGCATGTATAGCCCTTTTTTCTCAATCCATGGCTGGATGATAGCCTCCCCATGCCGTGCGGGTCACGGATTACTGAACCATACTTCACCACGCTAGATCGTGGGAGTTGGTGAAGGTGGGGAGCAAAGATCTGGAAGCATATAAGCAGAGAACAATGGATTTTGCTGTACTGCCCTCTGCTGTCCACTAAATAGCCCCGCAATCTACAACAATTGTGAAACATGGCGGTCACCTCTCCCAGCACTATTCCGGCTCAAATACGCTTAGCTGCTGAGACGTGCCGGGGAATGGGTACATTATTGGTGATTTAGTGAGACAACACACCTTTTCCCGATTGAAAGCGTGAAGTGTGATAGAAAGAAAAGAAAATACTCATGTCACATCTTGCGCTGTAACCGGCCATGGTTCACATTTAATTTTCAAACTTCACTTTACATTAACATGCTAATCTCTCACATTAACATAGCCACTTCCGTGTCCTCGTCGAGGAGGCCGCTCTCCGATCTTACATTTACATGCTAATTTCTCACATTATCACTCGTGTTGCGCCCGAAACGTCACGATTTATTTTATTTTATACCTACGTGACTTTACCGAAAGAACCAAAGAGTATGGATTCCTATAGTCACGAAAGCTTCATATCAAGATTGACTCTCCCCATGTTTGATAAAATGTTAAAGTCGATTTAACCAATCTTGAAACAAACTCACCTGGCTGTACAGAACCCACAGGCACAAACGAGGAGAGGGACTTCCCCTTTTCAGCCAACGTGGGCAAGACTCCAGTCTAGTGAAAACACATCAGGTATCAAGAGCCAATCGGCAAACACTCTTTTAATATTTGTGTTAATGCAGGGGAACATTAAACAAAAGGAGAAAGTGTCGTATTACGAACAATGAACCAAAGCGTAGCTTTCCCCAATGCCTTTAAAAGTTTGCAGATTTGCCGATTGCGGACAATTTGAAGAATGTAACCCCCTGCGATGGGCAAGGTTTTGGTGTTTTTCTAATGTCACTGGTAGACTGGAATAGGCAAGTAACTTGTAGCCACGGCCATTTAAAATGGTATAATGCAAGTGTGGCCGGTGCATAAGGTCCTTTGGTACAAATGGTGAAACACTACAAAAATAATTTTAGTATGTAATTTTTTGCTGAAATAAATATTTTTTTACACAAAATTGTGTGCCTGTCATAGATTACTCGTTGCCCTGAACTTTTTTTATATTAACTCCGGACACCACTACACAGTGCAAGCTTGTGTGGCATTGTGCGGCAGTGTTCTGTACCAAGATAATTATAGACCGGGCTGAAACAAAGTGGGGGTCATACATTTATTGGCAAGAGGTTTGCATAGTGGCAGAACAGTGTTGAATCGTGATGCCACACTCCCCATACCTTTGGCTCCTTGCGTACCCTCTTGCGCGGAACACTCTCCTCTACACCAGACTCTTCTGTTTGCGGCCTTCGCAGCAAGGAGGCCTGGCTCTCTGCTCCCACCACTGTGCGGAGAAATGCACGCATTTAAGCACAAGTCCGATGTGGCAGCGATGAAGGTAGCTGGGTACATGCCCTCAGAAGAATGAGCATTGCAAGCAAACCTGATCACAATTTTAGTTTTATAGCGGAAAGGCAAAGCCGCTCTGCTAAAGCAGGAAGCCTTTAAAAAGCAGTATTTCTCAGATCCAGTTCTTGTGAGCTAACATGGTTCACCTTTTACACGTTTACCAGTCCCTGGCATTCCAATTAAGTCATTACATGCTGAACGCTCTTCATTATTGCTAAACAAGTCCCACGTGACACTGAGGGGCTTCATTATCAGCGTGCTGTGCTACCAGGGACAAAAAATAAAGATGCCCCATATATCATTCAACAGACTGTTAGAGATAAGTGCTGTTAATGAGCACCTATGAAAGCCAGCAGGGTGGGGGTGAGTCGCCAACACCATGCCTGACCGCCTTTGTGTCCCCAGTGGCAATGATTACACACTGAACCAAGTACTCATTTGAGACTGAGTCGACCTAGGGGAGGCCCAGGTCAGGTTCAGAAAATCGTCACTGGTGTTGGCTGTGAGTGGGAATCAAACTCGTCTCGCCAGGTTCATAGCGCAGCATGCTCACCGCTGCACTACCACAAACCAGGAACATGCACGCGCACACACAAGATCTCAAACTTTATTTGAATGAGCTCTGTAAGTGACATGGCACGAACAGCTTGTAACCAGTTAATTTGTAATTTAACAGAATAATATTGGTCAAGCTGGAAAAAACATAATATGGTGTTTGAAAACATATTTTGGTAAATGTGTAACTGAATTTGCACCAGCTGTGGGTTGGGCACCTTTGACCAAGGAAGACTCTCTCTTTTTGGGGGGCGAGTTCATGCCAGACGTGGCGGCGTGATACGAGCCAGGCACCATTGACCCAGCGGTGCTCGCGAATTTGGATTTGTAGCGCGCGCGCTGCTTCTCCGTCAGCGTCTCCCACTGCGTCATGAGCGCCTCCTCCACCTCCACTGGGGACAGTTCCGGCTGCTCCTGCACCAGCTGGGCAGGATGGAAGACAGCACACGAGGGTGCACAAACACACAGGCCATGCATCAGGATATATGCAAACACAACAAACGCATGTGAAGGACTTTCGACATTCAGGGTCATAAGACGGTAGAGCACCAAGATCAAAGCTACACAACTGAGGTAGGTGGATTGACCAAAATGATGAAGGGCTACATGTTACCATCCTTGTGAGGAATGTGTTGCTATGTAATGTATATCCATCTCCCTGGCTAATGAGAATTTAGGCTGAGAACAGAGCTCTCAACAGGCTTGTTGTTCTTGGAGCTCTGGTGGAAGTGAGAAAGAATGTCAAAATGTGCGTGCAAAATATTTTGCCCGTAAATTAAAGTTAACCTCATATGCAAGCTAATGATAGCATGAGCGCGTATGCATGTACACAATTACATAATAATAGACCGATGCCAACAGTGCACTGCCACTTGATTTTCAAGGCTAAGAGCCAGGGCATTAGGTTTACCTGTTCGCGATGCTTCTGGCAAAAAACAATGAATCGGGCGGCAGAGGCATCACTCTTCCTGATGCCACGCTTCTTCTTCGGCGTGAGGCCTCCCCCGCCGCCAACCCCATTCGTGTGTTCTCGGGCCCTCCTGACCTCGTCATTGCCAACATCATCACGCTCCTGCCCAGACACCGAAGCCGCCGTTGGGCTGCTTCCACCATCCAGCTTCCTGCGGTGGGAGAAAGAGACGACGACATCAAGATTAACACTGCCACTTGAGTGGGAAGGCAGCACAATCTACGCATCCATGGCATCGTCGTTGCACATTATGAAAACTTCTATGTAGAATCGTGGAGGAATGTTTAATGTAAGTTGAGTTACAATAATGTTTTAAAAGGAAACTATTACATTCCAATTATGTAATTACATATGTATCTTTTACCACCACATTTCAAGAAGCCAAAAAATATTACTGATACATACTTCTTAAACACGGCATCTTGAAAGTCTAAATCCATGATACTTAAGAGTATATATGTATAGGTAGGTCAGTATTTAAAATATATTGTTCTATTGGCATTACATTCTGAGATGAAGTTATTTTTTCCATAAAAAAAACTGAGTGTAGCATCACCATTTTAGAGAACAGCCTCTGAAAAATTATATAACACAATTACTTCGGAGATCACTTTGATTCCCCATAAACCACACGAGTGCATTCACCTTCTCAATTGCATTACTACAAACGTATTTGTAGCATGGCACTCAAACTGAAACTCTACAATATTCTAAGAACTGGAACATGTTGAAGTCAATGATGGTTTTGTGATACCATCAAACGTTTACATTTGAGAAGCCAGTTTAATCAGCTCTCAATTCTGACACAATATAAAACCCTCGAGCCATCTGACATCCTCAACAGCAAGGTGAAATTTGACATGAGGTGAGGCGGTCAGAATTCATTGACATATTCTCCGCGTTTGTAATAGACCATATTTCTCACCTGTCTAACTCATTCCTCATGTCGTGCATATCAACCGCATCAACTTCGAAGTCCACCGAGTCCTTTGACTTTCGCTTTCGTGTCGAGGAAGGCGGTTGTCCCTTGTTGGGGCCCTTATCCTTGGGCTTCACGTCGAAGTAGATAAAGGTGAACTTTTCGTTCCGCTCCTTGTGGCACAGGGCGGCTGCCTCCTCCGCCTCAGCAATGCCCACGAACCACTGAGACCGCACGCGCGAAGCCATCGGCTTCAAGATCTGCGGTGAGTGCGCGAAACATAAATATCCCCCAAATAGCCTGTAATACTGTTTAGGCAAGCGCTGCTACAGCGAGCACCTATGAAGGCCGGCACGGCACACGAGGGGGTGGGTAGCCAATGCCCCGCCTGGCCGCCTTTGTCTCCCCAGTGGTGATGTTTATACACTGCACGAGGTACTCATTTGAGGCTGAATAGACCTAGGGGAGGCCCATGCCCAGTTCAGATAATCGTCATTCGTGTGTGTCGCGAGTGGGAATCGAACTTGGCTCGCTGGGTTCGTAGCGTAGCAAGCTAACCGTGACACTACCACGAACACGACACACACACGTGGTAAAAGATTCAGCAGCCATTGCTCACCCGGCTCCGACAAGCACGCACGTTGTAAATAAAAATATGCGCTCCCTTGGTGGATTTTGGGTAATAAAAAAAAACAAGTGTCCGCATCATTACTAAAAACATTGATAAAATGTTTAACTCCATCGACGAACGGGCCTTATGGTGAGCTAAAGTTGAAAAAAGTTGATGGTTTGCTTTACTCACACAATTGCAAATCACTCGTCCAAAACGCTAACTGGTCTTTGGGAGTGAATGGTATATTTATATTGGCCGTTAACCATCTTCCATGATAATTTAAGAAGTCATAAGAGAGGGTGATGCTCCTGCGGAGGACTTCTTGGCACTTCAAGCCTCGCCCATCGCCCCCACTGATGTCCTCTTCTCCCCCCCCCCCATGTGTGCAGATACTACTGGGTTGTACCTCAAAGTTCCTTAGAAGACGATGGCTTGTGTTGTTATCGAAAAGTCGTGATTTATTTTGTTTTATTTCTACCTACGTGATTTTACCGAAGGAACCAAAGAGTATGGATTCCTGCAGTCACGAAAGCTTCAAATCAAGACTCATTAGATATTTTTAATTTCACCCTCCATCCATGTACGCAACTATCAAAACTCTAAACAAATGCTCAATAAATGGAAAATTATGTATTTATGGATAATGGATGAAACAATAATTATCAATCATACTGGTTGTGGGATTAGTCAGTCTCCCAAGCACCAAATAGGTCCTCTTGATTTCCTGAAATTTTGAAATGTCTGATGCAAAGAGAAATGTAAAAAAATAGATTTTTCAGTGAAGGTATTTTACTCACTAGTACTGATGCACAGTACTACTTAAAAGGCCAACACCTGTTTACCACCAGCCCTGACCAAATAAAACAGACCAGTCAGACTGAGACATGTCTGAACAGTGGGAAGGGGACAGATGTAGGCATATATGCCTGAAAAATAAATCTGGACTCTATTATATGTAGGGTGTGTAGACATATGCCTACAAAAGACATCTTTTTTTGGGGGTGGTGTGGGGAGTGAATGTTCTTTTTGGGGGGCGGGTGTCAATAATTGTTGTAAACGTGTTGGATCAATTTTTTACCCCCACATCTGGGGGGGTCGGGGTCCACTTTCTATAATTTTTTGATTAAGGCCTTCTGAAAGGCTCTTATCATTTAGTTCACGGACCAACGGAACGCTGCGCTTTTCTAATAAATGGTCAAGTCAGCTGTCATCACTATGATTAGACATTTTTTCTGTATATAATATTGCATTTCCTTTCACAAACATCATCTCAGCAACATAGTAAATGATTAAAAACATTACATTTACACACAACTACAATTGCTGCTACTTGCCACCCAGTTTCCAAGATGTCACCACAGCACTTGTGTCAAGCTAAGTGCACTTTAAGACCACATGGCATGGTCAAGGCCTGCTGGTTGGAGGACATACGCAAGTATCATGGTTTAACAGACCACAATAACTCCGAGACAACTGCAATCCCCACTTAAAGACTACTATATTCGCTACCCGGCACTTCTTATTGTCACGAGTCTCTCCTCCACCGCTGCCACGTGAAACTTAACACTCTAAAGTCACCTAAAACCACAAATGTAAACACGTCACCATTCTTGCGTGCAATTACATGTCTGTGCAATATAATGACAGCATTAATATGAAGAGGGCGGACGAGAGGATTCACCTTGGTTCTCTCGCTGGCCGAGGGCGTACGCTTGGCCAGCTCGGAGACCAGCAGCTCGTACTGCTCCCTGCTGGAGAACATCACGAGGGAGCGGTAGCACACCCACGCTCGCTCTGCGGCTTCCCCGAAGAACTGCACATGGTACTGCCTTGTGAAAGACTTCACCTGCCCTACTGAGCGGGAATTGTACCAGGGTTCCAAGAGGGAGAGTATGGGGGGAGGGGGAAGAGAGTTGACAATTGTTATGATCTGGAGTATCGATTTAATAAAAAAATTGCATTTTCTTTCTCTCGGTTTGTATGATGTAATATAAGGATTTGCATACAATTTACTCCAGCCTCGACTTTGCTTGGTAAAAAACATCATTGGTATAATTGTACCATTGCAACATGAATACTCAGAAAACCTTTGATGTTGTATTATAACATGTGATCATCTTAAAAACAGCTCATAACTGACTCAAAGATAAAGAGCCCTTATCTTTGCAAACAAAAAAATCACAAGGTGGATTTTAAACATAACACATAATTAAGAAACTGGTCTACAATTCTATTTTGGACTGTACCAAATGTCAAAAACAACGGTTTGTACATTCCTTTATCCATCATGCCAAATATATGTGAAAAAAATCTGTTGGATACAACATTTAAAGTCTTAAGAACAAGAGTGCCGACATCTCCAATTGAAGTGCATTCCTTGACTAGTATGGGGTGCCCACCTTTGACGCGCATGTGTATGCCCAACTTGGGGTCACAGGACACCATGCAGGGCCACCACGGGTGCCCGCTGATCTTGGCCCACACCACATCTCCGATGGAATACAGGTCCTGCACACACGCCACATCAACCCTTGCTGCCTCCTTACTTATTTCAGCAAGGAGCTATTATGTTCAATAATCAGTGTGCCAGGAAACTTGCACGAGTGATGCAAAGACTTTGCACCACACGTTAATTTTGGGTTGAGCTAGCCATAAAAAAACCCACATGATACAACTGCTAAATTTAAATGGTGCAAATTATGTTGAATGTGAGTCACTGGGAATACTAATATTTTGCACTTATTTATCACACTTACACCGTCCCAAACCACAACATGCACACATGACAATCCACGTAGGCAGGACTGACATCTGCAGGATGGTATTGTATTTGGGAATTGAATCCAGAACACTATTAACGTGTTTTTTTATAACCATATAAAGTCATTCACAGTTTAATCACACAGATTCAGAATTACTGGGAAATATTAATTTGGTAATGACCACAAAAATAAACCTGGTTTATACCCTTTCACATGTTTTAACAGACCTACTCAATTTATTTGACAGCAAACTTTAAGCATGACATTGCATTCCAAGATGACCATACAAAAACATGCAAACCCCCCCCCCCCATAAAAACTCACGCTGTTTTCTTGTGGAGACAGTAGAACAGGTGGCTTGTCGGCAGACAAGGGAGGAGTTGTGGGCAACGGCGGGGTTGATGGACGCACCGGCTGTGCAGGCAGGACACATGCACCCACAGGGTGCGATACGGGTGGTACCGATGTACCCGACCCAGGTGGAGCCTTTCACAGGCTGCAGCTTACGTGGCCGGCCCTTAGTCCGTACCAACGTCGACTGTTTGACGTCTGCTGCCGTAGCTGCCGAACTCTCTTTCGGCTGCTGCTGCTGGCCAGGCTGCTCGGGTGTCACCACCAGATCCCCGCACAGTGAGGACTCAAATAAGGCCTTTCCGTTAAAGTAGGTCTTCGTGATCTTCAGCTTGATCTCTGGGGACCCGGATGCTTTTTCTGGCGTGGGCTGCGAGTGAGGTGGTGTCTGGCACCCAGCCACTGTTGGGGAAGGCAAGAAGCTGAGCTTATGCATGTATCTTGAACTTATTTTGCACCATACGTAGTCAACCATGCTAATCGCAGGTGCTCACTAGGTAGACTATCAACCCACCCCACGTTTTAGAAACCTCCACTACTACATCCCACACATTCAATCTACAAAGTGTGATGTGTTGTCCTGGTGGATTGTGGGTAAAATAATAATAGGCAAGGGTGTTTCACCGTAAGTCTATGGGACTTTTGGACCAATGCTTTCCAGCAACATTTGTTTAGGCAACAAAAGCCTGGAAATTAGTGGTCCATAAGCTCAATGTTGTTAAGGCTAAATCTTATCTTACTTTCACCTTTAACGGTTAACTTATCATCACGCATAATTTGCAGACTTAGATTAGTACACTTCACAGTGTTATATGAACTGGCAATTTTTTTACGTCAACACCACTTTCTTTAAAATAATATTTACGGACATCTATCGAAGGCATGTGTACAACGTTACAACACTGTGGAAGGTTTTTCAAACGACAGCAAGGCAGGCTCACCAACAGTGAGGCCTGGAGGGTCACTCTCCATCTCTCCTCCGTTGGGGATCTGTGCCACCGCCTGCTGCAGGGCCACCAGTGGGCAGTGCCCGTTAACCTTGCCCATAGCCCTGCCGTTCTCCTCTGGGAGGCCCCACGGGCCAGCAGTGCCCTCCATGGTGGCCCCGGCAGCCCCGGCCGCCACGCAGCCTTCCCGGGTTGCTCGTGGCCCCCCCACAGGGACAGCAGCACACGCAGAGCGTTTGCCTTCCTCAGACAGCGGAAGAACGTTTCCCATTATATGACGTCGCTCCATCTCAAGCGCAACTCCTCATTGATCCCTAAAGTAACAACAGAAGTGCATGGCAAGCATTAGGATGAAGAGTGCCTCGTAGGACCGTCGCTTAAATAGTGCGAAACTCATCCATACAGGACGTGTACAAGTTTCAGTGCAGTAGACTTGTAAGGTAAACTAGTCACGTTCCATCACTCACGCACCGCCTGATTAGTTTACTAAAGCCGAAGGCAATGGCACGTTTATGTCAAAGTCTTCACCTGTCATCAAACAATATGGCACTGCCACAAATGGGGCCAACAGCGAGCTGGCTGCTCATTCGCTCGTCATTTTTTCACGAATTATGCAAATCTGCAATATTATATTTCTCTAATCTGTTCACTCAGCTTAGCGGAATCGATGTTAAGGCATCCGTCCAGTCAGCCATAGCACCAAACCAGGTTTTAGCTTTTAGTTTGTAAAACACATAGTTGATTTTGGATCCATGGAGCGCAGAGGAACTAATAGTACCTCGGCTAAAGCTTCAAGTCCTTCAGGGGGCTCCCCTCTCCGCATCACGTCCAAATGCCGGCCGGCTGCCACCCACACAAACAAAAGGACCGCACCAGGGGGGGCCCCGTGCCTGCTTTGACAAAAAAAAACCCAGGAGCTGTGCAAAAAAGCGAATAAGCCCGTGCAACCATTTTGTTTCATGGCTGCTCGCTCGACATGTTTGTCCGGTCGTTTTTAATTTATTTTTTTCGCGGGACAATTTCGACCGGTCCGGACGTGCTCCTTTAACTGCCCCGGCAATGAGGCCTCTCATCTTCATCCATTCCCACCCCGGCCTGGCAGGCATGGGCTGCTTTCCTGGGCTTACCTCAAAGGGCTTAGTGACTGCCTTCATGAAGATGTTTAAATCAAATTGGTGTCTATATATAGTACAGTGTAATATAAAGGTTTAAGTGACGGGTTGGGTACGCACCGTTACCGGGTAGATTGGGCAACGGGCCTCATGCTGGAGGAGGGCGGTTATGAGTCAAGGCCCCCCACGGATCGGGCAGCTGTAATCAGATATATTACACTGTACTGGAAAACAGTAAAAATCAATTGTAACTATTGTTTCGATGTAAAGCTTTCGTGACTGCAGGGATTCATCTTCTTGGTTCTTTCGGTAAAGTCACGTAGAAGGGAAGTATTAAAATAATATAAATAAAACATAATAAAATAATTCTCACGACGTTTCGGCCACAACGCAAGCAGCCGTCCTCAGGTGAAGAATTAAACACCAAGCATGAATTAAACACCACCAAGATTGGAGCTTAAATATACGCTCCAAGCTTGGTGGTTTCATTATTCCCCTGAGGACGGCTGCTTGCGTTGTGGCCGAAACGTCGTGAGAATTATTTTATTATGTTTTATTTTTATAATTTTATTACTTCCCTTCTACGTGACTTTACCGAAAGAACCAAGAAGATGTAACTATTGTATTCGGTTATAGTACTGTGTGATTGGGACTTAATGCAACAAAAAAACAGCTTGGTAATCGAGTGAGTGAAATTTCATTTTGGGTTTTGGCCGAATCCAATTCCTCCCCGCCACGTTAACTTCTACGTAAACGACGAAACTGGAGTTTCGCATTCCGTGCCGTGGTTAATTATCATTTCGTTAATTGGAATGCGAGTCCCGCTTCCTGTGAAAGTCAGAATTCCCTTTCGTCTTCACTCCGGGATCGAATTCGTGCGCCTCGCGTAACATGGCGGGCGAAGACCCTTCAAATTATTATTTAAACAGATGTATGACAACACTGTTGTTGACACACGCAGACAAGCACGAAGGACAATCCGAAACGTGTAGTGTTTGTACTAATTTCCGGCGGCGTGTCGTGTCTTTCGGGGTTAATTTAAATGAACCCCGCAATCCCTTAACCCTTGAACCCGAACTCCAACCCCACAGCCTCGGTCATCATGTAGTCCGCGGCCTTGACTTTCAATAATTGTAGCCCTTTCACTCGGAACATTTATGTATTCTTGAATACGAATCCGCCAATTAGAATATATAACAAATACGACTTTACATAAAGCAGAATTTGGCTCGGTGGATGGAGCCAAACGTCTGCAGCTGCTAAACCATCTGCACGAACATCACCACCATCACCATCCTCACCACCATCACCATCCTCGCCACCATCATCATCCTCACCATCACCATCAGCCCAAGCACATTAGCATCACTGCCATTACCACCATCACCATCCTCACCACCATCACCATCCTCGCCACCATCACCATCCTTACCACCAACATCCTCACCACCATCACCATCCTCACCACCATCATCATCCTCACCATCACCATCAGCCCAAGCACATTAGCATCACTGCCATTACCAAAATCACATTGCCACTAACATGAGGCCCAAAGTCGAAGATCCCCCCGATAGCCTCAACAGACTGTAGGGGCAAGTGCTGTTGGCGAGCAGCACCTATGAAGGCCGGCACAGCACACGAGGGGGTGGGTGGCCAACACCACGCCCGGCCGCCTTTGTCTCCCTTGTGGAAATGTTTACGAAGCGCACCAGGTACTCATTTGTGGCTGAGTTGATCTAGGGGAGGACCAGTTCAGACAATCGTCACCGGTGTTAGCCGTGGAGTGGGAAACAAATTCGGGTTACCGGGTTCGTAGTGCAGCGCGCTAACCGCTGCTCCACCGCTCCCCACATCAACACCACCAAAATACCCACAACCACCACCATCACTACCATGACAACACCAGTAACATCACCACCACCATCACCACCTCAAGCCCCACGCTTCAAACCTCACTAGAATCAGGCCATCGCCTAACACCCACCGAGCGAGCCAGAACGAGATGCACACATTACAGCACATGGCAAGAGAGGGGGGGGGGTCTCCTTAATTTGCGAGGGGTCTCCCACTCATCATCACCCAAGACAAGCCCACGTGAGATGAGACAGCCGACTCCATGTGGAAGTCTCTCCCCCCTCCCCTCCTCTCTCCAACGTTGCTCGGCCACCCACCAAATCTGCCACCCCCCTCTCTCCCATCCCTCGGATAGGCCCCCTTCTTCCTCTTCTTCTTCCTCCGCGGTTACCGGCGAAGGCGAGCGAAGCTGCGCTGGGCACGGGGAGTGAGGAGGGAGGTGGCCGGGGACACCTGGGCACCACCAGGGCACCACCAACCACAACCACCACCACCAACACCACCACCAACACCGGGCTCCGGGGGGGGTTCCGGGCGGCACCGAGAACCCGCCGGGCTCGGCAGGGATCCGGATCCACGGGCTTGAGCGCGAAAACGAACGCCTCCCATTGGCCGAGAGGAGGTGGAGGGGCTAAGCCGCCTCGGCACGCGATTGGCCGGGCCGGCAAGGGCGGGGGAGGGAGGGAAGGCGCCAGGCGGCGCGTGATTGGTCGAGGGGAGAAACGGTTCTGGGTTTTTATATTTTTGTAATTTTGGGGTTTCTCTCTCTTCCTGGTTGGTGGTTGGAATCAATGAATGATATCGATTTGTTGTCGATTAGTGAACGGTTTGCGTGGTTTGTTTCGGGCGCACGATACATTGAATCGTTGTGTCAGGAGCCATAGTTTTATTTTGTGTCGAATGTAATGGGCTCACGTCGACCCCTACTCCTCCAGCCACTAGAGGCCGTTACATTCAGCACAGATATATCGGCGATATGGAATCGAATCGCAATGATTCATCGACTCTAGAGAATTGTGTTTACTGGGGGGAGGGCGGTTATGGGGCATTCATTAGCTACAAGCTTCGAGAACTTCATATCAACATTCGATTTTTTATCGATTATTACAGTTACAATAATGCATCGGTTTGTTTTTCGTTATTATGGAGTATGCGAATTACGTGTGCACGTTACGTTCAGCTCGAAGACGCGGACAACAAAAACTACAAAACCAGGCGGAGTCACGCGGACACCCCATACAAGCGATGCGCATCATACGAAACAACCAAGAATCGACTTTGTTTCATTCTAATCGCGACCCAAATCGAATTCGCCGCACACTTCGAAGCGTTAAACCTGAATCGACACATTTTGCGTGCGTTGATGATGCCAAAGTACCTAGAGCCGTGTAGTGTTGTACAGTGTACAAGCTGCCTTAGCCACTGGGCCCAGCCCAGTGTATGTCAGGCCCCACGGTCCTAACCAAGACAATCTACAAACACGGCTGACTCACCCACGAACGGCAGGCAGACACCACAACCAACTCATCGAATATATTCGTGAGTCACAGTGAAATGAAACGACAGATAACGACACAAGTGTTTTTTGTTGCGAGTGCTACGAGGTTGGCAAGCAGAGAAGAGTGAAGATCAATCCACTACTTGGCCCACCCGCACTCACACGAGCATGATGGAAGTGTCCGGTCAAATAAGTCGCAGTGGGGAGGCCCTCATCCTGCAGTGGATTTACAAAAAAGCCACAAATGTCACGTCTCAACCCAATTACTGTATACCGGGGACTCATTTACACCTTCCAATGTTTGTTTTTCAGCGGCACTATCTCACCCCCAGCTTATTCTAGGCACTATCATCCGCACCTGCCAGCATGCTACAAGACGTAACTCTAAACCACCGTATTAGGCAGCACTGATACATCCATCCACTGCATCGGTCACCAAATATTTCAACCAATATTTACCATTCGCACCTCGTCACAGTATGCTCGTGACATTGACATCTCACAAAACCCAGCCAGTGTCGCACGTTCATCACAGCTAACCCAGCACTGTACTTGGCGACCCACCCACGGGCATCGATCATCTCTTGACACGACTGCAGATGAATGGAGGTCTCTCTCACATTAGACGCTTAGTCTCACGGATCTCGCTACCAAACAAGCCCCCTACACCCTCAGCCGTGCGGTGTCACCGCGGGCGTGAAGAATTGGGTACCTTTATCTCGAAGACACTCTTCAACACTTATCTCTTGATCTCTTGCTACGACGAGAAGTCATTCTCCTGCCCCCTAGTGGCAACTCACATTCGTAAACTCTGTTGCGACTGTCCTGCCCAAAATAGACGTTAAACGATTTAAAGCTTTCGTGACTGCAGGGATTCATCTTCTTGGTTCTTTCGGTAAAGTCACGTAAAAGGAAAATAATAAAAGAATAAAATAAAGCATGATAAAATGTAATTTTATTTTTATTATTTTATTATTCATCTTGGTTCTTTCGGTAAAGTCACGTAGAATAAAAATAATACAATAATAACAAAAATCAAACAAAATACAATATTATTATTTTATTATTCATCTTCTTGGTTCTTTCGGTAAAGTCACGTAGAAGGGAAATAATAAAATAATAAAAATAAAACATAATAAAATACTGTTTTAATTTTATCATTTTATTATTCATCTTCTTGGTTCTTTCGGTAAAGTCACGTAGAAGGGAAATAAAATAATAAAAATAAAACATAATAAAAAAATGTGTTTGTATTATTTTATTATTTCCCTTCTACGTAACTTTACCGAAAGAACCAAGAAGATGAGACGTTAAACGTTCTATGAAATGTCGTGGTGTCTGGCACATTCAGCAGATGAATCAAATGCGGTCACCAATTACTGCACACAACTTTGGCTTTCAAGCAATCTGGCTCATTCTAGTTATAACAATTAAAAAAAGTCGGTTTAATTGAAGTGGGACACCATTTTTTGAAAGGAATATAGTTTTTTCAGGTTGATTTTGTTTAATAAGGCGAGGACTCAATTAGCGACCAGGATGTGCCTCATTTGCTAGTGATCTGCCACCAGATAAAAACAAACAAATATAACTGAGCGCACTAAACAACTCCGTGACAAATTATATTGAAAACAGTATGCAAACATTGTCATTATTAAGTACTGTCATTTTCCTGAAACGAATGTTGATTTGGACAAATTACTTTAAATAGACATTTTAACAACATTACGTTACAGAAACATGAACATGATTTAGAAACACTGTAAAAAGTGGGCAATGTCTCCCTCTCTCCACTTGAAATGTAAAGTGTTTCTTACACAAACCATGAGCCGCACCGCCTTCTTCTGGGAGTGCATAATTTCAGCAGCATTGACTCAAGACAAGCACAACTCTGGACCGGTTACGACACACACATTGTCTCATCAGCAGAGTTAGAGGCGTTCTTGAATAAATGCTGGTTAAATCCCGATCGTATTCAAGCAACCCCCCTGTTCTACGATATGGGGTCCCCACAGTTTGACGCAACATTGATTTAGGGTGATTATTGCACCAGTTATGGAAAACATATATAATTAAGATGTTAAATGCGTCGGTGGCCCTCAAGTGTAACCAATTTCAGTGATGTGCGATAGAGTTTTTGATTGATGTCATCTTTCGGAGCCGTGCTGCTGCAAGTGGTGAGAAGAGGAAGAGGACATCAATTAGCCCTCACGATATGACGCCAAAACTATAGTTAAACAAACCCCACGATCTGTCGACACCTCGTGGAGAGACCTTTACCCAATAATGTACTGGATTTGACAAAGGCAGTCCATTACATTTAAAATTGCATTGTATAAAGTGGGTGATGTTTAAACCCCATTGTGATTTGAGATCATGTCCTCACAATGTATGATGATGCAACGTGTAATGGACCCTCCAGGTTGTCTTAGGCTGATTGATCACAAACCTAGGGTAATTTTTTTTTATTAAAATACACGCTGAGTACCCAACCCTGGAATGTTGTCAGGGTTATGGATGCAATGGGTTATTGTATTTAAACATTCAGGAGCAATGCATGACGTTTTGAAGTCTCGTGTTGCATGGGATACTGCTGAGCTGCGTTTTCACCCAGAGAGTAATGCAGCAGAGTCAATTGTTGTACTGTGCTATACTCTAAGGTCTGTGGTTCCCCGCCTTCAGCAACTTGTATAATGAACAGGCGTTGTAAAATGCCATCGTAGAATCACCACGACCAACACGGCGTGGGGAGGACCCTCTTCCAGCAGACTTGATTGGGGATGTACACATACTGGACATTATTGAGTCGAAAAACACTAATATTCTCGAATGACATTCATCTTGTATTCGCTCGGTTAAAGACAACGCGTTGAGGACTTTGGACAACGTACAGGATTAATAAAATAGTATCGTCACGAACGCGAAATTAAACTACTCTTGCAGTTCGTGTCACCGGCCTGCAGAGAGCAGTCAACTCGTGGTTAATTAGCCTGAGCGCAATCGCCCACGAGGTGCATGACTTACTATTACATCGCCTCTGCCACTCTAACTTTGGCATTTCATTAAAACAATATCTAAAATAACTATTTCAATGAACCTGTCATCATACTCAGCCACGATTCTGCGATGTAACAATCCACCTAGCGCCTGCACATGAACTAATATATCGCTCCATCTCGTCGGTTGACGTGCTCTCAGACCTGTTCAATTCACTGGCCGTCACTAATTTATTATTCTTGATCATGAGCCACTTCAACAAAGGTTTGATTCTCCACAGTTCAGTGTGTTGTACGTAGCGATGATTAAATCCAGAGGGTGTCCTATTCGTATCCAGTATTCGTACCCCCTTGCTCCATCATCACAATCAAAGTGAGCGATGTCTGGTGAGTCCAGAGCTGCTTGGGACTGGGTGCCATGGTTTAAGTGCGTCGGTCACAGGGAGAAGAGATGATCATACTTCACCACGCCGGTCATTGCGGGTTGAAGAGAACACATTTTGTTTCATCCACTGCTGAGGACGCGACTGGCTGGTATGGGTGTCCCTATCCAGCACAGCTGTTAACTATTCCTTTAAACTATATTTCAAATGTTTTACCAGGTAAGACCCACTGAGCTATAATAGCTCTTTCTCAGAAGCGACCTGGCCACAAATGATAACTTAACGAAGTGGCTCATCATGTGAAAGTTTATAGCAGCCAAATGCTCAAAACTCATGTTTGTAAATGTGGAGGGAAAACCCGGAGGGCATGGAGAAAAATCCACGCGACCACGGGGAGAGAAACGTGCAAACTACAAATATGCAGGTGTCAGGGTCGGCATTGAACGGTATACCAGGCGAGGTAGTTAACATCGTGGCTAGCCTCTTCACCACGACAAATTTACTACATTTTCCTATGCGGGCGTTTATGTAATGGATCACCGCAAACTTAATTCAAATCTTCGGCAGAAGTAATTCCAGGAATTTGACAATGTGGCACTGTAGGTTAACATAGGTTATCACAAATTTGCTTCAGGTATGTTTTTTTATCTTACATAAATTTTATTTTTAGCCTTCTCACGCATATTAAACTAAGCAATTGGTGTTGGCACTGATTGAAAGGCGGATATCTACTTTAAGCATTTCCTGCAAACAAATACATGCAAATGGGCGGATACAAACCCGCCCATAGTAAACAATACAACAAATGTAAATGCTCTCTCTGGAGTCGTGGTTAAATAAAGACTATCCATCAATTACGAGGCATACGTTTGCCCCAAACCTGCCTCTCCATCACCATCATTATTCAACTGCTCGTGTGGGCAATGCGGTGCAAAAGTGCCCAAGCCACGTGTTCCTTCATCAGCACGGCCAGGCTTGTTGAATGCTTCTAGATTTGAAGCTTTCGTGACTGCAAGGATTCATACTCTTAGGTTTGTTCGGTAAAGTCCGTGACCAGACGTTATTGGCAAGAGCACTCCGTTCGAACAAATGCTATCGGATAATTTTGTTCTGGAGAGCCAGAAAGCCGAAAGACTATTAGAACAAAAAAACACATGTAAGAGAGTATTACGTGCTAAAAAGAAGGGCCATATCGCGAAAAGGGGCCGTCCATAAATGACGTCACGCACCTAGGGGGGGGGGGGGGGTCAGACATTGTGACGATGTGTGACGAGGGGGGGGGGGGTGAGAAATGTGACGTCACATCAAAATGCGCAACTTTAAATAAATATAGACAACACGTTCTACTTAATGAAATAGACTTTTTAATTATGTTTTCTCCTACAACATCAGAGTGCAGCGCCATATTAAATACGCACTACAATGACAATAGTTTAAAGCGATTTTAAGCATGTTTTGGGGGGGGGCAGAGCTTTGTGACGTCATATTTGAGGGGGGGGGTCTGACTTTTTGTGACGCCGTGTGACAAAGTGGGGGGGGGAGGCAAAATCGTCCAAAATCGCGTGACGTCATTTATGGACGGCCCCAAAGTGCATAAGCCGCGTGTTCCCTTCCTATCCGCACTGGGAAATCAAATCCGATCGTGGCTCCACCCCCCCTACCCCCCGCCCCACTTTTAATTGAAGGCCCCGGGGCCGTCGCATTCCCTAGACAGCATCGGGGGCCCGGGCCCCACGTGACGCAGGGGGCTCAGCCACGCGATTGGTCGCGGTCGTGGCCCCGCCCCCCTCCCCGCCGGCGTTGCGCATCGCGTGTGGGAAATGTAAACGAAGGGCGGAGACATCATGTGGAGTGGGGGTGGTGGGGCGGCGCTTGAATTGAAAACATGTGAATATGTAACAGGTGACGATTCGTGATATGCGCCTTCTTTTCAGCACGTTCTACTCTTGACATGTTGGTTTTTTTTCTTCTTCTAATGGTCTTTCGGCTTTCCAGAACAAAATTATCCAATGTTGGTTTGCTTAAACAAATGCTGTTGGATGTGTTTGTCTGTGAAAGCAATTGGCCGATGGACTCGGTGTGTTTTTTTCGCAACGCAATAACTGAGTTAAGACCATGCGTGGGCGAGAGTGATTGTCTACGGGGGCGTAGCTTGATCCGTACAGTCATTGTTTTTTGGGTTAGATGGGCTACGTGGTGGTTATACGCCAGAATTCGTGTCGTTCATGTTCTTCTACCAACCGGTGAAGACTGACACGTTTACAACGATCTTGATACCTTTTTTTAATACTGCCAGTCCACGCCTACGTTTTTTTTCCTCCGGTTAATTGCCCTGTAAGAGATAAGATAAAGGCATCTTTGGGACCCACCTGGACCGTTAACTCGACGACACTGGCACATGGACTGGGCAGGAGTTAAAACGGTATCAGGATTTGGACGTGGAATGGTTAGAGAAAAGATCATGTTGTTGAGATCTTTCCCTCCCCATAATTGTTTATTTTTTTATGTTTTAAGGGTTATTGTGTTGTTACTGCGCTGGCAGTGGCGCACAAGCATTCGTGTGCCATGTCCTTCCTCAAAGACATAGGCCTTCCATTGAGCTCTGGCCATGTTTACAAGATAACTTTGTATTATTTCCAGTTGAAGCATCAAATTGTTCAACTTGCCCGTATAACTAAATTCGCTGTCTTTCCCCCCGGCTTTTTGCTGTCGCTATAATTTCCTCAGTCAAAACAACATTATATATTCAGTCTCCAGTTTTCCCATCACGTGTCCAAAAACAATCAAACATCACAAACAGAAACACGCAACATGCCGGCCAACCGCCTTAAAAGACATAAACATATCAATAATTGGCGAGGTTTCAAACGGAGGCCCTTTCCCGAAACGCATTTTAAAATCTCCCTTCTCTTCGCAGAGCAATGTGTATCGACGGACGTGTTGAGGGGCGAGGCTTACGAGAGGATGCGTCTGAGCTGAGAGCTGCATGGGGATGCATGGGGGGGTGGTATTGGTGGTGGAGGGAGGGAGGGCCTCTAATGAATGGGCGTCGCTGGCAGGAGGTGGGGGTGGCTCCGCTCTCTTCCGGAGCGCGTGGCTCGACAGCTCCTACAGCAGGCACCGCCGCTGTTGCTGCTGCTGCTTCTGCTGCTGCTGTTGTTGTTGTTGGGAGGCCGTCGTTTCGAGACTCGGACCCTTTAGCCCTGAGCAGGACTCCGACCTGGTCAGTGACCTCCGCGCGGTTTGGAGGTTTGACCCCGTCCCGGTGTCGCTCCGCACTGCGGGCCGCGTGGTTACCCGCACGAGTGAAGGGTTGGAACGTGTCTTCTTTCTCTCTGGACCGTCTTCACCCTGTCACATCGACTCATTGTCATCGCGATTATGACATTGATCGCCTTCATTGTTTAATTCGATCTCGTTGGGTCAATTGGCACCGCTTGGCAGCAGCGCGTTCCGACTGCGGTAGGCAACATACAGTACACACGAAGTATATACTGTAGTGAGTACAGGACTGTGTGTGTGTGGACATAGGGGTTAACGTTGATTACGTACAGCGCAAGGCAAGCGCCGTTCATTTACGGCGGTCGCCGTCAACACACGAGGAAGGACGGGCAATTAACAATGGCTATAATGAAGACAGCTGCGTGCGGATGGAGGAGGTTGTCGTGAAGGCCCCGCAGTGCTGAAGGGACGTGCCTGGAGGCCCTTCATTCGAGACCCTGGGAGCCCCAACAAGGGGGTCAATTAATTGACACCTGAGCAGGGGGGACAGAGGGGGCTGGCAGGGGTGCCCTGGCCTTCGATTAATTAGGAGCAATAGTTCGGTCGCGCATGTCTGCATGGCTGAGAGCGGAGGAGGAGGTGGTGGTGGTGGAGGTGACGGCGACATTGGCAGCCCCAGCGCTGACAGGCGACACAGGCCGAGGGCTTCGTCCGCGGCTGCAGTAGCAGGAGGAGGAGGAGCAGCAGCAGGAGGAGCAGCTGGAGGTGACATGAGCCCCAGGAGTCGCCACAGGCTGCTGAAGGGGGGCTCCCATGGACACTGTTTCCGCAAGGTGACGCTCACCAAGCCCACGTTCTGCCAGCACTGCACCGACTTCGTGTGGGGCATCGTGGGCTACCAGTGCGAAGGTGAGTGAAAGCAGGTGGTTGGGTGATGGTGGTGGTTGTGGGTGAGCGTTTCATTTCAAATGTTAGGTTGGTGTGGTGGGAGAGGGTCACCGATTCGTGTTCTGGAGGGCTTCTCTCACCCAGTCTTGCTCAATCACCCACTCGTCGATTGCCTACTTGCTCGTCCACGTACGCCCACTCACTGACCAGTTGTGGAGGGGGGCAGTGCAGCCCAAATTATTGTTGTTCATGTACTATGCTGCCACGTCTCTACTCCCCGCCTTCACCTGCCCGCGTTGACCGGAGTGCAGAATAGTCATATTACACCCCCGCATACTCATTCAGCAGTTGATTGACAAAGGGGCTGTGAGTGTACATGAACCCACCTGTGCCCACTCAGCTGTTTAAGGTGGAGCGGAGGAGCCTCGCTCACCTATTGACAAAGTCAATTAACTGCGGAACTCTTAACCAGCTACGGTGAGGGACTCATTAACTCTCCCACGGGCATCCACAACCTATTTAAGGGAAATGGGTAGGGACCTGCTCATCGATCAACCCACAACAACTAGAATAACATTAAATTTGTATACAGCGACATCCACGATCAATGAATACCGCAAATTGCTTACCCATTTAAAGGGGGCACACTTGGCCACCCACACGAAAGTGCAGATGTGTGATGGGCCAGGCGTACCATCTCATGCCAACCAGACCACAGTGGAGGGGGGGGGGGCTGGAGGAGCTGGTAGTATCTAGGATACATTGGTGGTGGTGGTGGTAGGGGCTAAGAGGGGGGCCCTGCTGGACATATCTGGGTTCCACGTGATTCGAGAAGGGTTTGGTTGCCAAGCCATTTTGCGCAGGGTCAAATCAATTTCCACCTCAATGTCGTTTATTTAAAGCAGGTGGGAGCCCTCTGAGAGAGCCGACTGTCTTTCTTCATTCTCACCGTGATGGCAAAATGAGAACGCGAAACCCATTTTGGAAGGGAGACCTGGTTAGCCCTTCTAATGCAAGAATTTGTTTTGTTCTCGCTTACTAACGCAAACCCGCAGCAGTGGTTTGTGTTTACAAACGATGCCACGGGGTGTTTAACGTCAAATCCTGGTGATTTGCCACGTTTACCAAAAGCACGACGTGTGCTTTAGATCCCACGCTATATACCCCTGTGACATCAGGGCGCTGCTGACCCCTGACCCTGACCTTGCTCAGCTCGCTCACAGCAACCCATGCTTCCCAATCTTCAGGTGTGCGCTGTGCAGCTGAATGGAGTGGGAAACTGCCATGTTTGTGATGGCAGTGGTGGCAATGGTGGAGGCGGTTGTGGCAGTGGTGGTCTATGTGACGTTGGTAGTGGTGGCAGTGGTGGTGAGCTGCTAGCCTTGGGCGCGTTTGTTTGTGAACGTCAGCGAGGTAGGAATGTAATTGATCACTTCGGTTGCCTAACACCTTGGGGAGGTCGTTTCCTTGATGCACCTGAGTGCTCACCAGTGTATTCAGTCGAAGTGAATCAGCCGTGCTTTCAGAGACTCGCTTTTTATGGCCGCATTAATAGCTTGGGAGCAGTAGTGGCGCAGTTGTCAGCGCACCGAACGGCGCTATGAATCCCACCACCCGAGTTTGTTAACCAGCCTTGGCGGTAACAACAGCGGTGTAGCGATAAATATCAGAACTGGTCTTGGCTCCCGTATCCCCATCCCACTTACCAACTTGTACAAAGAAGCATGGTGAAGTGTCGCTAAACAACAACCCCCATGACCGACACAGCTCGGTGAGACTTTCTAGCCGTGTCTCGACAAAGGGTTGTAAACTATTCATGTGTCTGTGCTTATTTCATGTCTGCCAACGTGGCTGGGATGTGACTGGTGATCACTCTAATTCTAAAAATAGACAGGCGTAGGCATTGGCAAAGTAATTTCTACAGCAGAAACTTTCTCTACCCAACTTTTCTGGCTCAGCTGTCATTTGGGAATGGCAGTAAATCTCAGTTGGGCCCTCACCTACTTGCATATAGTTGATTTGAAGTTTCAGTTTGGAGAAAAAACCAATGTCAAACAGTAGGAACGTGGTGTGAATTAAAAAACTGCAAAGTTTTTATTTATTTTACTAGGTAATACCCATTGAGCTATATAGCTCTTTTTCAGAAGCGACCATGGCCACAAATGATAGCTCAACAAAGTGGCTTATCATGTGGAAATGTATCGGAGACAAATGTTGTAAACGCTCATTTCTAACTGGAGGAAAAAAACAGAGGACCCAGAGAAAAGTCTATGCGACCACGGGGAGAACACACAAACTCCAAATATACAGCAGGCGTTAGGGTTGGGATCGAACCCATGATCTGTATACCAGGCGAGGTAGTTAACATCTCGCCACTGTGGTGCCCCATTGATACTGATCACCATTCGCTTATTTGAGCCAGTTGTGGAAATTCCACATTCTTATATGACAGTGGTCATTTTGTCTTTAGCACAAGCCCTAATTCACTTACAGAAAATAGCAGGCTCATTTTATTGCTTGTGGCCTTATCAGTAAAAGTGAGACCCAACCCCCAAAATCACACAACTCGTATCTTTTACACATGTTCCTAAGGCCATGTGTTCTGGGCTTGTGCTCCATAAATGAGAAATAAAGACTTTAGAACTACTGTCAGGTGCTTTAGCTTGTGGTAAAAGGTGTGTGTGTGTGTTATCAGGTGTGTATTATATCATTTCCTTAAAACTCGTATTGAACAACCTGGGGGCACACATCTTAGGTACCTGTGTAGAAAATAATAAAAATATGTAACCTTGGGTTGCTTATACTTTTAAGTGGGAGGGATCAATGGGACTGATTTGTGCACCCAGCAACCTAGGCTCAATTCCTGGCCAAGGCTAACATCAGCTGCGATTGATCTCTGAACCAGTCTTTGGGTTTATCCCCTTTCACAAACCCACAATGACTAGCATGGTGAAGTATGGTCAAACAACCCCCATGGAAAACCCACGTGTTAAAAATAAAGAAGTCCGAGTCAGGCTGTGCTATTGCGTATCTGCATCAGAGGGCTTGGTAAGAGCGCTGCACAACGAATGACCTTCTGCGAGGGCACTGCAGTGGTGTCCACCCTCTGTGCTCAGGCTCCCTAGGGATCGATGACTGCGTGCGAATGAAGGGAGACGGTGCGGGGTCTCGGTGTGCGGGGCCGGTGTCGTGGCCTGACGTCTTCGTCTGAAGTCCTCATTAGCATTGGTGTTCGCGGCTTGAATTCCACTGTCGGCGGGAGTGCTTGTAATGATCGCATTTAAATTGCACCCGTCATCGGAAGAACCGCTCCAAGGCACGTTTACAGTCTGTTTTTAATATCGATTATTAATCTCGTGACGCGGGCACCGAATGCCGCGTCTACGAATTGGTGTTTTTCGATTTGTGTATCTTTGCAGCATGTTTCAGGTTAACCCATGCAGCTACTAGATTTTCTTTCAATGCTCCGTGATGTTAAGACGTCATTTACTCTTGACTTGAATTACGACCCCAATTGTGACCATGTCATTGACATCGCACGTTAGGGGGCGAACATTTTCACCCTTTCTTTCCATCTTACCTCGCCATATCACACTCTTACATTAATTGTACAACATTCAACCATTTCCCACACTTGCTCTTCTCATGAGCCATGCGTATATTTTGGAAATTCCTTATGAAAGATGGTTCCAAAACACTGGAGCTAATTTGACAGTAGTTATGTCACAGGCTCCAGCTCGATGGGTTGGTGGGACACCAGACGATGGGAATTAGTTGATCGTCATTCGGTGGTTCAGATTCACCATCATCAGCCATGTTCAATCCACTGCTGAATGATAGTCTCCCTAAGCCACTGTTATCTGTCAAGGTCATGCAATATAGCAATCCACCGAGCACTTGCACGCAAGCTGCCTGGGTCATGTATTGCATTATCAAAGTGCGCTGTTTGGTGATGACAAACGGGCATCATAGATTCTGTGACGGCGTTCACAAGAGCCGGCTGATGCGTGTTAGCATTGTGATCCAAACGCCTGACGTGTAAACAGCTGGCAACTCAATTGCCAAAAAAAGATTATACCAGCGGTAGCTTTGTTGTGAAATGCAGTTACTCATCAGTCTCTTGCAGTAGGGATTTTGTTTGTCAGCGGCCTCTAATCTAACTCCAAATGAACTGACTCCCCTGATTGAAGGGAATTGAATCATTCCTCTATTTGTGCTGGTGGTTGCTTGGAGGCATTCATTATGGGCAATCGGATTCGAGCAGGATGGGCATCCGCCTTCCGCCTCAGTCCCGGAAGAGCTGTTTTTGTGTGCGCGGCGCTGTAATCGCGTCCGTGAGCGTCATCTCAACACAAGCTGCAGCCCGCATGCCACGGTTTTCTGTGCCCGTTGCGCCAAAACCATTTTCATTTCAACCGCCTGAGCCTCGGGGCATCCATCCTCTGCTGAAGCCTGAGAACCAGGGTTAATTTCATCTGGGTCTGTCCGGGTCTGCGACCCAGAACATTTTCCTGCACCCTGAACACCACATCTAGTATACATCTCTATGGCTCTGATGAGTAACCACAGCCATTATAAGAGGTATTCCGGAGATTGTAGGCTGGAGGTGGCACCTGACTATTCGCCACTGCCAAAGGGGGGAAATGTATTGGCTGCGGTAAACCGGGAGGTGACATGTCACTCGTAACCACAGCCATAGCGAGAGGTATCCCGACACACCACATCCAGTATACCTCTCAATGTGGCTGTTACTGGTATCTTCAAGCATCGTGAACTCTGACTAGTAGCCCACAGGCCATTGTGAGAATTCTACTACTGGGTGTTGTGTGCCAGTATGCCAGTATGCCTCTTTCCATGGCTGTGGCTACCAAGCTACTGTGCTACCCTCCCGATTACCAGCGATCCAGAAAATATTTGGTGAGAAATGAAGCCATGCTCAAATCTTGAAAACGATCACAGCTCTGTCACGTAACAGGATGGACCGCCATGCTCGGACCTGCGCGGCGGTCAGGCATGACTGC